GCGCTGGTGTCAAGTGGGAGGCTGGTCTTCCCCCTAAGCACACTCCCCCTACTTCGCTCATCAGCATGGGCCAGGCTCTTGAGAAGGCCACTATGACCATCTGGTCTGACGACAGCGAACGGTTAGTTTACCCCATTGTCATTTCTGTTTCTGCCAATATGATGAATACCTTGCGTTATACCCAGCTCACTCAGACGCAAAATGCGGTTGCTGAGAAAACGTCTAATCTACTTCTGATTCATGGCACTGTTACTTCTTGTTTCTTGCATTCTGGTCTTGAATCATTACTAACAGTCAAATAGTTCCGTCGTTACCGACATCAACCGCAACGTCGCTGCCACCCTCAAGGCTTGCGGTCCTGCTCTTCTTGCTTCCAAGGATGGTCTCCTCCAGGAGATGGTTTCGGTCGTTGGTCTTATCATTACCCGATCTCACCCTTGCCAGCAAGATCTTGGCGACGAGGAGGAGGAGCAAGAGGTTGATGCCGGTTCTTCCGAGTACGACTGGCTCGTCATTGACACTGCTCTTGACGTCGTTGTCGGCCTGGCTGCTGCTCTCGGCAACAACTTCGGTGAGCTCTGGAAGATCTTCGAGAAGCCTATTCTCCGACTTGCCAGCTCCAGCGAGGACCTTCACCGATCCACCGCTGTTGGCACCATCGCTGAGATTACCAAGTACACTGGCGAGGCCATCACTCCCTTCACTGAGTCTCTTGGCCAAGCTCTTGTCCGCCGCCTCACAGACCCTGACCCTCTGGCCAAGTCTAACGCTGCTTACGCCATTGGTCTCGTTGTCCTCAACTCTGCCGACACCGGCAAGACTTTCCCCATGTACCCTCTTCTTTGGGAGAAGCTCGAGCCTCTCCTGACTGTCAACGAGATGCGCATGACCGACAACGTTGCCGGTGCAGTTTCTCGTATGATGACCAAGAACCCCAACAACGAATTCGTTGCTCAGGCTCTTCCCGCCGTTGTCAATGTCCTTCCCCTCCAGGAGGACTACGAGGAGAACGCTCCTATCTACGACAACATCTTCAAGCTCTACCAGCAGTCCAACCCCACTGTTGAGCAGCTTACTCCCCAGCTTATCAACGTGTTCGAGAAGGTCCTCAGCCCCCCTGAGGAGCAGCTTGAGCCTGAGACTCGGGAGATTCTCCAGCACACCGTCCAGAACCTGTACAAGGCTAAGCCTGACCTCCTGGCCAACAACCCCGGCCTGCTCAAGCTTGCTGGTATTCAGTAAACGGACAAACATCACGACTTGACGAATTTTCGGTTTGGTGGATTACATAAAAGTGACGAACTGCGATATGATTTGATGAAGAAAAAGCACGCACTAGACTACGATGCGTTGATAGAGTATAACGTAGTAGCACCATGCAAAGCAGCTGCATGGGTATAAAAGGGCATGGGATGGGAAAAGGAAAATTAGGGATGGCAAGCGCTGGGATTTCACGATGAAGCTTTAATGGCTTCGAGGATAGAGGACTTTTGATACCTAGGATTAGAAAGATACCTTTCCATATGGACATTTGTTTCCTTCGTACTGCTTCATAAGTGCACCAGCGCATGCATGTTTGATAAGATGATAACAGAATTGTTATCTTAAAACTTGATCATATAATTCGAAAGTATAACGCCATAGAATGCTACAGAATAATGCAATCACCAAATCCTCTTGGCAACCATCTCATACCTCATCACCTTCTCAAAATCATCCTTCTTCTTTTCCGTCTTCTCAACCCTCTTCCCCGGTCCTTTACCACCCTTCAACCCCTCGTTCCTATCAGCATGAATCCATCGCTGTCTCTCTTCTCCAACCTCAACTTGGCCAAAACCGCCAACCCGTCGTCCACCGGGTGTATCAAAAGATTCAGGAGCACGGCCCTGCTGTTCTGCACGTTTCATCTTTGCATATCTGTTACGGGAGTATTTGAGAAGGACCATGCCTAGAAGGAGTTTGAGAATGAGTAGGACGAGGAAGGCGATGAAGAAGACGACGACCATGGTTACGGCGGCGATGAAGTCGTCGGATGTCCAGGAGTACCATGGGCGGGAGTTTAGGGGTGAGCCGTAGGGATAGCCGTATGTTGCGCGGCCGAGAGAGTCGCGGATAAGAGAGTCGAAGCGGTTGAGGGCGGCTATCATAGCGGGTGATGAGGGTGTGGCCGATTCTTCGGAAAGGGATGTTTGTGTTGATTGGGGGATAGGCATCGGCATAGGCATGGGGAGATGTGTGGATAGAAGCATGTGGTAGGTTTGGATGGAGGCGCGAATAAAGAGACAAGATAGGGGTATGACAGCGAGACCAAGACGCTTGGTCAGAGAGGGAGTCATGAAAGCCTACGGACGTTAGTTGTAACACGAGAAGGGATGAGGACGACTTACGTTGGTATAGTAATCTTTACACAAGATATCAAGGATACGGCTGTAGAAAGCTGGCTTGATGTTGTTAAACTTCGTCACATAGGCGTGTTTAATTGTATCGACAAGCATCTCACTACCAATGACAATGAAGAAAGGGGAGAGAACTTCGCCTGACATGAGCCACGAGGGTAGTACAGTAAAGCTGTGTGGTAGGATAGAGGGGCTATGATGGGGTACAGATGTCTCATCATATGACTCCGAGCCAGCACCGGGGACGCTGAGGCCGCCAACCTCGACGACGTTACGCATCCCGATGATGAACAGCATGATCCAAAGCTGGAAACGCTCGACAATGTCGGCGCAGGTGAGCTGGAAGAGATTGTCTTTCTCGAAGCGCTTGAAGACAGTTGACTTGATCTCAACGAATTGGTTCGAGAGAAGAAGAGTCAACAGGGCGTTGGAGTAAGAATTTACGGCAACATTGAGGGTGATGACCTGATAGTACAGTGCAATCGAGTGAAGACAGCAGTATACAAGAGCAAGCATAAACATGCCCAGCGGAAGAAGGACTTTGGAACGACCAGACGCATTACGTGAGAGCGTTTCCGTGCTGAAGAGACACTCCAGAATATCCTGTCCCAGAGCTGAAAGAAGTCGATCGCCGACTTCAAGAATGTTGTATATGACGTAGAGTTTGATGGCGGATTGAGCTCGAATGAAGTGATACATACGACTCGCGTCAAGAGTCATCAAGGCCATGGAACTGCATATTATGACAGCGCCTTGGAGAAGATCAGCTTTGTGAAAGGCCGAGAGATTTGAAGGCATGGACTTCGTCCTCCTATGACGAAATGCTCCAGACTTGGGTTGATATCGAGACTGCAAAGGCTTGAAGTGTCCGTTTCCATTCCCGTTTCCGTTTGCCTTGAGATCATGACTCCCGTTTCCATCGTTCGAACGACCTCGAGGACGACTTTCACTGCGTGATCTTCCTTCATCAGAGGTCTCATCGGCTCGCGAGGTCCTACCTCTTCGCCAAAGCCGTCCAAGACCATACCACACGAAGCCGAGGAGCCATCGAACTTCTTTAAGGATGACATAGCCCCACCAACGAACTAGCATGCTGACAGCCTGGATAAAGCGCATAGGAAGAATGGTGAAGTTCCAAAGCCAAGCATCGAGACATGCTAGAGCTCCAAAGTTAAGCGTCATTTCGAGATGGGGCGGTAGGAGGATCACATTCTTAAGACGCTCGAATTTGACGGCATTGGATTCGTAGGGAATATCGTAAGCGTGGGACTGGTGGATGTATAACGGACTAGGTCTTTGAGCTGCCAATTCCAGCTGTAGATGTGTAGGTAACGACATGGGCGGAAGAGGAATGATCGGTGGAATCGGTGATGGTGGTCGCAGTCCTGAAGAGTCCGTTTGAAGAGGTATAGCTGTTGCAGGTGTCGACCGGGCGCTGAGAACTGGAGATGTTCCACCAGCACCATCGAGGTTGAGATGTAAAGACGTAGGTCGTCCAGTTGAGTTGAAGGAAGAGTACCGTCTCGGTGAAGACGTCCCACTCGAATCACTGCCTAATACTCGACTCGTAGGGGGCGTGGATAGAGTTCTCGCTCCAGGCGATGGGCGTCGGTGAATGTCCATCTGAATATCTCTCGCAGTCCGCAGAGCAGAAGTCAGGCCAGTGCGAGCTTCTACGGCGACACCATTTTGCTGCGCTGGGGGAGTCGCATCATCGAGGCGCATCGTAGGCTGTCGTATAGCCTCGCGCTGATCGAGAAGATGTGATGCAGATTCTTGGTCAATTGACCTCCGTTCTGGCGCGGGGGCCACAGGTAACGACTCAGGAGAGTTTGTGAGGCGCTGCATCTCAGTCGCGGAGAGACGTCGAACATTAGGGTTCGTGGTATTGCTTATCGTACTGCTGCGACTGGCCCTTCCAGAGGGTACTGCAGTGCTGTCATCCTGGTCCTTGTCTTTGTCTAGAGTCTCCTCCGCGGGCTCTTGTTCTTGATCCCCGTCATCCTCGACCGCTGGTTCGGAAATAGAAGAGTTGGACTCGACGCGACGCACGCTGCTACTTCTGCGGGAACCTTCTTCAGAAGAGTGGTCTTCGTCGGAGGGGATCGTGGGGATTTTGTCGTTTGTTGTGTCGGCGCATGATGGAGGAGGAGTTGAGGACGGTGATAGAAGCGGTGGGAGGTGATGAGAATTGATGGAATCGACGGAGGCGGCCATCACCAAGGCTGAGACTCTCGAAGCATGGCTTTTTTCCCTCTAGTAATGGGGTTTTCGTAACGAAGGTCAATCAGTTGGAGGTTGTCGCGTGTGGTGAAAGATGAGACGTTGCAGTGGAAAATGGATTGTCAGCATTGAATCACCATGAGACAAGACGCAACTGAACTGGACTGGAGTGAACCGGTTCACTCGACAGTGGGTGCGCCACAGTGGAGTCGGCACCGAAGGTTCCCCTGAGCGGGAGAGCGTGCTCTGAAGGCACTGAAACTTTGGGGCAGTGGGGGTCTATGCAGGGGTTGTGTCAGTGGCTTGAGATGAGAATGGATCCGTGGATCTGGATACCGTGGCGGGAAGAGCATCGCGAATCTGACTTGGTGAAAGCCAAGACGGGTATAACAAATAGTAATTGTAGAACTAATATTGACCAAAACTCCATGCCTCGTGATGTATCTAGCTTTTCCTGCAATGCCCAGCACTCCCTCTTGTTTAGCGTGTGCAGGTTCTAGATCCTCTGCCGTCATGAGGTTTCGCTTCAGTCCAAGACAAGGTTTCACTGAGCATGTCATACAACCATTTACATTCTTGAACCTCTATTAAGTATCTTTATACATCATTAACTCATCTACCTGACTCTAAATAAGGTACTCATCAAACCACTGCACGGCCTGGAAGAAAGCCTGCTCCTTGGCAAACTTCTTCTTCTTGTCCTTCAGATCAGCGCGCACAGCAAAACCATGCTCGACGTGAGAGAACAGGTTGATCTGGAAAGGCTTGCCAGTCTCGATCAGAATCTCCTCGGATCGGTGACGCTTTTCGGCGGGGAAGATGCTGTCGGTTTGAGCAGCGGCAATGGAGAGGGGACCGGTGATGGCCTTGAGCTCTTCTTCCTCGACGAACGAGGGGTGAGCGACGTAACCGACGTCGATGCCCGCGCTGTAGTTGCGAATAACGTACTGAGACTGTTAGCGATGTGCTTTTAAGTTGAGGTAAACAGCCGTACCTTGGCGCCGAAGCAGTATCCGACAGCTCCAATCTTAGTAGCACCCTGCTCCTTGAGCGTCTTGATAGACTCAGCGATAATAGGATCGATCTGAGCGGGGGTGTGGGGGTTATCGCCTTTGGCACCCTTTGTGATCCAGCTCATGATATCAAGACCCTCAGGCATAGGCAGAGGCATAACATCGCCGTTGAAAATGTCGGGAATGATGGTGGTGTAGCCGTTGGCGGCGAATTGATCAGCCATCAACTTGCTGTTGGTCCAGATTCCGAAGATATCGGCAATGTAGACAATTCCGGTACCCTTATGCGCCTTGTCCGCGGGAGCTGTCGCGATGTAGGCGTCAAGACCGCTATCGAGCTTGATCATCTTGCCGGTGGGCTCGCCTCTGCAAAGGAAGCATTAGATATAAATTGCGCGAACACCATTTTCGGGGTAGACTTACTCATGGCGAACACCCTCGGTGCAGCACTTAGCAGGTTGGTTAGAAGCCATTGTGATAGTAGTTTTCCGTTTCTCTGCAGAATTGTAGAATGGAGGGGAAATTTCTCGGAGGTTACTTGGCCGAGTTTATATCCTCTTTCCAAGCGGACCCAGGCCCTTCTGAGTGACGCAATTAATCGAGGCCGAGATGCCGTGTTACCCCACAAGCAATGGCCATTCCGTGAACTATTCCCGTGTGCTTTCTAAGCAACCTCTCTGTGCTAACTGGTGAAAGGTGGGATATCTGGGTCTGGGAGAGGAGTCTGCTTGTGGATGGTTTTGAAGCTATCCCCATTGGGCTTCATTTTTCGCTTTTAGACTTTTAGCTCCGACGGGATATACGGATATGGACATTGGGCCAAATGCCGAATTACGAAACTATTCCACGGCATAGCATTTTGACTTTTGGGGAAGTCGGTGTATGTGGGATGTGGTGAATGTCATTCATTATTCGTATAGATGGTATCATTATGTGCTCCAGGAATGCAAGTAGTTGTATAGTACACAGCGACAATCTCATCACTTTTGCCGAATGCCCTTGGGTTTTCTCTTCTTGAACACCACAGTCTGTACACCCGACTCAGCCTCCTCTGGCTCTGGCTTTATCAGAGGTTCAGCAGGTGCCTCCGTCTTGACTTCTGTCGCATCTTCCGTCTTTACGGTTGTGTCCGGCGTCGCATCGTCCTCCTTCTTAACATCCGTCGTATCCTCTGTTTCCTCCTTCATAGCCCTGGGCGTAAACGTCGATCCGCTTAGTAGCGCATCGAGTTCCTGATCTTCTTGTTGTGGCATAACTTTTGAGTCTCGTCCCCATCGCCTGGGCTTCTTGAACAGTCCGCGCACAGCTTCCTCCTCTTCCTTCTCATCCTCCGTCGCTTCGCGCTTCCGTACACCATTGGCTCTAGCTTCTACCTTTGCTTCTTCATCTTCTTCTGTCTTCGTCTCGATAATTCTTGTATTCGTAACCGTCCACTCTCCAGGCATGGCCATCTCAGGTCGAAAGTCACTCGGCATCGCCACGCCCATGGCAGCAAGCTGTTCTCTCTGTTTCTTCAAAGACGCTTCTGTCGGTGCGCTCTGTTGCGCGCGCGGCGCAGGTCTTGACGATGGGCCTGCCGCTGCAGATGAGGCTCCGACAACTCCATTGAGACGTTCGACTTCCCGCTTGGCGCGGTCTTTTTCGCGTTCTTCTCGCTCGTGGTTGCGGTGCAGGTCGCGGAGGAAGCGTTTCAGCGCGCCTTGATGTTTGGCAGTAGATTCATGGTTTTGGCGCTCGAGTTTTGTGTCGCGAACATAGGTCTCGCAATGCTTGCACCAGTATTTGGGCGTGGATTTCCAGTATTCTGACATTTTGGGTGGTGATGTTGAAAGAAGGTTGCCTGAATGTTTCTAGAATTAGTGGCTTGGGATCAAGGTGCTTATCCTGAGCTGCAAGACTAATGCACGGGCCATGAGAGCGCTCCAGGGTAGGCAAACTTCTTACATGTGAGGATGCCGATTAGAGCTGATGAAGAAGCCAAGGCAGTGTACATTTCGCGTTAACTCTAGTCAAAACTAGTATCAAAACTTATTTTCTATTTCTTTCTATATGGTGTTCTCGAGTTATGATTGTCGTTGTCATTCTTGCTGCCACTGACGCGCTTCTGAGCAGTTATCGTGTTTGTAAGACGTAGCAGATCGGCAGTGTAATGACAAAATATTAAACAGCTAAGAACCGTTTGCATGTTTTATGCTTCGAATAAGAGAAGTCAAACATAATCTTACATTGCATGAGACCCTTGTAACTAATAAGGGGCGATATCCATTCCTATGGAAATGATCTGTTAATCCCAGAGGTTAGAAGGAAGCGCTTCCTGCATGGCGATCTTTGATGTTTGTGTTTAGCGCGATGACATACGTTGCGTCAATATAGACACTGCAGTGTACCGAATATTGTTGGAACAAGAGTCGAGTGATCAATATTGATTGCTCGAAGCTATCCTTCTTGGGCAAGTCAGAACCAGCTCAAGCCGACAAGGACCCTGCATCTTTTCTCCGAATGGGCTAAGATACGCGAACGAATGATCCAAGCGGTTTCACGTTTCGCTTCGACAATCTGATGATCTAGATCCCATCTCAAACCGAAGATACCCTATCTGTAATAGTATAATAATAAATATCTTGACCAAACAAGCATAAGCTTCATCACCTCCCTCAGTCGGAGAATATCGCAATGCTGCCGTGCTCTGAAAAAGCGTTAGCCCAGCCGCCGTGTCCCTTGCATCATCCCTGGATCCCAACATCCATCAGTGGAGCATCGTTCAACGTTCAATACGATGTCGTACGTATTGTAAATAACGCAAAACTCAGTTCATTACAATTTGCTTGGCGCTTACAGCGTTGGCCGCCAATAAGCGCATCCTAGACGCATTGCCTATTCTGGGTCTCGAGTAAGCGATGATTCGGCGGTGGCGGTCTTTGGGAGACTTTTTTTTTTCTCTGGGTGAGAATGAGGCAAAGATGGCGAGAAACTTGGCGGTCGCTCTGCCGTTGAGCCGCAAGCTTGGGATGCTGGGCGGTTTTGAACTTCATGTCATGGCGGGTGAATGAAACAAGGGATTGTGCGAAAAGACCCTGGATTCGTGAGGTGCCATAGCGCATGAGGATACAAACTTTCCTTTTCCTTGATGATCTGAACCATGCAAACTTGCTTCCATCAACAATGTTCGTCATATCACATCTCACTTCAAGCTCAGCCTCCAACCTTGCAATCCATTATGTAAATGAGTCCCTTAAACCGGGTTGCTTCTGATTGTCCATTGGATTCTCTTCACACAAGATCGGGGGCCATCCCTATAGCGAGGTCGTCGGGTCCAGCTGCCGATTCTGGTCTTTGACAGCGGAATGTCTGTGTAAACCGCACCATATTTCTTCTTGTATCCACAAAATCCACTGTCAGACTCTCTAACGAATCATGTACTGCTTGTCTTTGCTTGTTTCTACAGGGTATCGAGAAAACTCTGCAGAGTTTCTCAGCCGAGGATCCACTGGTTCCTCAGTCTCTTGCGCCTTTGCCGCAAACGAATCATGAACTACGTCACGTGAGACGGCTGCACACGTGATCTCTCAATGAGCTGAACTGAAGAGTTTGAGACTGTGACGTCATGCGCTGTCTTGGCATTTCATCTCGTAAACCTCCTTCGGATCGCCATTCCGTGAACAAGTTTTATAAGTCATGTTACAGCAACAACAACAACAACGAGAGCGGTACGTATCCAATGCGATGCGACGATCTCGGCGACATGCGAAACGAACATCATGGAGAAGGAGAAGCTTAATTTGCAAGACGCGTTGAACGGACTCGTCTCATCCTTGAGCTCATGAGGTTGTTTGATGGGTACGCTCTTCCTGATGAGAGAGGTTCAGTGGAGAAAACCAGTTGCCTCCGCCTCCTCTAATATCGACGATATCCACCATCTTCACTCGGACTCGTTCTCTCGCTTCTCCAGTTACTTAACGAGACTCCATAATGACGCGATGTCTGCAATTCTCGCTCTCACTCCTCAACAAGGGTTCATCACCATCGAAGGATTGCAACCACCAACGACCCACTGAGCTCTCCACCACCACCATGTCTGAGTCTCGACTTGTGGGTTTTCCCTTGCTGTGTTCTTCTGGGATCGTCTCTATGAGTTCCATTCTCATAAAGTCCTTTGCTCTCGCTCTCCCTTGAACTTCTACTTTCTCTCTCATCCCCATCTCCCATCTCCACATGCTCGCAACCCCAGATCACTTCTGAGGTTGACAAGTGGTTTTGTGCTGTCTCATCAACTAACAGCAACTCGGCCGAATCGTCTCCAACATGTCCTCCGACTCGGAAAAGGCCTCCAAGAGGGCCGAGAGCCCCAGCCCCATCGCCGAGAATGATGGTGGTAACGCTGATGGCCTTCATCGCCGTCTCAACAATCGTCAAGTTCAACTCCTCGCTATCGGAGGCACTATTGGTACTGGTTTGTTCATCGGTATCGGTGCCGGTCTGGCCAAAGGTGGCCCTGGCAGTCTCCTCGTCTGCACAGCTCTCTACGCCATGGTTCTCGGTCTCACCAACAACTCTATCGCTGAGATGAACACTTATATGCCTGTCTCTGGCGGTTTCATCCGTCTTGCTGGTCACTGGGTTGATGATGCCCTTGGCTTCATGGTCGGATGGAACTTCTTCTTCTACGAGGCTCTCCTGATCCCCTTCGAAATCGTCGCTCTGAACCTCGTTGTTTCATTCTGGAGTGACAATATTACTGACGCTGGTCCAACTGCTGGCTTCATCATCGCAGTCATCATCGCATATGGGTAAGGCTTAAACCCCGAGCTGCATCCTGATGAACATCGTCACGGATGCGATCCATGGTTTCTTTCCTCAATTCTGCTTCCCTCCCTCTCCCTGTCTATGTGTGAATGCATGCTAAACATTCGTCTCCTCTTCTAGTGTGTGCAATATTCTTGCTGTTGGTGTCTTTGGTGAAGCTGAGTTCTGGCTGGCCCTTGGCAAGGTCCTCCTGATCTTTATCCTCTTCATGTTTACGTTCGTGACGATGGTTGGGGGTAACCCCCAAGGTGACGCTTATGGCTTCCGCTACTGGTCCAATGCGCATGACGCATTCGCGACATTCCGAACCGAAGGTGATCTTGGACGTCTAGAAGGATTTATGGGTGCATTGGCCTCCGCTGCCTTCTTTGTCGTCGGTCCTGACTACATTTCTATGGTCGCCGCCGAATCTAAGCACCCTAGCCGATATGTCAAGACTGCCTTCAAGACCTGTTACTTCCGTTTCGGTCTCTTCTTCATCGGCGCTGCCCTGACTTGTGGCATCGTTCTTAGCCATACTGATGAGACACTTGTTGAGGTCCAATTTGGCAGCGGATCCGGCGGTGGCACTGCTGCTGCCTCTCCTTGGGTCATCGCTATGTCCAACCTCGGTATTGAAGGATTGCCCCATCTAGTCAATGCCCTTCTTTTCACGACTATCTTCTCTGCTGGCAACACGTACACATACTGCGCAACCCGCTCCCTGTACAGTCTCGCCCTCGACGGACGTGCCCCTGCCTTCCTCCGCAAGACCACCAAGAGCGGTATCCCTATCTGGTGTTTCGCCGTCACCATGGTCTTCCCTCTGTTGGCCTTCCTTCAGCTCGACAGCTCCTCCGCCGAGGCTCTGACTATCCTTCTCGCCCTCATCACCGGTGGCGGTATTGTGGATTATATCACCATGAATATTACCTTCCTCTTCTACTACCGTGCGTGTAAGGCCCAGGGCATTGATCGCAAGAAGATGCCCTACTTTGGCTATTTCCAGCCCTACTGTGCCTGGATCGCTCTTATCCTTCACACAGTCGTTTGCTACACCTATGGATACACATCCTTGGCCCCCTTCGACGCGAAGAACTTCTTCTCCAACTACACCATGCAAATCATTGCTCCCTTCATGTACCTAGGATGGAAGCTCGTCAAGCGCACCAAGATCGTCAGTGCCAAGGAGTGCGATATTGTCTGGGAGCGACCTGTCATTGATGCCTATGAGGAGCGTGCTATGATTGTAGACCCCCCTACTGGCTTCTGGGAGGAGATCATTGGCCTTGTTGGTATCAAGAAGAACAAGAAGAAGAACGCCGCTGAAGTCCATGTCTGAGCGTGCACCTGGAAACGGTGAACGTGAATGAAGAATGACGCTGCAACATTTATGATGCGCAGAAGCAGTGAGTCAGTTCGACAATTGTCGCGACTGAGAAGAGGTCAAGCTCCGCTTATCATCATCGAAGCGCAGATATCGTGGACAGAACCCTGCTGCGCCGCCTGAAGTTACAGGCGGCATAAAAGATACCCAAACGTCATTCCCCAATGGGTCGAGTGACGATAGCTTGTATGAATTAGAGTATATATACGAATATATGAATGAACATATCCTGCTATGATTGATCTATTCGCGCCTCCCAACGACATGCTCATCCAGTGTTGCGAACCACTGAGAAGCGGAGATCTCTGTCTCCTAGGTTTGGGCTAATTTACCTAAATTCTTTTGTCGCTAAGGATTCCTGGTCCGAAAATTTCTTGCCTCCCTTACTCCCCCTAGAGCAGGCGGATAACGCACCGGAGGTAGGTGGGGACTAACGGCCCGAAAGGCCAGCTCCGTACTTTCTGACCGGTGCCGGACGCCGAGTGGATCCTCCGGGAGGGAGCATATGATCCACTGAACGCAGCGTTACAATTTCTTTGCTTTGTCCTCATCGGCCTTTTTGCGAGCTCGGTTAAAGCTATAGATGATCCACTGTTGGGTGTGCTTGGTCGGATGTTGGCTATCAATCTTGCGGCGCTGAGTGACCGTTGCGTCTTCCTCAGCAATAGCCCTCACATTCAACACTCGACATGCTGCCACATCTCTCTTTTGTTCGCACCAGTTGAGTATCTCGAACAGTGCTTGACTTGTACTCAATTTCAACCCAATGTCTTCGTTTGGCGTATTCCAAGATGCTATCAACAGAACTCCTCTTTTGCCATCGCAATGGAACCCGAGCAACCCATACTCCAGACCAGCTCTTGATCTCCGTCTCTTCATTCAACAGATTGAATGAAATTCGCCTTTTTTCATTGTACCTGCCAACAAATAACCATTGTCGAATGACAAAATCTGGGTTTGCAGTACTGAGGGAGGAATTCTTGGGTTTACAAAGATAGTCAGGCACCTTAGCGCCATGAAGCGTGAGAAACTTGACTGCCTCCAATCTGTGGCTTTGAATGGCAGCATTCAGGGGCGATCCGTGTTCACGACAATGGTGTTCAAGATCACCAATCCCAAGCTTGACGAAGTTCTGGATCGCCGTGACAGAACCCCAGCAGGCTGCTCGACATAGCAAACTATGAGCACCGGGGGTTCGCAGGCCACACAGCTGGCGAACGCCCTCAATCTTGACCGAAGGTTTGACATACCGGAGGTTGTAGGTTATCGCGACCAAGGTGTCTACTCCGTTGGAGAAGAAATGGTCAGGCCAGCTGCTGAGCTTTCCCACTTGTAGATCGAGTCTCATGTTCAACATGAATAACAAATAACACCGGCAAGGGCTTGTAAAAAGACAATGGGAAGCGGAATAACCGAACTTATCGCATAAGTATAGATCGACGCCATGGTCTAGAAGTTGCTTGAAGAGCCCAATGTTGGGTTTGGTGCCTGGGACACAAGTCCATAATGTCATGAGCATGAGGAGATTTCTTCCCTCAGAGTTTATTCGATTGCTCGGTAGACCTGCCGCGAGAAGAATATCGACAACCTTCCATGACTTTTGTACGAAAGCCACATCGAGGAGCTCGTGGGATGAAGTATTCATCACGTCGACATGGGCACCGCGACTGAGGAGGAGCTCTACAACTTCTGCTGAACCGTGCTCAGATGCAACAAAGAGAGGTGTGCAATTTCTGTCGTCAGCTATGTTAACGTCGGCACCGTGAATTAGTAGAGCATTTGCCGCTTTCACATTATTTTGCGCAGCTGCTAGAAAAAGAGGTGTTCGGTTCGGATAAAGGGTATCCCCTTGATTGATGATGGCACTGAGCGAGTCAAGTGTTGAGGTGCTCTCGAAGATGCGGCTGCCTGATATGTCTCTGAAGAACTTCCTGTGTACTAATTAGCGGCATCCTGACTTAGTAACTTGATGATTTACTTACGTGACTTCGCCTTGGCCTAAGGCCTTGCCCTGAAGCTTGTTCAACATTATCATGAGTCCGTATGTGTTATGTGAAGCGAGAGGTATTTCGAGAACACTGTGTTGTTTGTGTGAGCCGGCTCCTCCCTCTGCAAGGTATGCATCCAATAATGTTGGAAGAAGGTGGTTAAGGTTCGGTCGCTCCAGGAAAAGATCGAGAACTGTACAATAGGCGTCCTTATTAGGATGAGCCATGATGGTTGAAACAGGCGCACCCATTCTAATTAACCACCCCATCACCTTGTAATAACCTTGGATTATGGCCAGAGCTAACGGCGTCAGAAGTATGGCAAAGGGCAGCTCACACTCCAGCGGGCAGCCGAGACCGTAAAGCTTCTCACAAGTCTGTACATCATCCTGAAGAATAGCCCAATGGAATGAATACGCCAGAGCACGCATACCGCATGACGTTTGTGAAAGGATGCCGAATCGATGTAAGGATTGCATAGCCTCAGAGAACCTGGGTTCATACAAAATGAGGGACAGGGCTTTACTACTTGTCCAGTATTCTTCCGTTTTGTAAAAAGGCAGGAGAAGACAAACAGCCTCGAGGTGTAATCGAGTCGCTGCCGCACAAATGGCCATCTCATGGGGCTTAGATGTCATTTTTAGCGCAACATCAACGTCGCCCAAGTCAAGAAGTTCCTCCAAAACCGTTACCGAGTTCAGCTCTGCGGCTAAATGCCACACGGTCCTACCCAAGTTATCGGTATTGAGGGTTGATCCACCAAAGCGCAATAACGCTTGAAGAGCACCGCAGGTATTCTCCCGACAGCACATATGAACTGGCTTGAAACCGTCTGGTCTATCAGCACGTGGATCCAAGCCGAAGGCTAAAAATGGGTCCAAAACTCGATAAGATCTCTCGAGTAATGCAAGATGAAGAGCATTCCAGCCTGGATGCTCGGGGTCAATGTCTGTCAACTGGGCCAGTTTAGCTCTCCGCGTGCTAAGGAAAGAGTTCATCCCAGTTTCATCATTTAGTTTGATAAGTGAATGAATATACGCAAGGACTTCCTCATCACTGGCGCCATCTAGAGATTGCTCTTTTGGTGACTGGGGTGGTATCTTTTCGCCTGTTCTGAAGATTAACTCTTCGGTTTCCTGGCGAAGAATAAACCTTGGAGAACCTGGCGCATTATTGTTACCAAGGACGTTGAAGAATTGTGGAAAGCGGGACCACACTTGAGAGGTCTCGGAGGTGGAGGAAGGCATCTGTAGGTACCGATTATAACGAATGCTGAAGAGTTGCACACCTTGAGCCGTGATAGACACACCAGCCTTAACAAGCTCGGTAAAGATTTCCTAATTGTTGGTAAAGTTGTTAGGACATGACAAGGTGAGAGATATGATAGTTCCCGATGGTAACGGGGTGGTAAGGGGCGAGATTGAGGAGTTCAGCAACAAATGCACTGTTCGTAGTCGAGCCACGTGTCCGACATGGAAGTTTCTCCGATCAGTAATGGGACCCTCGGATATAATGTCATTGTCTCGTAAGTCCAGAAAATTATAAAAGAAACCTCGGCCGCCAAGGGCACAATGTAACGGAGTCCCAAATTTGCTGCATGCTAGTACATCAGAGCCACCTTCCAGCAACTCCTAGCATGCATCAGGCATACTGAATGCAGCTGCCATATGAAGAGGGGTAAATTCGGGCCTAAGAACTGCAGCGATAACTTGCGATAGAATCTTTATTGGCTCGGATGAGGCTTCTATAGATGAGGGATGATGACAGAATATGAAGTCAATTGCCCACAGACAGAAAGCAGGCGTTTTGGACGGATGCAGGAGCTTTCGTAGGAGCTTACGCGTTCTGTCTCCCATTTTTGAGGCTGTCGCATATGCCACCCAAGTGAGTACTGACGGTTCGTAAAAGGTTCTGCGCCTGCGTTGCGCAAGAATACAGCTGATAGCGCGTGTTGTGTCGCGAGTTGGCGAGAATCGCTCTATATCCTCCATGGTGAGGAAGCGTAGGCAAAGGAAAGAAAAGAAGTCTATACCGTCTTCATGCGAAACAGCGTACTCCTTGAGTTGTGGACATTCATGATCGGAGTTGCGAGTCTTCAGCGAGTGAAGATATTCTTTGACTGTAAAGTGTGCAAACTGGATTCTAGTTTTACCACCATTGAAGGAACCGGATTTGCTGACTCGAACAAGGCTACTGCACCATCGCAACAATTCCTCTTCTTCTACAATCTCATCATCTTCGAGAGTCGTTGCATCTTCTTCCAAGGAGATGGCCTGGCAAATCTCTTCAAAACTGAGTGAGACGAAAGAAGTTGCGAGCATTAATATTGCTTTCTTCACTAGCCGCTTCACTGTATCATCGTAACCATCAATTCTCAGTAATATCCGATCATAAGTTGCATAGAGTGAGGGGGGGAGTTTGCTCAAGGCTTCACGCCGAGCTCTGTCTGTTGGGAGTTCGCACATGTAGTCCAGTTGGCAGGCTACCCAGCGAAACCTAGAGACCGCTTTAGTAGGAATGAGTGGTATCAGAGCAAGCGTGACTTACATTCCTTTAGCTTCCCCGACCAGTCTTGTTATAATAAGGTCTTTCAAACTCTGGACACGAAGCCTCAACTGTTTCGAAGCAATCCTTTCACTAAGTTCCGAGGCAACATATAGTTGTAGATCCTCAGTATGAGCCTTAATCTCGACGTGCGGGAAGTCATTCTTGAGGCGTTGACGTATAATAATCTCGTCCCGACTTGACAGTGCCATGTTGATAACATCATAACCCTGTAACAGCGAAAGCTTGGCCAAACACTCTACATTTGCTGCAACACGATGGTCACACTCGTCAAGACCATCAACAATGATATAAGTCCGAGTGAAGCAAGCACAGATGAGATGTAGTTTCTGAGCGAGTGTCTCGGCCGTGGGCCTTGCAGAAAGATCACGGCCTGAGAATAGTTGGTCGTGATATTCTTGTAAAATTTGAAACGCGCTTTCGCTCTGCATTGCAAGTTGCATGCAGAGAGACGAGAGAATGGTCATTGAGTGTTGAGAAGACTCGTTCTTGTAGGTGCAGAAGAAGTATGCGACTGCTTTTCTTGTGTCTTGGGCATTTCTCTGCAAACACTCCTCGATCATGGCTACGGCAAGGACAGATTTCCCTGCACCAGGTATGCCGCTGCACCAGAGCCTTGAACCGGGAGTAGAGTACCAGAAGTCAAAATCTGGACCTTGGGTAAGCCAAATACCTGTGAGCCCCTGTCGCAGCTTTCTGTTCGTCTCGTATTCGCCTCTGGGATTTACCCGCCCAAAGTCGCGTAGAACTTGATTCCTTTTGGCATCAAGAGAAATCTTGACTTGGATACCCAAGATCCTCTCCGCAGTGAGATTGATCTTGTCGAGGCCATTCTTTATTTCGTCTTGTCGCGATAAGCAATGTTCAAACATAGCCAGAGAGTCGGCGGCAAGAGCTGTGTGAATGATCTGGTTGTAGCGCTGTACGTCTTGGATCATTTCCTTGGACTCGGTCGACGTGAAAGGCCATTTTAGTCGAGCATACAGTCTTTGGTGCTCAGAACCCGAATCTAAGGAAGCTTCTGTGCGCGAAAGGCCCGCCTCCAAGAGCCTCAGTAGTTGGTGGCAATCGTGGAGATAATGCGGTTGAAGAACAGACGACGGCTCGTGAACAGCAGCAGTTGGTTCAGGTGGTTCAGTCTCTTCTAGGTCAAAAGCGACAAGGGAAAGATTATGCAAAATAACAGAGAGGCTCCTGATTTCGCGAATGAGGTTTCCAACCTCTGTCGATGCACCTCTGTAGCTCTTGACGTATTTGGTACCTGACCGAAAGATGAGATCGGCAAGGGCAACTAACCCAGCGATGCTCGCTGAGATGGAAAGAGGGTCCGCCACTGAGATGAAAACGGCAAGAATGAAAAAAGAAGAAGGAAAAAAGAAAACAAAAGCAAGGGCAAGAGTGAGATTTGGAGTTGAACTCGATCGATTGAAGAGAGGTGCATAAGTTAGAAGCTGGTACGGGTTTCAGCTACTGCTGTCAGCTCAGAGCCTTGTCAGCCCGCATCATGTTGGCAGACAATGGTGTATTGCCCAACCAAGTCATTGGAGTGAAAGCCCGTTCGCGAACAGGCTTCCTTGGACATAGGAGGGCATGAATGGTTTCTGAGCTACCCTTCTGAATGGGACAAGTGAAACACGGCGCTTATTATACTGCACAAAACTAAGCCTGTAAGCGCACTTCCAGATGAAGTCAGTACCTCCTCGTGAGACTGGCCTCGGCTCAAGACATGGCCCAGAGCTGAAAATAGTGACACAGAGCCGTTGCAAGCTAGCGCTAAATTACTGCTACAGAAGCCCTCCCAGGGAGTAAAAACTTCTGATATTGAGCTAGGGTGCACACATTAACTGGTCTCAAGGCCTGCTAAAATATACTTAACTTAAGGTACTAAGCTAAGCCTTTTCATCACTTACGATGGAGGTCGTAGGCTTTCTTCCCTCCTACCTTAGCCACCAAAGGGTTGCTCAATTGCTGCTGGCGGCTTACAGGCAAGGCGACCTCAGCAACCCAACTTAAGTAACCAAGACCACAAGTAAGGTATTATTCATTAGGTACCTGTGTCGCCTCTGAGTGTCGCTGCATAATGCTTGATGTCAATAATGTGACTGACTTTTGGGACTATTTTGCCAACAATTCGCAACGGATCTTGCACTTGCCATCGCTCTCTTTGGTGAAAAAGTTACGAAGCATCTTCTCAGCTAGTCAACTACGATTCTTGGTGATATCATTTTCGCAGTTCGTCCTCTGGGAATAACCACAGCCGTCGCATCCTGCATGCCAACAGCATATTCCTCACATCCGTCATTGGAAGAGCGCGCGAGCCTCATGGCATGCCCCGAGGTCTAACTTTGCTCCTCCACCAGCGAAAATGTACGTGAGCTTGGTAAAATAGAGGAATCTGTACGGTCTTTGGGCGGCCAAAAATACTCGAATTCATGTATACCATGCCTAGCAACCCTCGAGAGTACCGGCCCAACTTCGACTCTCCTGACTCTGAGATATCCGCAAAGTGCGGCATCGAGTCCACCATAGAATTCTTGATAGGATCGAATGGAAGAGTCAAGTTGGACCAGCAGTGTCTGGACTGCCATCTACTACAATAGAGCAAGACCAGAAACGAGACGGATCATGGAGAAGCGTCTCTTCTTCCGAGTTTCTTCGTCTTCCAATTTCGACCATCTTGTCAAAATTGTATAACAATGTCACGAGAACAAACGCAGGAATAGAGATTTCCTCCGAAGTCGACATCGAAGGTGGCATCATTGATGGCAATGCTAAGAAAATGGCGAACTCGACCAGAGACAACAAATTACTTACACATCAGACACAAAACCTAATTTTCAGAAGAAACAATAAAGAAAATGACCAAGACGGCTTGTATCCCGATAAAAACAGAAATTTCGCTTCATTCCCAAACTTGGCGCTAATGGGTCTTTCGGGACTGTGGTCAGCAGCCATACTCGGAGTCTTACTACAAGCCAGTTTCTTCGTTTACGCAACCTGCACTACGAGATACAAAGCCAGCGTTTACAAAGATAAAAGGATTCCGAGTAATCCCGGGTGGTTTTCTCTTACCGTCACCGGCACTACCTTTATCGTTATTGGGATGGCACTGTCTGTACAGGTGATTGACGGGATCTCTCAAGAACGTAGGTTGGTGTTCTACGGCACTGACAAACCTCGTATGTTTTGGCTACAACCTGCGGGACGGCGTATAGGGGACCAAGAGTTTGATGGATTCGCGTACAACCAAATTAAGACAGACTATATAACGTCCTGGAAGAGTAGCGGGCTCAAATCTGGCTGCTATCGGCGTGTTTGGTTCGCCGTTGCATTTTCCATTGGAGTTTGGGTAATGTAGTTCGTGGGGTTACGAGGAGTCCATAGCACCGTTTAGCTTTACCAGCTTACTTTCACTGTGGCCATGTCGATTATCCGAGGGTGCCTTAGCAGCTGTAATACTCCCCCGGACAATTAACTTTCACCGAGCTCACATGATATGACAGGCCATGAACTCGACTGGCAAGCAATAAAGCTCGAAAGCAACCATCATCAGTAGTCCGACTTCAAAGCATCCCTACAGCGGGCTGGAAGAATACCCACGTCGGGTAAGCTCTTGGGTCCTGTTGGAGACCCTTACAAGTCAGTCGTTTGGTCAATAGGCTGCCGGTTTACTCCAGAGTGGCATTCCAATATTTCGCATTTCTGGAGAACAGCCAATTTACTCTCCTTTGCTCCGCAAGGGAGATGCCTGGGCCATCGATAACCATCAACTCGAGGCCATCTTGGGGTTTTGGTCATAGTGCTTCCAGAAATGGCGCGGTCAACACAAAGGAAAGCTGCCATCAGGAATCAAGCCCTTTGCAGTATATCACAAGTCTAACAAAACCTTGAGAATTGTTTGTGAGCGCTGGGGCATAAAAGCTCGCCATGAATGTTTTATGATCCTGCCAACGGGGGAACAAAGTGATCTATCAACGCCTACTATCGTGTCACTTCAGCTAATCGAATCCGGAGACAGTCAGTCAGCTGTTTTAAGAAAAGGCTTGGAGGCTAATATTCCATCCATTGACTCAAAAGCTTCAATAATCAATCTGATGGCACAGGACATCTTTACTTTGTTTCTGAAAAGAATAGCACTGGTCCTAGACAGCATCATTGCCAGCATTCTGTACCCCAACCTTGACAGGTCATCGGGACCAACAACTTCGTTAATTAATGATCTGGCAGAGACGATGATCGCAGAACGGTTGGCTACACGCGACAAAGCTATCATGACTATTCTACCAGGCTTCTATCAAGACTCAGTGTTCCAATACCCACTCAATTTCCAGTTGATCTCTGTGGCAAACTCTCTCAAACAACAGAACAGATTTGACGAAAGCGAAGAGATAATCGAGCGCCTCATCAAGACTGCGACTGGTACAGTGGGAGTTCTTGCTGAGCAAACCTTGTGCGAATTATGCCGCTGTGAATTATGCTTGAGTCAGAATCAGCGAATTTTCACGGCATCAGAACTTCGATCAAGAGCTGAAAGAATGCCAAAAGAAGAGTTGTTAAATTTATCAGATATAATAAAGCGTATTGTTACAGGAAAGCTTTCGATAAGATTCGCTTTAGCTATCTCTGAGTACCGAGTCCCGAGCCCTCTTGGGCGAAGCAACAATCACGAATCTCACTCAACAGCCACTGACCGAGGAAATATTGGCGGGCCTTGATCCAGACACTTCTCAGCAACCGTTATCGAAACAGTTTGTACTTGCCTTGATATTATCCCATGAATATGACCTCGGCGCATCTGATGTTCGGGTTAGAAGACAGCTCTTACGATGAGCAATCGAGAGAGACTGCTGTGGTTTAGTTGAAGATGTGTGGGCTTCAGAGCAGCGCATCAAGCAGAAAGAGAGTGCTTTCGGCGCAGGGTCTGATGAGTTATTTTGGGCACTCTTGTCTTCAGAATATGACGGAATGGCCACGATGCTGTTCCTGCTTGATGTGGCACAAGTCTGCAACGGAGAGCTCGAGCAAAGAGATCAATTGTAGGAAGTACGGTGGTCAACGAGCCAGCTACAAGGCTACATCAGGGAGAGCTATAAGCAGTACAATTGCGTGTTGACGGTAGCATCTTCAGGTCTTCGCGGCCTAGAGTACGTACAGTTATTGGCTGGTTCGAGAACTTGGAGCCTTGAATGCTTGTATGAAGCAGTTCTTGCAGCCCTTGACACAGGGAGCCTAGAGACATTGGAATGTCTGTATTCAAGAGAATGGCCATGGGCACAAGGTGAGGCGGGTTCCATAAGTTCCTTAGTCAAACTCCTTGGGACGGCTTTAAGATGGGGTATCAAGAACTTGTCAGAGTTGTACTCGCCGGGGAAAAGCATACATCTGTTGTACCATTCAAAAGAGAACATATTGAGATGGCCATCAAGGCAGCGAAAGAAGGACTACGAGATTCTCAGATGGAGAGGGCACGAGAAACTTTTCAACATGATAGAGACGGAGTTTTAGAACTTCTTATGGAAGCGAAGAAGAAGCTATAGTGATGTAAGATAGTCACTTCTCAAAACATATACCGGTATATGACCGATACATGAGGACATATAGATGAAAATTAGCCGACGAAGCCAATAGGAACCCCCCAGGGGTTCATTGCTCATCATTCCGAGGAGATGCTAGTTAATATCGGGCCTTTTATGTCAAGGTCCCGAGTCTTCGGTTAGCTAAGGCGGAGACGGAACTACGGTCTTGGCAACGCTAAGAAAAGGCATGGGCTTATAATGGTCTGCTCCCAAAGTCTGCCGATGGTCCGATTTTGTGGTCATATCTATTAACATAACATTGGCTGTCCCAATTAACAATCTATGAGATGATATATAGTCTAAAATCTAGGCAGAGTCATATTTTGACTCGAACACCAACGTTTTCAACATGAACGACAAAAAAATCTCAACGCAGCCGGATTTGGAGACGCAGGAAATTTCGCCGACTTCCGAAAAAGCCCCAGATGGAGGATATGGCTGGATCGTCACAACTTCAGTGGCTATCGTCAACGGCCATTCATGGGGTATCAACGCAGCATATTCTGTCTTTCTCGCCCATTTTGTCGAAGAGAATACATTCCCTGGTACAACACCACTTATGTACGCCATCGCTGGATCGCTTAGCGTAGGTGTCATGATGCTCATCTCGCCATTCACAACTACCATGGCTAGAGAACTTGGTACAAGACCGACGATGCTTATCGGGGCTATAGTACAGTCTGTTAGCCTTGTGTGTGCCAGCCTGTCAACTGAGATATGGCAATTGTTTCTCTCTCAGGGAGCACTCTTCGGAATTGGGATGGGGCTATTGTTTTTACCGTCCTATGGAATTATATCGCAGTGGTTTACAAGACGACGGGCTTTAGCTAATGGTATTGCCATCGCTGGGGCTGGTCTCGGAGGATTGACGTACTCACTCGCTACCGGGGCTATTATTCGCAACATGGGCTTGGAATGGGCATATCGGATTCTTGCAATCGTATCGGCGGTGGCGAACATCACCTGTACACTGCTTATACGAACCCGGTATAACTCACAAGCAACGAGACTTGCTTTTGACACGACTCTTTTGCACAGACCGGAGTATCTTCTTGTATTAAGTTACGGCGCCTTCAGTATGCTAGGCTATTTCGTCCTCATCTTCACACTCGCCAATTACGCAAATGTTATTGGACTCTCGTCGTCACAAGCATCGATGATTCCAGCATTCTTCATGTTCGGCCAGGCCATCGGTCGTCCTTGCATCGGATGGCTAAGCGATCGATTCGGCAGAATCAACCTCACCTTCATCATGTCTCTCATCACCGGAATTTTGACCTTTGCGATATGGATTAACGCAAAGTCATTTGGTGTCCTGCTCACCTTTGCACTTGTCGGGGGTTTATCAGCTGGTGTCTTCTGGGTTAACATATCACCTGTCCTCGTCGAGGTCATGGGTCTGGAGAATCTAGCCTCGGCGTTGAGTTGCCTTTGGGTTGCTATGGCTGCTCCGTCGACGTTCAGTGCGCCTATTGCTTTGGAGATTTATACAGGAACAGGGAGTTACTTGGGCGCGCAGCTGTTTACTGGATTTATGTACATTGCTGCATCCTTTTGCGTACTTGGAGTAAGACGGTGGAAGATCGACAGCTTGAGAGGTGCGAAAGAAAGGTCCCCAGCATCAGGAGAAGATGGGCAAGATCTGAAACCGATGAGTTGGGATTTGAAGTGTCTTAAGCTCGATATAGTATAGCTGACCGTAAAATACCTACGCCTGACCCCCAACACCTATGCCGTCAAACCCTTATGCCATCCCATTGAAGTCATTAAAGTCGAAAAAACCATTTACATCCATCATCGACTGATCCATCCCCAAATACCCCATATCTATAAACGTCGCAACATCTGGCACACCCGAATCCACAGACTTGAACCACTCATCTGTAAACATTCCTTGATCAATCGTTTCTCGCGTAGCTTGTGAATCAGGTGCCGCAATCAAAGAGTCGATCTGACATGCAAAGAAACGGGCAAGATCAAAGTAAAGGTGCACGGCTGAGGATGCTGGAAGATGTTGTACTACGCGGTCAAAGAAGGGAATAACGCTGATGACTTTTTCTGCAGCGGCGGCAGTTTCTTCTGGTGTGATACCGCCTTTCTTTACAGCCTGGGCACCAGGTTAGTGATGGTCAAATACCAAGAAATGAAGAGACTAACCCGAAGTATCTCAGTCATAGCGTGGCAGATCATAATGAATTGGTTATTCTGAAAGCCAACTGAGACGTCGTTCATTGTTTTGTCTGTTACCAAATGGTCAAAGATACGACCAGCAACTTCGATGTTCTTTCTCTGGATGATCAAAAGTGCTGATGCTGTCGCACTATCTTCAGAGGCGGTTAAGTCTCGCAAAGCCTGAGCGTTAAAGACCAGAATACTGTGATCCATATAGAAAGCGAGAATAGGGAGATATTTCGAAGATGGTAGGTCATCGGATTGACAGCGTTCGTTGCGGACGCTGGTTAGGCGGTCGTACGCTTCTTTGTGCCACTCTAGGATTGAAGCTGGTGTCGAGATTATATGTCTACGTTTCTCCATTGCTTGGAGCTGTGACAAGAATCGTCAGCTGTATATCGGTCGCGCCAGTATTGAACTTACCAATAATCCCCTAATCTCGATCACTCCACTGATGATACGATCTGTTGGTTCTGCCATAGGTGATTTCCACCAATCTACCGCAGTACGGGGTACTGCCTTCCAGCTCATACACTGCAAGCGGCCATTCAGGGCCCCGAAGCCTTTATCTACGATAAAGGTATATAGCCACGCTCTCTCATAGTTTCTGGCACACCTATCGGTCAGCTCTGGCGAAGCATTTGGAAATTCTGCGTTGACATATTCTTTCACAACGTCTGATCTGTTAATTCCCATCTCTTTGGCTAACTGAACAGCCTGCGGGGAAGTCAGCACGCCTCTGAAAATATGGAATAATATGAAAGTACTTACATGGCTTAGTGTTAGCCAGTATGGATCATCTGCCTGCCTTGCGGCGAGAGGGGCCCAGTATTGGAAGGCGATAATGGCTTGGATCGTTGAGAGGGATTTTACCGACGCGGCGATACACCATCTGATATTACCGCTGGCTAATGATGATAGAACGGGATATATGGCTCGGTCGCGAGGACGTGCTGAGACAGCACACCCCAGAGCGCAGATCACGGAAAATAGGGTGAATGAGCACCCATAGACATATTCGCGGGTATGTAATGTGGCGTCTAGAAGGCCGATCAAAGGATGGCGAATCTGGAAGAATCTTTGCTATCTGTCAGCATTACCGCGACACCACACGTGGGTTGTTGACTTACAGTTGGAAGTATAGTGAAGCGTCGTTATCATCGATCAACCTTGAAGCAAGAGGATCGCAAGTATCTCTCTCCAACTTGAAAGGAGAGTCAACTGCTTGGGTTGCAAGAATCTCCCAATCTTTTTGCTGGGCTCTATGTGGAGCTGATACGAGTTAGACGATAGACAGAAGAGGTATTGTTTCGCTTACCAAAATACAAAGCGAGTCTTTCTTTTATTGGTGCCATGATAGCTTCACGCAGACCCGGCTGCATCGGCATCTGAGATCTCAGTCTGTCGCAAGCCGCAGAGGAACTCATCGAAATAGCAGCAGTGACCATAGTTATGGGTGAGACCAAGCCATCAGCATCATCACTCTCGTCATAACTGACTGAGCGTCGATGAGTGACAGAATGCGACGATTGACTCGTGTCATGGTCATGTTCAGGCGCTGAATCAGTACCCTGTCCATGTGTCCACGGCGTTCCTCTTATAGACACTGTTGTATTTGGACTGGGAAGAGTTTGACCTAGAAGAGCTGTGAGGACTTCCTCGCGAGCACCGCTTTCTTCGATGCGAGCGAGGAGCTTTTCTACACTATCTGGTTTGCTGTCATGCGGTTAGAATTGCCTCATCCGTGAGTTATGGTCTTACTTTGTGCTACCATGCTTACGACCCCGGTTCGAACGAGCTGGATATTTACAAATGCGATCATGAGAAGCGCAGCGAGAACTAACATCACCGTGTCAGTCTCGCGTGAATATGGTCAAGGCTAGACCGACTTACCAAGGATCCTGGCGATCGCACTTCTGCCTCGATGCACGGCAGCTAAAGCATGCAACCTGGTGCTGCTGCGCCTTCTCAGCTGGAACCTCCATTTCGGTTATCTTTCTATCGTTAGAGGTGGACCTGGGGGGAATTGTTAGTCGCCAAGAGTGAAATGCGGGAGGTTCGGGGTCTTGTACAGTGGTCGCTGTTTTGATCTAGACCCCGGTAGTATCCACACGTGATCGTCCTGAGTAATCAGTGGACCAGAGCATTCCCCGGAAATGGATAGTATGAGTATTACCTCGAACGGCCTTCATTAAAGAAATACACTAATTGTACCATTATTCAGTAGATGAGCATGGGATTTTCATTAACTCTTTGAGAAGCTTAGAATGCAATAAAAAGAGGAAATCGAGTCCTAACTAATCTCGTCACGTACCACTTACTCAGGATTTTCTAAGTCTGTAGAAAACTACTGTTCATGTCATGAATTGATCTGAAGAAGAGCTAGAATCTATTTCATCTGAAACTTAGGCATTCATAGGCTGGAATTTCATATTCAACATGAAACTAAAGCCTATAGGTTAAATGAATAACGCCTGGTACTAACAAGAATAGTGCTTGATCTACTCTAGAGAACAGCACTATTTTGTCCCAACATTCTATCCATCTGAGACGGTGTTTTCAAGACACAGCGCAAACGAGGCCATTTTGATATCAACTTCCATCCCATACAGATACAACAAAGCGAAAGACAGTAGTGATGTAGCTACAATCATAGTTCCTACCAGCATCTCCAAAAGTGGTACTGTGTTGATGGAGTTTCCTGTGTTTCGGAATAGCCTCCATCCCTTCCATCAAGCCCCTAGCCTTAGTTGAATAGACCATGGATCTGTATTCCACATAGTTTATGGGAGTGCAATGCTGAAAATCAGAGAGCAAAGAATAGTCGCAATCAGAAGTTTCAGAAGGAATGAACAGGACAGAAACCTTAAATGCTCTTTCTGAGATTCTCGCCATTCTAGAAGGCGGCGTACTCGTCGTTAGACACAGAAGCCAGTCGTGGAACTCTTCCCACTCCATAGTGCCGTATATGAAGAGTGCTAAATAGATGAAAATGATCTAGGTAAATGCGGGTACTCTGACTGGAAGACCGGGGCACTAGGGCGCCGAGTACAAGACAAGTGCTGAGGCTCCCAGGGTGGATTGCAGGTTGGAGAGAGGGGAAAGGGAGAAGAGCAAATCAAATACCAGACCGGTGGGTTGTGAGAAGGAAAGAAACTCAGTTGAGGTTGAGGAATGAGAACGGTATTTACGCTCTAACCTGAACAGTGGCAGTGACGTTGCTCTTTCGACGTTGGCTAAAATGTTTGTAACTTTCTCAAGCTGCTAGTCAGAACAACCAATAATTGAGCAGTATCGAATCGTTCAATGACTAATATCTCAGACAGTTACTGTTCACCTAGGCCCACAACAGACAGTCTATTATTCGGGGCGCTTATATCGACTAATTGCTGGATCTCACTCGAACAGTACATGCTGAAGTCGCTGTGAGTGGGAAGTCTCACTCATGCTGTTCTGCAGTGTTAACAAAGGTGCCTAATGTTCTAAGTGAATTTGCTGCATTTCTTTCGCGCCTCTATTTCATCGACAACAAAGAATCTCATCTAGTCATTCAATAAAGCATGCTCGAGCGACTTGTAACATGTGAAGTGATGCATTGAAGACCTAATCGGGGCGTTATCTTTTAGGATGAAGATAATTAGGAGAGATGCACGTTAGTCGATAATGGTGAAGTTAGATCATGGCTTAGCTAGATTTACTTCAGTTGAATCTACGAATATAAATGAAAGATCTATACTAATGAAACAACGGAGGCCTGGGATGTCACATCATCAGTTTCCAAGCTAGATAGCCGCGTAGGCAGCTCCGTCACTCGTTTTCGTTTTGAGAAGGGTTATGTCAGAGCTCATGTTCGATTGGAGACAAAGAATAGCAGAGTATTAGGGCCACTACCGGCTGTAGCATAACATGGAACTCGGTGAGTTCAATAGCCCGCCTGCGACGCAGGTTTGCTTTTGAGGGTGACGTTGAGATCCATCGAAGGCGACAAAGCCTCGTCTTTGTCCGAGGCATCTTGGGAAATTTCAGCGCTTGAGAATAAAGAATAACAATAATGATCAGTTGTCAACCATCTTCCCTTCAATCACAGGTATCCATGCCCTCCTCCCGGTGAACTTCCATACCCTCCAGCTGGCGCCAATCCTCCACCATGCGTTGTCCCTGAAACACCACCATAAACTCCTCCATTAACGCCTCCATTTGGCCCTCCACTAACGCCAGAATAAACACCTCCATTGACACCGCCGTACAAGCCGCCATGCGGTCCACCGACGCCTAACGATCCATTGCCAGAGCTGTAGCCGACTCCGTAGCCGTACTTGTCTTTATCTCCTGATGGTCTTGGACTGCCGTCGAATCTGCTCCCTTGGAGTCTTGATGTGGCTTCTGGTGTTCTGCGCCCAAGACTCGTTGGCCGTGGAGGCGGTAGGTCGTCCTTTTCGTCTTTATCTTTTGAGAAGAGATTGAATAAGCACATTTGAAAGGTTGAGAGGTTGTAGTATATATATTCGAACAGATAATTGTTTAGGAGTAGAGTTCGAGTTGTGAGACTCTAGGTTTTTGTTGATGAAAATTTTTGAGCTTAGGAACAAGGTTAAGAAAACGCGTATTTAGGGGTAGAGATTGACTTTTAAAATGGCAACGAGGAATATTTAGAATTAAGGTTTCTCGTCTCCGACACGCGTTCAGCGCTAAAAAGCGGGCTCTAGTGGCTGTGTGAGCCAACTACGGCCAATAGGATACACCGTTCGAGCGCCTGAACTGCACCGCCACTCATATCGAGGTCCCGCAGCCGCCTGATCTAGCACAGCCTGAAAAGACCCTGCATTGAGATGGTGCGACACGACACGACACGAAAGCATTACGAGGCAGAATTGAAGTCATTAATGGATTGCCATATGAAGCTGGAAACAAGCTTGTCTTGATTTTTGACTTTATGAGAAAATGGTATGTTATGCAAAGTTTATATGAGACTATAAAGATATTGTCCTAAACTTAAGGTCTGCAGCAAATATAGAAAAGAAAATATAAGCCATGTTGCCTTACGCCCACTGCATAGAGTTATCCTCCCTGTGAAAACCCTCTCTGTCCGCCTTCTGATGTCCGTCACGACAGTCGTCGCAATAGTAAGCAAGAACAGCACAAGAGTTTTCCATATAGATGTCGGTCTCCACGGCAGAGTTACATGCACGCTTGTTTCCTTAAAATGTATCGCTGGATCCGTCTATAGCTCTCAGATCCTTCTCTTACTGCCAGCCTTCAGGACACATGCTTCTTTTTAGAACAACATATATACTCCCTTGTCCTCGCATTCACACATCGTACTGACAGTCCTCTTGCATGACTATGCAGGTACCATCTCACAGTCAGCACGCTATTGCAACCTCCTGCCAGGCCCGCATTATGGAAGAACAGTCCTAAACAGCCTCCATTACTTTGCACTGACGCCCACCGGTACCTAACTCTCCGATTGATCCGTTATACACTCATGCCATGCCCTTGCTTTCTGTCAGACCCTGCGTCTTGTTATAGGGCTGGCAATCACGCGAGGTCACAATAGTGTCGAGCCAATTCCGTAAATCGCCAGACTATAGTATGAACTCAACTTCAATCTCAAACAATCGTTTCATTCTCTGAAGTTTCTGCGTCTAAATGTCAAGCACGATACCCAGTAGTTCAAGCCATCCTGGTTCCTCAAAGCACCTGTAGCACGCGCTTCATGTCATCACTAGAAACCTTTCTAGCATAATCGCGAGCACTGCCAAACTGTCCCTTCATATCTGGATCTGCGCCTTCACTCAACAGCCATTTTACTCTTTCAATAGCGCCCGCCATGACAGCATTGACAATTGGATACTGCGCCGTCATATGGCGTGAGATTAACTTATCGTTCACCCGCGCACCGTTCTTCACCAGCAATTCCATGGCAGAAATCCTCGCCTCGTCAAATTCTTTGCTTGGTGTTATAAGTCCGGCGTGAGGATTTGATCCTGGCGGACAGGCGCCCGCTGCATGATACAATGGTGCTCCGTTGTCAATTTTAGCACTAGCGTTGAGGAGCTTCTGCACCGTTTCGACGGTGCTTATCTCTGCTGCAGTCTCGAGTGCCTGGCATGAATTCGTTTCAGGTCCGCCAAAACGGTCGCGATTGTCCTGTTGTTTGCCAAGATTCGGATCTGCACCATTCTCAAGAAACCAGTCAAGAAGAGCATCGTTGCCGGCGCGGATAACGGATGGTAGAAGGACAGCTCCGTAGAAGCCAGGCGTGTTCACGCTCCAGCCGTGCTGCAGAAACAATTCGAATAAGGGTTTTTGCTGGCCCTGTGGAGCGGCCAAAGCCCACGATGGAGTTCTTTTTGTGATTGGTGCTCCAGAATCAAGTAGATAGCGCGCAACATCAACATTACCGCTACCCAAGGCGTTGAAAAGACCTTCGTGGAGGAAGGCTGGCGTGCGAGATTGAGAGGTAACAATGGACTCGACAGTAGACATATCACCTTCTCGACAGGCCCTGCTGAATTGGGCAAAATCGAGCTGTGAGAAAGCATAGCTGTTGAAAAGCATCAAATCGTTGGGCTCATTGATGGGAATATCATCGTAGGAGGCGCCCATACGATTGCCCGCACGCCGCTGCTCTGGTGTCATTCGCTGTAGCTCGTCGAATTGGCGTTGGGCCATGGCAAGGGCAATTCGTACTATTCCATGCGACATGTTTTGCTCCTGTTGTCGCATCATCGCCTGTCGCCCCCTCCATGCGCGGGCTTCTTGAGTTTGCCCTGACGACATTGTTCTGGTGGATTTATTCTCGGTCAGTCAACTTGAGTCGTGACAGGTCTAACGTTAGGTTATTCATAAGGCTGAGGATCCACTGGATTTGTGCTGTGCTTAGCTGACATAAACCTACTACTAAGGCAGTAAAAGAGAAGGATTCTTAAGTCCTTTCCTATTTCAAAAAACCTAGAAATGACGTACTTCTTATTTTCTTTTTAACAGTAGACTGTATATGCTACGTAAATACTATTATATAGGTAGTAATGTTGCTTGCTGAATGTGTCCCTGAAAATTGAGCTCTGGAGTACTTTCATTACCTGGATCTGCGACAACATCCTCGGGAAAATCTTCAGAAAGGAATCCGTAAAATCATAATAACGCTCAAAATTGCACAATTAATGAGGCTAGTCCAGCCATAAATATGGTACTCAGCATTCGGACAGCACTTGATCCAGCCCCATTAGTTTCCTTTGGTGCCGCAGCATCAGTTGAAGTGCTAGTAGCCGTGACCTCTGCACTTGTAGCCTCAGTTTCACTTCCAGTGGCTTGAGCAGCACTAGAATCCTCCGTGGTCGTGGCTTGAGATGTTGTTTCAAGCAGTTCCTGACCCTTGGTGATGACGATTGGCAGCGTACCAAACTTCAGCTCAAACTCTTTCGTGATACTTCCAAAACCAGTGGCAACATCGGTAATCCCGTCTTCCCCAGTTTCCTTCGGCAGCATCATGGTCGTGCAAGTCTGAGGCGTGCCGCTGCTCACAAGGCACTCAACAGAACTGACGCCGCCCAGATCGTTCAAAGCCAACATCCAATGGAAGATGCCCGTTGAAGCCGCGCCAGCTGGAACAGTCTTGCTTGCCCATGGTCCGACTACAATGGAGTTGTTGTACCCAGATGACTTGCATTCTGCGGAGACTTCGTCGGGGCAGTATAATTGCAATGTTGTTGCTGTTGGATTGGCGGCGATGACTGCGGCTGAGGGCGTGCGCTCTTTGTAGAGAGCAAAGGGAAGTATGAAAACTGGTGTGGTGAGTGCTGACGACATTTTAGTGATATAACGAATGACGATGGTGGGATGTTGGTGATGAAGAGTCTTGAGTGGGACGGTCAGGCCTTAAGAGAAACAAAGGGGCGCATGGACTTCGGCGAATTCTTAAAATGGAAAGTCAACTGATGCTTCTGGTTGGTCAATTTATGGTACGAAGAACAAGAAACTGCTAAGGCTCAGCTAGCCTGGTAATTTCGGGTTCTTGGTTAAAGCCGGCTAATATGATATCTCACGATCAAGCGGGATTCCGGTCTGATACATACTCTCATCTAATCATCTTGTAACATGCCAGCCTCACCCAGTGATACAAGATGGTGATGAGTTCTCATCCATGGTCTCTTAGTAATTTATAAGAAGAGAAGCAAATACAGCTATTGCCATAACACCCATGACACAAGCAGCACTTGGTCCAGCCCCATTCGTTTTCTCCGGTGACGCTCTGTCAGTTGTAGTTGATGTAGCCTCGCCAAGTAGCTCCTGGCCAGCAGTGATGACAATTGACATGTGTGTAAATCGAGTTCCCAACGTCGCGCCTGGAATCATGTTTGTCGCAGTATCAGTGACTGTGCCTGCATGAATATCTTCACTGTCCCAAGTCCTAGTTTGCATCCCTGTAACTAAGCGCGTGCATGTCTGAGGCATACCGCTACTCATAAGACACTCCACAGAGAGGGCAGTCCCCCAGTAACTGTTGGCAAGGTACCAATGAAACGTTCCTGTCGATGCTAAGCCTTCTGGAACAACAGTACTGGCCCATGGGCCGACGACAAAGGTGTTGCTGTATTCATATGGGCAATCGGACTGGACGGGACACCCCAATTCGATTGTTGTCGCCGTGGGATTAGCGCTTATAACTGAGCCCGTTGGAGTATGTATCATGTATTCATCTGCGTTGTAAATGAATAGGGTCGGGGTGACTGGTGGAAGGGTTTCAGTCGCGGCTTTTTGCGAAGCAGAAATCTTGCTGGCGTCCTCTGTAGGTGTAGCTTGAACGTCACTTCCCAACTGTTCTTGACCAGATGTGAGGACGATCGGTAACTGAATGGTATCCAGCATCTTCTCAGTCTCTGTCACAGTAAAGCTGTGGCGCGTCCAATTCCTATCTGGCTCCCATCTTGTATAACCTAGCGGAATTTGAAGGCCAGTACAAGTCTGACGTATGCCGGAGCTCATGAGACACTCATACGATATTGCTTCCCTTTCGATCTCCAACAGCCACTGAAACGTTCCAGTGGAAGGTAATCCTTTTGGGACGACTGTACTGGCCCATGGGCCGACCACGAAGGTATTGGTATAGTTCTGGTTACAATTGATTTTCGGGTGGCTTGGGCATTCCAACCCGATTGTTGTTGCTGTAGGATTCACACCTATGACTGAGCCTGTTGGTCTCACCATGGTGTAAACGGCCACGGAAATGACATTGACGGTTGTCGTAAGCGAGGACAACATTTTGAAGAGCGATGCGCATGGAGCAGAAAATATCTTTCTTATCAGTGCGAGATCTGGATGAATGAAGCAGTCGTGACCAGGGCTGAATTAATGTTGTGTAGCAGAGATATTCGGTTGAACCTCTGAGTTTTATACAAACAGAAAAACATGAAGCCGTCGGTGATCTCCCAGAAAGGAAGCTCAAATCTATTCATTTTTATTGGTTCATCACTCGCCAAGCAGAAAAAGCCACTGCCAAGATTGTGATGTATTGATGGTTAAAGCCGGATAATCGTCGTCCGAATAGAGACAAGTTGAGTCTCTTTCGGGTACGTTGGCTCCCTCCCGACAGATGGGAATTCACATGCCAGTCAAACTGAACAAATCCGAAAACTACAAGCCCGCACTACCAATGGCTTCATTTGTCTTAGACGTCAAGTCTTCATCTGTTATATATTTGGTGACATTGATCACCAGGAACTTTCCGACAGCTCTTCGTGAGAATTAGGCATATTTCGGACTTATTGATCACACAGATTTGACTGTCTTATAATATGTTACGCAGGAACAAGAATAAATTCTAGGGCTTTCTATTCAGATTAAGAGCGCCTTATCCAATCACTGGAACCCATCATGCATGCTATCGATAATCTTAGCCCTCTGTGTTATCATGTTGGCTCGGCACCAGCGCTCAATACTTTCAAGGCATATAAGTCCATTTTGTCTCCTGAAAACTTTCTCCCGTGTCAGAAATCGCCTCAATAGGCCAGTTTTGGCAATGTCCTCCTCGCAGGCGAGCTTCAAATCACTCTCGAACGAGCTGATAGCACAAATCTTCGAATTCGGCCATGTCTCAGACCACCTCAGCCTCGCAATGACATGCCGTCGTCTCAGCCAAGGTGGCCAGCCCACGCTGATCTGACACCAGAAGGATTTTCAAGAATACAACGTTGTGTCCGAATTTCTGCCACTGACTATACCCTTAGTTCTACAGAAGGTCGTTCGAGACCCATACGTTGCCTGGGATATCCGTTCCATCGAGATCTGGGTCGACCAGCTGACCTGGGATTTCTGGGATTCTTCCGGCTCGAAAAGCCGAAAGGCATAAACATGTTTCGGTTAGAGTGGCCAGAGGCCTTCGAGAACAAGATCGTTAACCACTATATCCCGTCAGATGAAGACATAGGCTTGTATCTCGATATCCTGAAAGAATACGAGTATCAATACGAGTATCTAGCACTACCGGAATTTGAGTTCGCTCATAGAAAAGATTTCCTTGAAGGATCGGATATGCACTACAAGATATTATTGATTCTACTATACCCTCGTCTGCGCAGCCTGAAGCAGTTGGGACCTAATGATAGAGGATATTAAATTCCAGAATTCCGGTGCGTTTTCTGGTAATTTGTCAGTATGCGCCAAAGTGCCTGGAAAACTCTAGCCTCACTCGTAGTAGTTCTATAGGAGCGGTCTCTCTAATCATTGCGATGAGCTGGTATCGTAATTCCTGGGCACCTGGTCTCAGAAGTCTCCAAGAACTCGCCCTTAGCATTGACGGTGGCCTGTGGTTTCTTAGTTGTCTGTGCTGATTTAAGCTCTCAGCCACAGGTCTCAACTGCAAATAACACATCTGGCTCACAACTTAGACATTATACCAAAATGCCTGCTCAAAGTTAGTCGATGTTGCTTGGGAGCGCCAAATTGACGTACACGTACGGGGAAACACTAGGACGAGATTGCATGAGCTCGATATACCCAAGCTACCAACCCTGATTTCGATTGAGAGGTTACGGCCACCAGATAAGACTGGTAGTAGGCGCTTCCAGTGGAGGAAGACGAGTCATCAGAGACGGAAGTCAGGATGAAATGGGGTAAACTGAAACCTCTATCCCTTAGAGAGTAGATGGAGGGAAAAAAAAGGAAAGCTGGTGATGATACTCATGACGGAGACTTTGCAATAAAGAGGAGGGCTTGATCAAAATTCAAAAAGAAAGAACAGATTGATAATGGTATTTGCGTGGATTCGATTGTCAAAAGGAAACTGTTCGAGGCACCCTGGACTTGCAACTATTTTCTTCAGTATGAATTTGAGAAATACTTCTAAACAAGGAAGTTCTCCATGTATATCCTTCAAATTCTCGGGATCTCATGAGAGGGAAGCAGATTTTCTTCGCAGTAATTCGACAGGAATTGCTCCCGTACTAAGCTAATCGACACCCGCGTTATACTCGAACAGTCAAGTTCCACTTATCTGTAGCTATCGTGACGAATTCTCAGCAGCAGCGACCATCGAGCCACGAAGGAGGAATATGACAGAAAGAGGAAATTTATAATCAAAGTGAAGTTTTCAATTGGATCATCGACTATTCTAGCATTTAACTATATTCAAGAACAGCCAATCTCAAGCTGCAACATCGTGTATAGTGAAGATAAGCCGGCAGTGTATCTTATCATCCAATCAGCGGCGTTGTTCTTATCGCGAACATTGGACCATTTAATGCCCTTTTACCCCAGACTTTCAGCCTCCAAACCAATTGCCCGTTTTAATCGACCGATACCAATACTCATGTGATCATCAAAGCACATGACAGGGAAACGATCACGAAAAGGTTGTGGTGAGTGTAGAAAACGAAGGCGCAAGTGCGACGAAGTGAAGCCGAGCTGCGGTCAATGCGTCTCGAATCATCGGAGTTGCAAATATGAGTTGAGACTTGTTTGGAGTCAAGGAGTACAGAACAGACGAAGTGGTATGCGCGTCCCGGAAATGAAAGCAATCTCACTTACCGACCCCATTAAGTAGGCTCAAGTAGTTCAATAAGTTTCAGCGGCACCCTGGACCTCGGTAGAGAACAGGACAACTCTGTATCATTAATCCCCGAGACCCTTCCAAATGGCCTAGCCCTACCCAGACGATACAAGAAGTTGCTGCATCATTTTGCTGAAGGCGTTCTGGCATCATTATCGAGCCACCCAACCATTCACGATGATTTCCGTCGTGGCCTCATGCCCACCATGCTCGAATCTCCTCATCTTCTTTCTGCCAGCCTTGCGCTATCGGCTGCGAGCTTTGAGTCGAGAGGTATGACAGAGGTCGAAGGAACCAGCACATCCCGGATCATGGAACACCTGCAGTCATCGGGCCTGCCATTACTGAGATCAGCACTGGCACAGGGACAACAGAGCGAGATTCTCATTGCAACATGTCTGATCTGGTGCCTCGCAGACGTATTTTCGGGTCAGCAGGGAATGCTTAGGTGGCCAATCCACTTACAGGGTATCAAAGCTCTTCTTCACGGTCGTCATGATTATCAGAGATTCGTTACCGGCGATATGGCTTTGAGATCTGCGATGAAGCATCTTTTCATGCTGTATCGGAGTTTGGAGACTCTACCGCACGTACCTACGATAACATCTGAGAAGGTCAACCTGATCGTTCCCGCAAACACGGCATACAATCATCAAATTGATGGCTTTCTGGGGTATAGCGAAGAGCTGCTTGACGTATTACAACAAATCAACGCATCTACACCAGGATCAGGGCTAGAAGGCTCTTCTGTTGATGCAGATACCTTGCTCGGCAAGCTGAACGCTATGATTAGGCGGGATGTCAGGTCGCCACCCGGCGTCTCGATATCATCTCTTTCATCACAATCAGGTCGCGAGTTTGCACTCTGTAATAAAGTCTTCCAGCAAGCAACCCTAATCCAACTATACCGACAATTATACGGGTTGCCCTCATCGTCCCAACCTATACAAGATGCAATTCAGACTATGAGCGGAATGATTAGCAACATGGCGCAAGGCGAGCCATGTAACACTTGGGTTGCAATGGCCATGCCTCTGTTCACGGTTGGCTGTGAAGCTTACAAGGAGGAACAGAAGGCTTTCATCCTTGATAAAATTCACAAACTTGAGATTTGTATCGGATCATTACATGTAAAGGTAATTGAGCAGGCGCTAAAAGACATTTGGAAAATCCGAGAGGATTGTAACGATTTTGATGGGAATTTGTGTGCGAGTCACTTGCTAGGTAAGTTCTGCATGTAACGTTTCAACGAACTCATGAAGGTTGACTAACAAATGGTTCAACATTTAGAAAATCTGTCATATAACATTGTTTTGTTTTAAAGTACTGTTGAAATCGCTCACAAGCTCGGATAGAATCCATCACAAAACAAACCATCCAGTTTGCATTCTTCAATGTGTATCCTTACAACGCTGGAGTTAGAACGTAACGTCCAGCGCCAGTCGATCATCAGCACCTCCGTTGCCAACCAACTTACAACTCCTCTTCCTTCTTGCCCTCAACCATTCGGCTGAGAGGTCCTTTCTTGACCATGATAGACATAACCTCGTAGAGAACATCAGCGGCCGCCATGGTCGTGTGCTCAGCGTTTGTGTCGTAGGCAGGCTGCATCTTCTAGTTAGTCTTAATCATCTTTATCCTGAGTGTAACTTACAGCAACCTCGACAATGTCTGCAGCAATGAGGTTCAAGCTTTCCAATCCTCGAATGATGGTTCGAAGCTCTCGGGTAGACCAACCTCCAGTCTCAGGAGTACCGGTCGCAGGGGCAAAAGCTGGATCTAAAGTATCGATGTCGATGGACAGGTAAACAGGGCGATCAGTACCAACACGCTTCAGAATCTTCTCAATGATACCATCAGTGCCAATGGTGTCAATCTCTCGAGCCTCCACGATCTCGAAACCACAATAGCCATCATTATCGTAGTCACTTGGACCACTGAGGGTTGTTCTGATACCAGCGTGGATGTTGGTATCATTACGGAGAAGGCCTTCCATAGCGGCATGGTAGAAGTATGTGCCGTGGTTGATGGCAGCGACCTCTGACGGGGAGCCACCAAAAACCTTGGGCTTCCCTATTCATCTGTCAGCAATAACTAGAGAGTGAATGCATGTTAAGACATACAGGTATCGAGATGACTGTCGAAGTGAATCACTGTCACGGGTCCGTAGGCTCGGTTGATGGATCGAAGGAGAGGCAGTGTGATCGTATGGTCACCACCAAGAGTGATAACTCGAGGAAGAGTCCTGCTCTTCAGTGCCGGACCAGACTTGTCTGCATCTGTGGCTGGTGGGCGAGAGAGGATATTGTAGTGGCCTTCCTCGATCTGTCGAAGCGCCCACTGGTTGTCGTACCTTCAGGCCGTTAGGACAACGGTACATGAGCTTAGAGACTACTTACGAGGTGACTGGGATATCACCGCAGTCAAGAACTGTGGCCCAGCTGTTGAACGGGTTGGTAGCCAAAGGTACATTGTAACCTCCACTACAGAATGAGTTAGTCTTAGCGGCGGAAAGGCAATGCGAAGGCTGGCTTACTAAAGGTTGAGTCTTCGGGAGCCTTGGCGAATACCGGAAGGTCCGAAGCGAGCACCAGGTCTGTAAGAAGTACCTGTATCAAACGGAGCACCGATGAAAGCAATGTCATACTTGATGCTGTTTGCCTTCAAGCATGGCTGGTATGGAAGACGGCCGAAGGTGCTGATACCGGAGAAGACGGAGTCGGCCTAGACTCGATCAGCCTGATTTGCCACAATCGGAGTTAGTATACTTACCTGAGTGCCGCCATCGCCGGGAAGGGTGTTGTACCAGAGACCTTGGTGAGGACCTGACATAGGCTCTTGGTCATGGCCATGGTCGCCATGAGCGAGAGCAACAGAGGCAAGGCTTAAAGAGACGAGGGACTTGTACAACATTCTGAGAGAAACTTAGAAGAACACTGTTAAGAATGCTGCATCATGTGAAAGGTAGAGTCATAGTGAGTATTTATGCCATGGCATAGCTCGGCTTCCGGAGACACTCAAATCAGGATCACAGTTACATTCATGCCAACCACTGGTCCAATAGCTAGCCAACGTAATTCTATCGACTAAAAAATTCCTCTTCTTCCAAAGTGATATCATCACAGACATCTCCTGCAGAAATCACCATCACTTACAACCTCAACATCGACGGGCGTCCAAGAAGCGCGTAGATATCTAAAATAGGCTAGTCTGGGGTAAATTCCTCGATGCAGCTAGAATCAGATCGGCACCCCGCAACCTCCGCATTCTTATCGTGGCTAAGTTGCCGAATCGAGTAAACCCATGATACGTGCTGATAAGCTTCTTGTACGACGATGAATTCTCATCGACGTTGTTCAAGACAATATTGTGTTACGTTGGCGGAGGCTCATGATCGTGAGGTTCCAAATCCCGCAGACTAACGAAAATGGCGCGTTGCAACTGAATATGCCGGCATGATGCATCCCACCATGACTGCATGCTTATCAGTAGTTCTGTGTTGGCAAAACTGTTACGAAACTGTAATAGTGCCTCTTACCAGCTTCCCATTGTGAAGGATGGTGGTCGAATTCAATTAATTCGAAAACCCTGTCCGATTGCCCTGAGTTTTGCTGGCTTTGCTGAAGTCCTGAAACCTTTTCTTTCACCACCAAGACCATCCTCGAGGCAAGTCGCCAGGAACACGCCAACAACGAGCAAAATGGCTTCTCAACCTCAAGCTCGTCGCCCTCACTTTGAGTCCTTCCCAGACGAAGAAACCCCCTTGATCCAAGCCGTCCAAGACCCTTCAATCGAACGTAAGAGTCGCTCACCATGGCTCAACGAAACTATCATCCTCGTCAAAGCCTCTGTACCAGTCATACTGGCCTACATGCTTCAGAACAGTCTTCAAACCGTCTCTATTCTCATGGTCGGCCGTCTTTCTCCCGAATCTCTGGCGACCGCTGCGTTCTCCTACATGTTCGCCATGGCAACAGCTTGGCTCATTGCTCTCGGCGGTACGACTGCCCTCGATACGCTCGGTTCGAGTACCTATACGAGCTCGAAGAATAAGCATGACTTGGGAGTACTGCTGCAAAGAGGCTTGTTTGTCCTGACTGGGTTTTATGCGGTGGTAGCTGTCATCTGGTGCTTCTCTGGATATATCTTCCGAGCCCTTGGGCAGGAAGACTTCATCTGCGTGCAGGGACCCAAGTTTCTGCAGTTGTTGATTCCTGGTGGTCTCGGATATGTATGGTTTGAAGCGATGAAGAAGTTTCTTCAAGCCCAAGGAATCTACCGTCCGGGTACCTATGCACTGCTTGTCACTTCGCCCCTCAATGCTTTGCTCAACTACATCTTCATCTACCCTCTCGGCTTTGGTCTCTACGGATCACCCATTGCCACCGGTATCTCGTACTGGCTCTCCTTCTTCATCTTGGTTGGCTATGCCACCTTCGTGAAGGGAGGCGAATGCTGGGGCGGACTTGAGCCACGTCGAGCTCTTCAACATCTTGGTCCCTTTGCAAAGCTCGCCTTTCTTGGAGTCATTCATGTCGGTACAGAATGGTGGGCTTTTGAGATTGTTGCTCTTGCAGCTGGTCGTCTTGGAACGATCCCTCTTGCTGCTCAGTCTGTTGTCATGACATTGGATCAGATCATCAACACTATTCCTTTTGGTCTAGGAGTTGCTGCATCTTCCAGGTTGGGCAATCTCTTGGGGTTGGGAGATCCTATGCAGGCAAGACGCTGTGCGCATGCCGCAGCACTACTATCTGTGTTTTTCGGAACCGTTATCCTCGCGATCCTCATGTCTACAAAGAATGTCATCGGCCGCTTGTTCAACGACGATGAGGACGTCATTTCACTTGTCGCTCACATTATGCCTTATGTCGCACTCTTCCAGATAGCAGATGGTCTAAATGGGAGCTGTGGAGGAGCGCTGAGGGGAATGGGTCGACAGTGGGTTGGGGCACTTGTCAATTGTATCAGCTACTATGGAGGTGCTCTACCAGCTGGGATTTGGCTTGCTTTCCATGGCTGGGGTCTTTCTGGACTTTGGGTTGGACAATGTGTCGCACTGTTTCTGGTTGGTATTCTAGAGTGGATTATAATCGCTTTGTGTGACTGGCGAAAAGAGATTCAGAGGGCTGCAGACAGAATTGAGAATGGTGGGATGGAGATTGTGCATTGAGATAGATTGCCAGATAAAAAAATGCTAGATATAGTAAATCTTACTTTGGAATCATGAAAACTCTCTCATCGACACCTCCAAAGTTCTATCCATTCCGTCATTCACCTCCCGATTTCCTGGTATGCCAGCGCGGCACATATTGTCCCTTGAACGTAAGTTCTCCGCATGAATAATGTCGTAGCGAGGTCGTAAGATTCTGGACCGATGTAACGGTTCTGCGCCGAGATAAGACGGAAATCTGGAACCCCCAATTGATAAGACGAGCTGGGGTAATAATTAGTCTCGCATTATAGCAAAACCGTCTGCTCTGATAAGAAGAGCGTGGTATCGGCATCCGTCTGCCGCATGATAAACATGGTGCTAGCCAAAATAGGGTCGCACACGCACAAAAGCTATTGAAGCCTATCTCCGTGTCACTTATCTTTGCCTCATATGGTCGTGCATATATAGATATAAGTGCATCTCAATTGTAAATGGTAGTTTACAGCGGGGATTGTAGCATGTGACTGTGTGCAATTGTGTCTAAGCATACCTTCTTGTACCATCTTTCATCATAGTACTGAATCGGTCGGCTGACTTCTCAAACCCGCAATGGAAGTTGAGAAGGTCAACGGTGGTATCCTTGAGAAAGGAGACATTACTGAAGGAGAAACAACCGAACAAGGCTCCGTTATCAATGCCTCCGGCCATACAGATCAGCTTACTCGCCAGTATGGTCTCGTTGGGCTCACAGGCATTGCAGTGACAGTCAACAATGCCTGGGTTGTCCTCGGTTCCTCAATCTCTGTATCTATCCTCAGTGGAGGCATTTCGGGAGTCATTTACGGCCTCATAGTAGCAGTGATCTACTACACTTTCATCGGTCTGAGTTTATCAGAGGTATGCACAATCTAACCAGAACTTAAATTGGCCCATCTGACATCTTCGAAGTTTGCTTCTTCCTGTCCTAGCTCCGGTGGTGTATATCATTGGGCTACTATAGCTGCGGGACCTAAATGGGGTCGTGTCACTGGCTTCTACACAGGATGGATCAACTTCTATGGCTGGATGTTCGGTCTGGCATCTCTCGTCCAAGTCGCTGCCAACGCAGGTGTTCAATGCTATGCCACTCTCACGCCCGGCTTCTCTCCCTCAGCATGGCATGTTTATGTCGCGTACCTGATTGTTATCTGGCTCAGTGCCTTCATCGTCATTTTCTCGAACCGACTTGTTCCCTACACTCAGAAGCTTGGCCTTTTCCTTGTTGTTGCAGGAGGTCTCGTGACTATCATTATCGTCGCTGTCATGCCGTCAAAGCATGCTTCCAGTGATTTTGTATGGAATTCGTTCCATGAGAACAACCTGACTGGATGGAATGATGGTGTTGCGTTCATGGTTGGCATTCTTAACGGAGCTTTCACGATTGGAACTCTCGATGCGATCACTCATATGGCTGAAGAGACTAAGAACCCAAAGAAGGATCTGCCACGAGCCATCTTTCTTTATATCTCCATTGGTGGTGTCTATGCTTTGGCTTTCGCTATTGTTCTGGGTTACGCCATTTCCGACTTGTCTGTTCTTCAAGGAAACTCCAACACCTTTCCACTGGCCGGTATCTACCATCAAGCCACTGGAAGCGCCGCCGCTACTTTTGCCCTACTCTTCATCATTCTCATCTCATCTCTTTGCTGTGTCATTGGAACTGTCTTAACAAACTGTCGAACATATTGGACTTTGGCTCGAGACCAAGCTGTGCCATTCTCCAATTATTTCAGCAGAGTGAGTACGAAGCTTGGTACCCCAGTTGAGTCAACTCTATTCGTGGCAGTCATTGCCTCGGGTATCGGTGCAATCCCACTAGGAAGTTCGGTTGGTTTCAGTAACTTGACTGGCTCATTCATCATTATCACGACAGTGTCTTACGCTATCCCGATTGTGTCGAATGTCCTGAGTGGCCGCAAACGATTCTCGCCCGGACCCTTCCACCTGAAGAACCTTGGGTACTGGATCAACGGACTCACCATACTCTTGATTGTGGTCTTTGACGTGTTCTTTTGTTTCCGTAAGTATTCCCAAAGCCGGATTTTCTCTGAAGATTTACTAACTGCTGGTAGCCTTCGGTATCCCATTTGATGCAACAACGATGAACTACAACTCTGTGATTCTTTGTGGTCTCTGTTTCTTGATTACGGTATGGTGGTTCCTGTCAGCCTCAAAGCATTATCCGGGGCCTTCGTTTCATCAGGTGTATGATGGAGATGAAAACAAAAAGACGGTATCATAAGAACGTGCAGATCATGCTTCAGTTCTCCTTTAATACATATATAAGCTGTCAATGTAATCACTGATTTCCTCTTACAATTTCTGAAACGTGGTCTATGTCCATCGAGTTTCATCCCAGTCGGAAGGGCTTCGCTGCCATACGAGACCCCTTGGCCCTCCTCCCAAACCTCCTCCTAAGGGTTCCAGCCACTTGTCGATGGCCTCAGATGCTGTCTCCAGGTCGAAAGAACCAGGCCATCCATGGTCACGATAAATCTGCCTCACATACTGTATATCCAGATCAGTTCCCCATTCTTCTCTTTGGCCAGTCACCTCTTTCTCCATGATTCTTCCATCGCGCTCAGGTACCTTTTCTGCCTCAATTGTAATCCTGCGTCGTCCTGGGATGAGCTTCAGTATCTTGTACTGCTCTTTCATATTCTCAAAGAACACCTCCACTGGAACTGCATTTAGCATATCGCCCGCATGGAAGTCTTCAAAGATCTCGCAATCCTTCACATTAAGCCATAACTCGCGGCTGAAGCTCTCATGGCCCACAGCGATACAAACAACATTGCTGGGATCCATCAGCTCTCCCTCCGATGACCAAAACTCCCAGTCTTGATGATAGTTCCTGTGCTTTTCGAAATCCTTTTGGGTAAAGGCTGTGTGGTCTAGTATCTTAGACTTGTAATGGACATATTCGATACAGGTGCTGTCGAAGTAGGGAAGGTGGCGGATGACTTCGATAGTATAGTCAGACTTGAAGTATGCACAGGACTCTGGAGTGAGTTCTGGCCATCCAGTCGGCGGAGGGATCTTGAGGTGAGACTTGTCGTAGTGCAAAGTTGTGAGGAACGTGTAAAAGTCGATAAACAAAACCCCGAGTTCATCAGGTGTCAATCGTGGCTCCTGCGGTTCATCAGAGACATCTGAGCCCTCATAGGAGCCGTCATCTGACGCATGAGGCGTTAGAGGAGTTTCTGGTTCAGCCATCGCATTTGAAGTGATCTTCGTTGATAGAATGACAGCTGAAGGGATAAAGTGATTTGTAGGAGAATTTAGCTCCGGCTTGACATGAGTGATGCTTTCGGGGATTTCCACAATCATTGTGGTTACTCCACAGTAATAGGCAAAAGCTGAAGAGACAACTAACAGCATTCTCACGATGGTGCTGTTCTCCACAGTGTTGGGTACCCACGTTCATAGACAAAGGGTCATTAAAGTTGGTCCCAGCTCTTCCCAATCGGAGAATTGAGAAGGATCTAAAAACTTCGAAACTCCAGTCGAGAGACTAATGGCTTTAGGTTGGATCTCCTTGCAATCTCAACTATAACCCTGACACTACTATATAAGAGCTGAGTGTCTGCGCTAGTGATGCTCAGTACTATTGTATCTTATCTAGGTTATTGGTGAAGGGTCTAGTATAATGGGAATTATCAAGACAGCATTCTCAATAAACTTAGCAATGAACCTCGCAGCTGCGACAGCTTCAATCTTCGATAGAATCCGGTGCTTATGATGGCAGTTGCTTTCAACCCATGGACTACTCACAGTCCAGCACGTGTGTCATCATGCATAAGTAAGGCGGAGTCGTTGAGGCTCAGCACCCAGCATCTGTCAGATGAGGCACACTCAGCTTTACTACCTACCCTAGGGATTTCTCTATTCATTCCGTAGCTTCCCATCTCTTCATCTCCATCAATATGTCAGAAATACTCGGCCTGGCCTCTAGCAACATCACAATAGTCGAGGTAGCTGGAAAGCTTGGCACAAACACCATCCGACTAAAGCGATTATGGGACGAAGTACAAGATGTCCCTGTTAGCATTCAGATGTGTATCGAACAATTGGAAATCTTAGCCCCGGCTATCGATGAAATGGAATCCGAATTTGAGAAGACTCGGAACATGATTCAGAATGATTCTGCGTCGAAGCGAAGCCTAGAATATTCTCGGAAAGCAGTCCAGACACTCGACACCTTGGTGAGAGACATGGAATCCCAGATCAGCGCAGCAAGAACTAGTAGGAGGTTGGTGGTTCAGCTGAAAGTCAGGATCAAGAAAGACGTGATTGAAGATCACCAGCAGCGGCTCACATCAGCCCTTCAACTGCTGTCTCTCTCCCAACAAACCTATTTGATGTAAGTCATTCGCCATGTTGCTTGATGTAAGCATAGTTTGACGTCGACAGTGCTTTATCACGCGCGCAACCGGGGATCATAATTTCCGAGATAAGAAACTGGCGTGATTCAGACTCTCAGAAGCAACTTTCGCAAGGCCCTGAAGATGACAACCAGCCTAAAAGAGGTGGAGGACCTGGAGAGGAGCATGACACAGAATCTACACATCATACCAAGTCTCCTGTACCACGAGATTTCAGTTTAAGTTCTGCCACAAAGCCACTGCCGCAGAGGCGACCTGGCCTATTAGGAAGCTTCACTTTCCAGTCTTATGAAGTTGATGAGAACCCTTCTATCCACTACATCCCAGAGAAGGCACGATGTTAGTCGATTATTCCAGCCCGTGATTCGAAGCGACTAACCCTTCGTCTAATCTTTCAAGCAAGAATATATATGCCCTTAGAGGTCCTGGGACTTGTCAGTACTTCGGGCATAAACCGGGTGGACTCTCCAACTGAATACTTGGAACATTCGACCTTGGGGTGCTTACATATTCCAGGCCGTTGCAAATGGAGAAGTCGAACATATTGTCGAGTCTCTCAAAAGTAAAGAGGCGTCAATCTATGACATTAATCCCGGTGGACAGTCATTACTTCGCGTGAGTTGCCAGCGATTTTAGTTGAACGTAGCCTGATTATTTAGATCGCCATGGATTTCGAACAGATCGAATCCATCAGAGCTCTTATCCTTATGGGAATGAAAGCTTCTGGTGTCGAACCAAACGCTATATTCACTCGCATATGGATGTGGTTCTGGAGTGAACCTGAAACATCAAACTCAATGGAGCTCGCTCGTATCTGGACAGCAGAAATGGGAGGTATAGGACAGGAGTATTACAAAACTAGTAATTTTGTCCCTGCTTTCTGGTCTGTTCCCAATCTCTACACCATTTTATCCGAGCCAGGGTCTGTCCGTCAAGTTATAAATTCATTTATCTGGGGCTATCTCAATCCAACGGTCATGTTGGAACTATTGAAGAGCGGCCTTGCTGTGCCCTCAGACTTCCCTCCGTGCCGTTGCACAATGATTTGGACTGGCATTTGTGACTGCTACGATAAAAACTTCCTTTACCAGTACTTCCACACCTTGTTGAACAAAGACAAGAGCTTCAGCGATTGGCGATGCTTAGCGAGAAAGGTGTTTCTGGGGGTTCCACCTTTGAATATTGTTCATCCCCATGAAGGGGCCTTCTCGAGTCTTACCAGTATTCTTGAGGGACTATGGAGGCGGCAATTTCCACTCCTGCCCTTTGAGAGGTGGATACAAAATGCTACCACTCTATGGCTCGAAGATCTTGCAGAGGCCAAAATCGACCTCGAGGAGTATATGAGCTTGGAGGTCTTATACAGCCGAGAATGCCATATGGATTGTTCGGGAAAGCACACAGAAGTCGAGATTCAGCCCGGGACGCGTTTACCGGAGTTTGGCCCTTCACTGGTAATTCTCTCAGTTGGGCCACGTGCTGATGACTGGTCCTTTTCCTGGGACCCCTGTGTGGAGGAGCTGTCAGGTGAGTTCTGGACAACACTTGACAATGCTCAAATAAAGGTCCCCGGAGCTTGGGTAGACGAGAGAAATGAAGACTTCGAGTGCCTCATGGGAGACAGAAAATTGTGTAGGTTCAGGAGGTGGGAGAAGTACAACAAGCAAATAAAAATGGGCAACATGGTGATCAAAGGCATTGGGAAAGATAACTATAAACAGAACACGCGCTTGCCAGCGCCAGAGTGGCCAGAGAGGAAAGATCGCGAGAGGTTACAAGTACGAGGAATGACGACGTGCGAAGAGTTTTCGCCGTACAAACCACCGAATTGGTTCTAATTTCAAGTCTGGAAAATAACGGTAGAAATTTAAGCTATACCGAATTCTCAAATGTCAACGCTCACTCTGATATGTCCTAAATACATAGACCAAGACTTTGTAACTACCACGATATCTCCTAGCAACAGCTAGAGACTTGTGTATACCTCGCTATCATCGTTGTCGATACATATTGGGATGTATTGTCCGAGCATGTAGCTTTTTCCCGACCCCTCGACCTTATAGATATAGTGGTAAATTATCCCTACCGCCCGCCCTAAGAAAACGTTGTGTTGATGGAAGACTTTCAGAGACCAATGACCTGTCTGATCCCACCGTTTTTGACAGGTCTGGTGCCTGACAGCGCTATCACTAGTGAGTGGGTCGAGAGTCGCGACCGCTTGACTATTCCTGGTGTTCAAAATCAATAGTTTCTCAACACTACACTAAATTTAGTTAAGCCAAGCTTCAACATGCAGATTGCAATTTCCCATCTTACGCCTCTTATCTACTGAGAAATTCGCAAATGGAAACCTCACTGTCCTTCTCTTCAATAACTTTCATTCCCAGTGGCTTTTTGTGTCTCAAAATGATCCCACTTCGAACCATCGCGTTGTCATGTTTGGCCCTGGCCCCTGTGGCTGTCTCGGCTGGCGCCTGTAAGCCTAGATCCACGGATCTTACAACGGCCGCCTCCTCCACTCTAGAGACCGCGTCGTCATCCGAAGCCTTGCAGTCGACGGTGACCGATCTGACAACCACAATCGCTTCAACGGTCGAAACAACAGTCTCATCCATAATCGAGACGACAACAGAGGCATCTACCATCGAGACAACCTCCGAAGCTGCTACCACTACTTCCAGCGCACCATGCCCAAGCTACACCCAAATCATCCCGCCTCCCAGCGGTAAAGTCTGCGGAAAGGAAGTTTCTAGAGGAACTCTTGACTCCTCACCTTTGTACCTCAGATCTCAATTGTCAACGACTGGTCTCACCGGATGCGCCAAATACTGTGGAGATACCCCGGGCTGTGTTTCTTTCTATGCGGAAGATTATGTACCCGGCCCAGGTGCGCCGACATTCAAGATCTGCTTCATGTTCAAGGGCTATGAGAAGGATATTCCCTTCGGCGAGGGACAGGATGGTAGGCCGACGTACTACGAACAGGGCTGCTTCGCTTGTGTTCGTGATGAAGCGCCTCAGCCGCCTATCCCAAGTTAGGAGACGAGGTTAAAAGCGTTGGAAATACCAGACCTAAAACATAACTATAATGTAATGAAATGAAGATAATAGTAATATTTCTCATCTCGAATCAATATTTGAACGTATGATTCACGATTTTTCCACGTGCGTCACAAGAAAGTTGAGCAGATCGTCAACTTCTTCTGGTGCTTTGAACCAATGTCCCTCTTGTTCTGCTCCCTGATATTCTCTCCACTCAACCGTAAAACCAGCCTGAATAATGATGTCTCGCGCCTTTCTTCCTAGTTCGACATCAACATACGCATCGTCGGTTCCATGACCAAGAAAGAGGGTCGTTGATGGGAGCCTTTCTCGAGATTGCGTAAGTGAGACCTTTGACTGAGCCAACATCCCAGCGACAAGCTCAGTTCCTGCATCCATAGGTGACGTTGGTTCATGTGATAGATATTTTCCGATACTGGAAGCAAAGGGAAGCCAAGTGTTTGTAGCGAAGAATGCCCCGAGTGGCCTCTCAATGGAGTCCAGGCAAAGCAATGTCCACATTCCTACTGCTGCACCCTGACTAATTCCACCCAGAACCACCTTTGATGCATCTCCACCAAGTCCCTCAATTTCCTGTTCTAGAATCATCTTGACGTAACTGACCGACTGCTTGATGCCCGGAATTTGAAGGTCTTGTCGAGCAGTAGTATCCGTCAAAGAATGGGCCTCGAACCACGCAGGCATGTTTTCTTGGAAAGCCGTACTCCACAGCTCACGGGAAGAAGGAAACACCCATCGCCAATTAGGTAGTTTCTGCGCGAGGCTGGATTGATCCGATAGTAAAGTCTCTTCGAAGAGCTCTTGGGCAAACTCTTCACCGTTGCTTCCCCTGCCGTGGAGGAGGATTGCTGTATGAGTGTGTGATTCAATTGGCTCAATTATACAAATTGTGCCAAATGCTTCACTTTGGCTTCCAGTCGTGTTGGCTTGGTCACTCATTGTGAGGATGATGCTGAGGGGAAAACGTATTCCTGTAATCACTCAGTGGAGACAGCCGACGACCAGTTACAGCTTCTGAACCTTGAACAACAGACAAGTGAGGATATAACAAATCCGGCTAGAGCCAAAGGCTTTTTCAATTCAGATAAAATCATCTAGACGAATTATTTCTTATATACTTAGCTTATGCAGCTGTAACGTCGTCATTACTTCAACTCCGCAAACCAATCCACTTCATAATTCAATACTCCCCTTGCTTGGTTAACCTACACCACGAAGGAAGCAAGAACAGAAACCCCAGTTGTTCCGAAAGAAAATGACTTATATGTATAAACGGACATCGCAAAAATGAAACATGCTGAGTCTCTGAAGATTAGACTGACAAGGAACGAGAACGGATATCTTCATGTGCATTGCTACGATTTTAATCTACTGATCAGGAACACTCAAAGCTTACCCCTGAGACATAACTCGGATAAGCGTCGTCCCACGGCATTTCACTGGGCTGGCCACAGCGGAACCATGGTTGTTTGGCATTTGCCGATCTCGAATTGCTATGGTGTATGTCGTGCAGCATCGCGGGGAGAAAGTAGCCGCAGCCGTACCGAAGCCTCAAATCAAGATCAATCGGACGGAAATGCCAAATCGGATATCTTGGCATTCAATCTCGCAGAGCTCCTCGCAGTGGCGGCTCTCGTTTCCGGGCGACTCTTGGCGGGGGTATTTATCCGTCAATGAGGGGATTTTGCTTTTCCGTCTCTTGGTCCAATGCCATTCACAGAGGTGGAGATCCGGATATCCGATTTCTTCACTATAATATATAACTTCTATTCAATAATCCAACATGAACGACTCCTTTGAGTATGCAAACATTGTTGAAACCATGACTATCAGACACGACTCCAATGCCGTTGAGGCTCACAAGCCTGCTGTGCAGCCCTCACAGGCGAAACTGTTCACCTTGGATGAGATGATCAAGCGTCGCGCTGTAGAGCTGGGGGATACGATCTTGATGGGTGCGCCGGAGACGGGTGTTGATGACTTCAAGGAGCATAGTGCTGTGGATATTGATAGATATGCTGATGCGGCTGTTGCAAGACTTCAAAGCCTGGGTCTTGAGCCCGTGGTAAGTTCAGCTCATGAGATTATGGGGACGAAGCTAACTGAATAGGATCCCACGCTTGAGAAAGCACCAATTGTTGGCATGCTGGGACAATCAGGAATTCATGTCGTTATTCAGATCATTGCCCTCAACAGATTGGGATACTCTTCATTTCTCATCTCGACACGTCTTGCAAGCCCAGCCATTACCCAGCTTCTCACTCTAGCGGACTGCAATGTGATTCTCACAACACCACCATTCCACCCTGTTCTAAAGGAAGTTCAACAAAACCGCCAGCTCGAGATTCTTCCTCTTCTGCAAAGCGCAGACATCTTTCATCACAATGCACCAAGATTCGTCAGAGACTACAGCCCCGAAGCTGAATCCCGCAAAGTCGCTGTTATTATCCACTCCTCTGGCTCAACAGGTCTCCCCAAGCCAATCTATCTCACCAACTCAAGCTGCATCGGCGCTTTTGCAGTCCACATGAACATGCGCGCATTTCTCACATCACCATTCTTTCACAGCCATGGTTTCTACGAGGTGTTCCGATCGATCTATTCTGGCAAACCAATCTACTTCACAAACTACGGATTGCCTTTGACAAGGGAGACTGTCATGGCGCAGCTCAAGGCTACAAGGCCTGAGATCTTCCACTGTGTTCCTTACGTTATCAAATTGCTTGCTGAGAGTGATGAGGGTATTCATATGCTAGCTGATATGAAACTCGTTCTGTATGCGGGAAGTGGATGTCCTGATGATCTGGGTGATCGATTAGTTGAGCGTGGCGTTAACCTCTGCGGAAACTATGGAGCGTGAGTATTTCTCTTTCTGTACAGGAACTAGCTAACATGATGCAGCACCGAAACTGGTAGACTTGCAACTTCTGCTCGTCCTGAAGGCGACAAGGCATGGAACTACATCCGTGTCCTCCCTCCAGCAGAACCCTACACCATCTTCGACGAAGTCGCTCCCGGCCTTTTCGAATGCGTCGCTTTAGATGGTCTCCCATCAAAGAGCACTACCAACTCAGACAACCCACCAGGATCTTTCCGCACACGAGATCTCTTCACACAACATCCTACAAGGCCTAACCTTTGGAAATTCGCCTGTCGTCTCGATGATCGCTTCACTCTGATCAATGGCGAAAAGGTTCTCCCCATTCCTATTGAAGGTCGTATTCGACAAGAGGAAATCGTCAAAGAAGCGATTGTCTTTGGCGATGGGAGGACATATCCTGGTATTCTGATCGTCAAGGCTGATCGTGTGGCTAACATGCCTGACAATGAGTTCCTCGATGCCATTTGGCCATCCGTCGAAGACGCCAACTCCCGGGCAGAGTCATTCTCACGAATTCCCAAAGAACTGGTCGTCATCGTGCCAGCTGATTCATCTTACCCGCGAACAGATAAGGGTACTTTCATCAGAGTCCCTACATATCGCCAATTCGAGAAGGAGATCGAGGCTGCTTACAACAAATACGAAGGCCAAGGCGATGAAGCCGGTTCGCTAACACTTGAAGGTTCAGAGCTAGAAGATTACCTTCTTCAACAACTCAAGAGCAAGTGCGGTGCAGATCTCGAATCCTCTGAAGCAGACTTCTTCGCCTCTGGTGTTGATAGTCTTCAATGCATTCAGATGTGGAGTCTCATCAAGCGAGAGATCGACCTTGGTGGTAGACAATCCGAACTGGGACAGAACGTCCTTTACGAGACGGGTAACGTCAAGTTACTTGCCCGCCAGCTCGAGAGGTTGAGAAGTGGTGCAGACGATGAGACACAGGACCAACTGAAGATCATGGAGGGTTTAATCGAAAAGTACTCTTCTTTCGAGCGCCACGTCCCTGGATCTGCGCCTCAGCCTGAGAAGGAGCTTGTGGTAAGTTCCACACCCACACTTAGCAAGATTGAAGCTGACGAATTAGTTACTCACGGGTGTAACCGGCGCTCTTGGCGCCCATGCCCTCGCCCAACTCACAGCTCGACCCAACGTTGGAGCAGTATGGGCCTTAGTCCGAGCAGCCAGCGACACCGCCGCCACCGAAAGACTTTATAGCTCCCTCCAAGCCCGTGGTCTATCCCTCGACGAAGAGCAACGAAGCAAAGTCCTCGCTCTGCCCTGCGATCTCAGCCGTCCGGACCTCGGCCTCAGCGAATCTCACATCTCTGAGCTTCGCTCCAAACTCACAACCATAATCCACAGCGCCTGGGCAGTCAACTTCAACATCTCCGTGCAATCCTTCGAAGACCAACACATCAAAGCCGTACACAATCTCATCCAGCTAAGCCTCTCCGTGCAAATACCAAAGCCCGCACGATTCTTCTTCTGCTCTTCAGTTTCGTCAGCGGGAGGATCACCGCGCCCTGGAAAGGTTCTTGAAGCGCAGGTTCCTTCGCCTGCACATGCTCAGCACACTGGTTATGCGAGGTCGAAGTATGTTGCTGAGCATATTACTGGTAATGCTTGTAAGAATGCTGGTGCGGTGGCGAGGGTTTTGAGATTGGGACAGTTGGTTGGTGATACAAAGGTTGGGGAGTGGAATACTACTGAGGGAATTCCTTTGATGATTCAGACAGCGGTTACGCTTGGTGCTCTGCCCGCTTTGAACGAGGTAAGTTACTTACATGCTAAGCTGAAGTATAGTTACTGACATTGATAGGAAATGACCTGGTTGCCCGTTGATCTCGCTGCTTCAACGATTCTCGACCTTGCCAAACTCGGCCCACAATCACCCTCAGACCGCTCTTCCGACCCCGATCTCGTCTATCACATCCTCAACCCCGTGCGCTTCCACTGGGCGAACGACATGCTTCCCTCCATGACAAAAGCCGGCTTCAAGTTCGAGACCCTCCCTACAGATCAATGGATGGACCGTCTTCGCAACTCGGAGCGCGACCCCGCCAAGAACCCTCCTATCAAGCTACTAGATTGGTTCGAGGGTAAGTATGGCAATAAGGCTGCTTCGTCAGCGGAGAAGGGGCCACTGGATTATCTTACGGATAAGTCGAGGGAGGATAGCGAGACGTTGAGAAATGTGCCGGATGTCACGAATGTTGAGTATGTTAAGATGATGCTTGGAAGGTTGCAGGCACGCTGGGCAGAGAAGGTTTGAGTGCAGCGTTGAAATTCATTTGATCGTTAAGTGCTATGCAGGTTCATGCTTCTAAAAGGCTACTTCTAAGTTCGAAAATGCAAGTGCGTGAGTGATTCGATATGTCGCTGTCAAGTGTATGCATCCTCCTCTATGAGCCGTTGTCTTTTCAAACGCTGTGCTCCTCAATCTTCGTGATTTTCCTCATCCTCCGTCTGAACCTGCTGCTCCGACAGCCTCGGATTTCTTAATGCCAAGGCAAAGATTATCATGGGTATACAAACGCAAATTCCGGCGATACAAAGAAGTCTCTGTACGGAACTGTAGCTGCTGATAATCGCGTCTCGAATGGCCGTTCCGACTGGGTAATCTGGTATCACGGCAAAAGGCGAGTTGTAAATTCTCTTGGCAAGGGTTTCATCGGGTTGGAAATCTAGGTTATGCTTCAGAGCTTTGTAAAGAGTTTGAGTCCAGATAGCGCCTGAAAGACATGTACCTAGGGCGCTTCCGACATTGTAGAATGAGAGGTAGAGACCTGTGAGAATGGCCACGTGCTCTCGAGTTGCCGAGGCTTGGATAGATGCTTGAGTTGGATAAGCGAAGAACCCGCCCGCCACTCCGAGAAGAATCTGCGCCGCGATGATTCCGTCTTGGGAAGATGTCGAAGCTCCACCAGGGTATAAGATTAAAACGCCAAATGCGACCATGAAGAGCAGTGTGCCTCCAACAATGATAAACTTGAGTCGACGGATCTTAAAAATGACTAGACCAGCTAGAACTCCAGTGATGACTCCAAAGAATGAGAAGAATGAAATGATACGGGTTGCGTTCTCGATAGAAAAGTCAAAGGCGACAATGAGGATCGTGTAAAGGTAGTTTCCTTGCGTGCACCATGCTAGGTTAAGAAGACTTCGAACTGCCAGGGCCGACCAGACGCCTCTATCGCGAAGCAGATGGAATGGGATGAGAGGATGACGAGCACCGCGTTGTTCCCAAGTGATGAAAGCGATCATGAAACAGAAGCCTAGGACCAGAGGGAGGATGATGTACCAACTGCGCCAGTGGCTAGCGGTACCGCCAGCGACGGTTAAAGGGGCTAGAATGAGCGAGAAGGCGAGGACAAGAAGGACAAGGCCGACAATATCGAGTTGGTGAAAGAGATCTGCCCTGCCCTTCTTGGTCTTGAGAGAAACCAAGACAATCTCATCGCTCTCCTTTCCGCTTTCAGACTCCCAGGTTTTCCTCTCAAGAAAGTAGAGGCAGGATAGGAGAGGCAGTGAGGCAATGGGGTAGATGATAGCCCACATTCCAAGGCCCCATCTCCAAGTCGTCGTGCTCAATACCGCAGAAGTGATGTTTCCGCTGATCCAGGTGTTGATGAGGAATGGGATTGCTGGGAGATAGCTGAAAAAGACGCGCGCTCGCATAGATGAGAAGTCTGCGATGAGAACTTCCAAAAGCAGGACTATGCATGTATATCCCGTTTGGTAAATCACCGATCCGGTGCAGAAGATCTCGACTGATGGCGCAGTTGACTCGATCGCGATTCCGAGGGTATAAAGAACTGTTGAAATGGCAATGACCTCGAACCTGCCGAAGACATCTGCCACCTTGGCCGCTGTAGGTTGAACTGCCACCGCGATAACATTGCGCAAGACATTGATCGTGGAAAGATACGAATGCAGATCAAAACTCGACGTTGCATAAGACTGATACGCCAAACGAACCTGACTCTCTAAACCATACGCATACCCGACGAGGAAAATACCCGTAAAGAGCCAAATCCGATGTGCGCGGGTGAGGTTTTTGGAGACAACAGCCATGCGCGCCACGCCCGCTGAAAGTCTCTTAGGATTAGCAGGCCTCGCGGCATTTTGTGATAAGTCACTTGAGCTTGGTTCTGGAGCGCCGAGAAGCGGCGCTGTTTCTGAGGACATTTTCTGGTGGTGATGAGGAGGGGAGAGTGAAGAATTTTGAAACAAGCTGAGGTTCAGGCAGCAAAGCAAGGGGGAGAGAGAAGAGAGTCATCTGATTTGATTACGAGTGCATGGGGTGTGACTTGACCTTGTGACAACGCATGACAAAGCCATCTGATAAGATTTCATGTCCAATAGCGGCGGATCTAACCGTTGTCTAAGTGGGGACTTGACGCCATTATCACGAAATTGATGCCTGAGGCCTAGGATCATCAAAAGAGCATATCGCCAACGTGGGGTTGTAAACTATATGGATATTAATATTGCATACGACTCTGTCTCAATTATTCACAGGTATCACCAGACTGTGGACTGTTGCGTTGTTGTTGATCTGCTGTGTCCTCTGTCAGGTCTTGCCAATGTCACCCAAACCGGCCTCGGGTTGGATCGGAGCTTATCAGATCATGCAGGACGAAACTCAATCCAGGGACCGAAGTAACGGTATCTGTACCAATGCAGAGCTTACTCGGGGCCAGTGACGGTTAATAAAGGCCTATGTACGCAGTTTTGTTTCTTTCACGATCGAATGGTTTGGATTTGGCCAGAAGCATATAGGGCATGCAAGACTTGTGACAATTTCATCCACTTAATCCATGTACCTAATAATGATCCGTCGCACCCCAAAGATACTGAATGGCTAATTATGTCTTACTATGACCGCCGCCAACCTCGGAGAACCTCAATAAATACCAATAAGCGGCACCTTTTCCATGGCCCGACGAATCCGCCCGTTGAAAAAGTATAGGGGAACAGCGAAAGAGCCTAGAGCGAAAAGAATACCTCCAAACAGGATATAAGTATCTCTAATACCCATAGCGCTGATCCACGAATTGAAAGAATGACTGTACCCAAAGGAAATGGCATTTCTTCCTCCACAAGTGAGCACAATTGCAGGACCTGACATGTGCGGCAGCAACTCTCCGAGCCAAACTCCAGTCACAGCCGAGATAGCGCAGAAGCCAAAGTAGAACAGGGCGAAAGCAGCATGCATGCCTACCCAGCTATACCTCGACGGATCCGCAGCCACGACACCGTAGATGATCATACCCAGGAAGCAGAAAATAGACGGAAGAATGAAGTTGGGAAGAACATGCTCAGGCTCTCGGACGCCGCCATTTCTCTTGGTCAAGTAGCGACTGATAGGCTCTGCTAGCTCACCATATCCCAGACCAAAGAGTGCCCCAATAGCTGCTCCGATTTGGACTGTTCCAACGGTTTCTGGAGAGAAGTTCCAAGGCGGCATCTCAAGGCGCTGGGCATAAGTCAAGCTCAGCACCACGAGACCTCCAAATACCATACTGTTGAGCAGCAGGACCCAAAGAGTGCCTGGCACAAGGATACAAAGAAAGATGTCTTTGTACGCGCCAAAGAACCGGGCAACAGGCGATGGTTGAACTGTGAAAAGCGCAAACTGACGCTTATACGAGAGCTCTGTGGGATTTTCTGACTGAGCATCGTCAATGTCGAAGCCAGCGTCGCGAGCAGCTTGAGGCGAAGCAAAGGTTCGGTGAGTACCATACGCATCTGTCGCGTGGATTCTTCCACTGAGCTCGGCAGCGCGACGGTTGAAGAGAGTCTCGGGGACGCAGAAGATGATGAGTATCATGGCAAACACTGCAAAGGCTAACCAGAACCAATAATTAAGTCTCCAATTACCGCCCGCGTTCTCGACGATGAAGGGGATAGGGATCAAAAGTATAGACGACCCGATGGCGGTCAGTGCCCAGTATGCGATGAGTCGTGCGCTTCGCTTATAGAGGAATGACATGTCGAGAACAATAATTGGCAGCTGCCCGTTGTCAGCATCCGAGATAGTATTTACGGGTCGACAGAGGAAGCAAGTCATACCAGACAGTCCGAGATACCTGCAGTGAGCCCCTGCAAACAGCGAGCTCCAAGGTGAGACTCAAAAGACTGCGACTTGGCGGCCCAGATGATCGATGCCACGAAAATGATGTTGCTCAGAATGAACGCGAAACGACGACCGAGTGCCATGGACAAGGGAACGAAGAAGAAGTTTCCCAAACCCATGCAGAGGGAAGGATAACTAGCAAGGTCTGCAATACGGTCAGGATGGAATGTCTAGAGTCCATTCGTTAGTCATTACTAGTATTGTGGTATCTCTTCGACTTACACCACGCGTCTCCTTCATGTATTCAGCAATCAGGTTCCCAAAGAACAGCGGTGTAGACTGAATAACACCAAAACCAGCGATGCCATACATGCAGACAGCTAAGAGAACGAGACGCTGTCGCCAGACCCCGAAGTTGAGAGGATCGTTTGGGTCGCACGATGGAACTGGCAGGTTTCGCACATTTCCATCATCGTCGTATAGAAGGACGCCGGCACTGTTGCTTACAGCATCCTCAACATTCATGGCCTTGCCGTGATTATCGTCTTTTTCCATATTGCGCGATGAAGGAAGACGCAGGAATAAACTTTGATGGAAATGAGACAGATGGAATGTCTGCGAAGGTTGAATATGCCCGGTCTGAGATGCCAGGAGAATGTTTAGCATAGCAAGAGAGGATGCGATGTAATTTAAACCCCAAGACTCGCTAGACAACTCGCAAGGGGTCTCACGATAGTCTGGGGCCCCGTGAAACTCTAATTAGCACTCCGGGTTTTACCCCGCGGTCTGGCCCCTACTTTCTGTTGACTGCGAGACAGCGTTCGGGCCGAACTGGAATGTACGGCGGCAGATATCAATTAGCAACCCCGATGTTCGGCCCGAAAATCGTCAGCAATCAATCCTTTTTCGATTTATTTGGGCTTGCGAGCTACGATTTCGAGATGAATTGATATGAACCGTGGCCTCAGTAACCGAGGTCTTCCAATTCGGGATTGTCTCATGTCAGCTTCAATATTGGAGAGATCGACATGAAGAGCGTCTATCACGGTTGGCTCATGGTAACATAGGCAAGTAATCTGTAAGAAACGGATTCTGTAAATACCACACTGAAGGCATGTGTTCTACGACTGGGACACCGCATAGATGAATCTTTTGTCCAAGTATCTCTTTCGCAACACTGACACAGCGGATATTCCTGTAACAATTCTCAGAGAAAACTCCCATATTAAGTAATACATCATCCCATTCTGATTGAACCTTTGGCATAACATATGAGGGCTATCTATGTTATGCTCGAAGTTACTGAATAAATGAGCAAGAGAGATGACTGATCTTAACGTGGACAATTCTACTATTCCGTCTATCATAAGCCGTAGTGTCTGAACTCTAAGCTACAAACGATAAATGAAAACACTAGCTATTGATGGGAAGCTTCTGCTTGATCAATAGAAGCCTAATCTCCCAAGCATCGTAAGACCCTGGCAATCAGAGTCAGGAATGTCGTCAAAGAAACGGCTGTCTGATGCCATTGATCGATGCGACAACGTTCAATAAGTCACCTAATGCTACCACTCCAGCCCTCCAAGGACAATGTATTATTCCGAAGCATTATTCCACTGACTTTAAAGAAGCTCAGAGGTGAATGTAATCATGCGCGGGGATGCCAGGAATGATGCATCGGGAATTCCAAAGCTGCAAGCCTGCAGCCTCGGCAGCGAATCTATAAACAACCTGCCACTCAGAAGACCCGGAGACTGGATAAATTCAGTGTCTTATGAGTGTTCACTAACCAGTTTGGGGCAGCTGAGAAGCAGGCTGTGGATTGACGTGAGACAGGTGGAGGCAGTGCATTTTCAGCCTTATCCTTATAACCGCCGTCTTTGCCTGTACAGATCTACCTGCCAATGTTAGCATATCGATATGACAGATCAAACCAGATATCAATTACTCGACATTCTTGACTATCACGTCTCCAGCGCCCTTGGCCGTCTTAGACCGTGATAGACAGTCTAATACCTGCGGCTTCATAGACACGAACTCAGGTAACTACTCCTCTCCAACTTCCATCGCCATGCTATTCTCATGAAACGATTAAGAATCCCGTGGATATGTCCTGTAAGGTTACATGTCTATATAATGAGCCATATTCCGCTGTTGGCTGTTGCTGGAGCGAGCCATGCACCGTCGTCTCGGTATGTTTAGACTATACCGCGGTCAGCGAAGGCCAGTGCAATGGGGAAAACCTAAATGCTGGGACCAGTTGTTGGTAAGAATTCCATCCAAAAAGAGCTTTCAAATATCATAACTGACGGTATTTAGTTCTGGTTCTGGAATTCCATACTGCCAGACATGGAAGTTCTCTGATATCCCTGCCTCACTTGTGTGGTGCACTGATGTCCAACCTACTGCAGAAGTGATCATGTTTGATCAGCCTATCTTGACAGCGTCGGACACTACCTCGACTGATAGAAGCTCTTCATCAACGGGGCCGGCAACAACATCGACTAGTACATCGACTGAAGAGGCACCATCTCCCACCGAAACTTCGGACGGAAAGTCTGGGGGTATGTCATCAGAGAATACAATAGCACTTGGTGTCGGTATACCTGCGGCCGTGGCTGGTATATTCTCAGCTGTCCTCGATGTTTGGCTGGTGAAGAGGAGAAGGAGAATAAGAGCACTGCCGGCAGTACCTGCAGTTCCCTTGGTTCCAGCAGCTCCAGCAGTCATTTCTAGTGGCGATACTTCAAGCTCTTAGGCCTGAGATCGTTTCAGGGTGATGTAGAGTCGTCATGCGAAGACAAAGAGCGGTTTAACGGGAGGTAATAAGAGGTAGACTCGCAAGTTTCGAAAATGCAGATTGCCTTGTAAATTCATCCAAGGACACTTTACTCAGAAACAGTATGCTTTCATCGGAGTGGCTATGTTGATATGTTCCAACCATAGTGCAAATTCTGCTGGAACATACCATCGAAATGCCATGGGGGTTAGAGCATCGGCAAGATATGTGTTGTTTGAACTGCCACTAGAGCAGGCTAGCCCACTGTAGGTCTATCTTTGCTGAATTATATGCTAGATGTTCTACTTGCGATTAAAATTTGTGATTGAAGGCTTATTTACTGCCCATGATTTCGTCATCGTCGTGTCCACTGGGTCGATACTGCAGGGTAAGAAATGTCACACATCCTCCTATCTGAAATCACGGCAGCCCCTTCATCCTGCCGATAACACAAAACCCCTGGGGTGTACCACATATGACCGTTGATATCGACTAGGTGTATGTTCGTATCTATGCCGTAAGTCACTAACGACGGCGTGGCGTCAGGTAAGTCTACGGTACGGACGAGGAGGCAAGGTCCCCGAAGGCTGTAGCCCCAGTGGCCGAGTTACGCGCGCTGGCCTTACCGGGAGCGACTTGACGGCATAGAAATAGAATTTACAGGCATGCGTCACTCTCCCGTTGCCGACATAAAGTCTAAACGATTTAGGTGACTAGATCAAGTCCCCGATTTGTACTGAAAATGCTGCTTCAACAATTACATAACGAGTCAAAGAAAAGATCATATTGGAAAAGGGAACTGGCATTTCGGGCCCTCAGAACCTTTCACTAAAGAGCACAAAATAATTTGACACTTAAGAAGCGATAATGCAATGCGTAGGGTAACCTGATGATGCTTGCTTTTTGATTCCAGAACATCTGAGGCGAGTTTCGGCCGCCAGCGGGCCTGAATCCGCTCCGTCTACAACAGCAAAATAACCCTACACGCGAGTCAAACCCAAATTGCAAAGGGGTCAGTTAAAATGTCACTCGAAAGAACAGACCCGTCACTGGCCCAAGTTGTACGAATCCCGGCATTCCAGGTCCACATGGCGTTGGGCTGAAAAAGCTTCAGCTTGATTGAGTGTAGCGTCCAGCGTAAGGTTATTGCTCAGAATCATCGAACGATTTTCATCATAATCGCTTGTGTTATCAACAGGGTCTTTTAATAAGTTCAATAGAGGTCCGAAAGATTTGGGAAGGGGTGACAACAGCTCGGCAGATGCCTGGGATACGTAATCCCAGGGACACGGTACGGCAAACGAGCTGCATTTGGGTGACCGCCACGGACCTGCATGCATCGTAACTCATCCTTGATAACAAATCCCGGACACCCGGCGTTCTGGATTCGCCTCACTATTCTGTGCCCCCCAGCGACAGAAGCCCAGGATTGCTATCCAGGTTCTCGGTATTTCCAGCACAGAAACTCCCCTCGTGCGATTTAGAGTTCAATTTACATAAACAAGCAAAGACCATGTATTTAAACGACTGTTTTCGGATTTTCGCACGAGCACAGTAGCATTCAGAGCGGGAAGTGGGCAGACGGAATTGCAACCTCGCCAATCGAATTGGGATGAATTGTCACAGGATTGGAGCCGGCGTATGGATGCACCTCACAGGGGAAATGCTATAATTTCCGCTACCTTTTCCGACGGGTCCGCTGACGAAGCAACGTTAGGCGAACCGGTTCTTTGGTGAGCGCTGATCAGACTCGTTTTCTGGAAGGTGAACCATTCTTGGCTTTGGCGATCCCTGCCGTGGAAGCTGGGGGGTGATCCTTCGATCGGGTCAACGAACGCCGAATGGAAACGGGACGCACACAATTGATCAAGCAGCGACAGAGCTTGGCCGTCCCACATAGGTACTCGGAGAATTGATCTTGGTGGATGAAGAGAACGGAACATATTACTACAACGCAAACGAACTATTTCTGATCCCGTAGGATGCTCAGTTGACTTGAATTCGACGCAACTTCCGTTTCATCCGTCCGTGACCCTGTGCCCTTGGAATTCTTCCGAGAGTCGATATATTCTGTGACAGTAATCTCTTGAGTGCGTAGAATACCTTCAGAAGGCTGCCGACTGTGACGCACAGTACCAAGAGCAAAAGTCTCCGTAGTAGGATCATCGCCAAGCGTACCAGTTGCTCTCGTATTTTTCCTACTCCTCATCCCAGTTCCGTTGGATTGCGAATGAGAATAAACATATCCAGTGCCCTGTTTCTTTTTATTCCAAAATCCATATAGCGTCGGTGCGTTGACGACGATTGTCGCGGTGAGAAGCTCAGTGCTGGCCCATGTCGTGCGATTGACCTGGCTGTCTTTATTCATGGCGTTGATCGGCAATCGGATGACGGTGATAGCGACGATGAAGATGCCGAGAGTGAAGAGCACGTAAAGCTTGAGTTTGCGCTTCCAGGATGTCTTGAGCGAAAAGAATAACGGAATCGGGACGGCGAGAAGCATCACGTCGGTGACGATGTTGAGAACACCAACGACGATGAGTTGCAGTTGGGCCTTGGAGCAGGTTCCAGGATCTGGAACAACCTGCCAGTACAAATGAAAAGGTACGCACTCGCTGAAAGTCGTGACTTGGACAGCGACGTAAGTACCGAAGAAAACAAGAAGAAAAGAATACATAACCGTCTTCTGATATCGTAAGTTGAGGAGTAATCGTCGGTAAACATCGAGAAGCACAAGCTTCTGTAACCAAAGGCTGTAAAACGTCAGCACGACTCGCCCCTCGAGTCAGCAAGAGAACACTAACAATGAATTGTAAAAGACTCGATTCGTAATGGCGAATTTACTCCCAATCTCCCGTCGATAAATGATTTCATCAGTAAAAACCATCTTCTCTCGAAGACTCGGTTTAATATTATTTGTTCCCCAGGTGAGAACAACATGGATAAGCGCCAATCTCACAGCACAGCACAAGATGGCACCCATTGTGAGGTAATCACCGAGTACAAACTTCTGCTTGGCGACTTTTCTCCATATCAGCCGCACCCCCATAATCAGGAGTGACAAGCAGCTGAAGAACCAGTGAATAAACAGCGTAGGATCCTCCATTGTGTCAGGTTACACTGGGAAAAGAAAGAAGAAAAAAACAAGGAGGATTTTCGCAGCGGGGGATGGCGCAGATCACATATCTTTTATTGTACTGTAATTGTTCTTTGATGAAACGCTTCCTGTTACCTGCTTTGCTTCTTTTCAGTTTTCGGCCACTTGAATCCCAGCGGGTCGTTCCCCGTTAATTACGCTTGTTTTTTTCGTGCTGGTGAGTGAGTTTACTGACGATATGCTTCTGGACTTGTCAGTTTAGTGCCTAGCTTGGTTTCTTGTGGCGTTGTCTTTCATTTTGGGTACCAGCGCTAGAACGGGCCGTTTTCCTTCAACGGAGAGAATTAAACTATTCGTGTGCGCTAGTTACGAAATGATATTGGGAGCGGTAGCATTGATAATTTATTTAATGGATATTCTAAACGATGTCAACTGACGTCTTCAAAGAATATCGCTTGATACCGTCAATCGGGCAATTGGGCCGTTTGTCCCTCATGCGCCATTTTCTTGCTGCAGGGATATCACGCGGGTTCCTGGGATGCGGATGATACGAGCTGCAACCTTAGTTACTGCGCCGTGGCAGGGGCCTAAAAGTCTAGAGTTCAGTCTGTCGCATCCGAAATGGAAAATGAGGATGACGATCCTGTCTAGTGTAGCTCGCTAGCCGGGAGGCCTTGAGCAACCTCAAATTCCGCGGTGCAGACCCCCTGCATGATGCAGTATATCTGCGACTGTTCTTTTCATTCTTTTCTTTTTTGTTCTCCTGCATCTGCGCTGCATCTCCTTCCCCATCCATCCATCTTTTCATCTCATCTGCCCACCATGCGTTTCACTTCCCTCCTAGTCGCTGCTACCGCGACATTCTCTCAATGTCTCGCTGCGAGCTACGGAAGCCAGGGTGAAGTTCCTGCTATTCGCACGTACTTCATGGTCGGCGGAGGTTATGTAGATGATGGTGCAGGCGGAGAGATCTTCCGCGATCAGATGTACGTGGAGAGACTGGTACCTACCAAGGGACCGTACAAGTCTACGCCTCTCGTATTCATCCACGGACAAGCCCAAACAGGAACCGTAAGTCCCCTTGATCGATGTTGCGAAACAGCCTCGGCTGACACACAGACATAGAACTTCCTAAATAAGCCTGACGGAGGCCGTGGTTGGGCAAGCCAGTTCATCAACCAGGGCTACGAAGTTTATATCGTCGATCAGACCTTCCGAGGACGATCGGCATGGGCGCCCCTCGCCGGTGCTACCAAGCCCTCCACATACTCGGCAGAGATCATCGAGCAGCGCTTCACTGCCGTGCAGGAGTTCAATCTCTGGCCCCAGGCTGAGAAGCATACCCAGTGGCCTGGTACCGGCAAGCGAGGAGACCCTGTCTTTGACGCCTTCTATGCTTCCAATGTCCAGTTCATCAACAATGCCACCTACCAGCAAGAGACCGTCCAGGCTGCTGGTGCTGCCCTTCTTGACAAGATTGGCAAGCCTGTTATCCTCCTTGGACATAGCCAGGGTGGTATGATGCCCATTCTTGTCGCTGATGCCCGCCCCAAGCTCACCAAGGGCTTGATCCTTCTTGAGCCTTCTGGTCCTCCATTCCGAGACGCCGTCTTCAGCACCAAGGCCTCTCGTGCCTACGGTCTGACTGACATCCCCCTCGTCTACAGCCCTGCCGTCACCGACCCCTCCACCGATCTCGTCCAAGAGGTCCAGCCCAGCCGTGGCGAGGACTTCGTCGAGTGCATCCTTCAAGCCAAGAAGCCTGCACCTCGTCGTCTCGTCAACCTTGCCAAGAAGCCTATTCTTCTGCTCACTTCCGAGGCTTCTTATCACATGCCCTACGACTACTGCATTGCCCGCTACCTTAAGCAGGCTGGTTGCTCCAAGACCAAGCACATTGAGCTTGGTGAGGTTGGCATCCACGGTAACGGACACATGATGTTTATGGAGAAGAACAGTGATCAAATCCAGGCTCTTGTTGAGCGCTGGGTGCGATCAACATAATCATGCCAGTGAGCCCACGAGTGATTGACACTCCATGTTGCTACTCGGCAAACGATCTCCCATTGTTGACTGGGAGCTTTGATGTTGTCCATGCCTGTTGTCGCTTTCAGTGGCTACGTAAGCCCGGGCATATAATAGATCACACATAATTGTCTCTGACGAGCTATATAGATAGAATTAATTATAACTGTAATGCCATACCATCCATGAAACACTAGCAAAAATACTTTCAAAAGTGCAATCTGTCTCATCTGAATTTAATGAGCAGAGGTGAAAGAGGAAATGATTTAGCTTGATTCCCGACTTCCGAAAAGTTCATTTCATAGTGGCGAGGCCATGGTTTCCCAAACTCGAATCTCCTTTTCGTTCTTGAGGCATTCCTAGTCCCTTAGAATGCTTGTTGTGAGACTGCAATGGTATGCGACGTATAGAATAGTTAACATTCCAGCTGATACACATCCTCTGAATGTTTGAATCAATGTCGATAATTCTGAATACGTCTAGATCTGGTGGAGGTTTAGCTGATGAGCCACTTCTGACTGATGATGTATAACTTACTTAGAAATCTTGTACTTCTTCATCTTGGGAGGTTTTGGTTTTGGGGCTGGCTTTTTCACCTCGATCAGCTGAACAGCTACAACGACCGTATCTTCGCCAACGTCATTTCTCCCATTCGAGTCAAGGAAGAACTTGATCCCCGCTGTTGTTTCTTCCTTAGTTCGCAAGTCTAGCTCAGCAGAATGTTCGCCCTCACAGAAGCCCCACTTCTGACTCTCGGATGCTTCAGTCACAAACTGTAGACTGGTGAGGATCCCTAAGCTGTCGACCCATAGACGAAGAGTCTTGAGGTAAGCTCCATTTGGGTTCCATCCACCTATTTCAAAGTGGGGTAAATCTTCAATCTCTACTTCGAAAGAACCTTCGTGTATGCAAGTGCACCGGTCTTGTTTACTGACATTTTTCTCATGCTCTGGTTCGGAGATGGCGAATGGTCCGAAGTACATCGGTTCATGACCCTCAGCGTACTCGAAAGCCATGGACGTAATCATGAGTAACTCTGTCGTCGTACTGTGACACATTATGATGGAAATAGCTTCGAGTGGTTTTGAGCATGAAAAGCTCTTGAACCATATCTTCTATACACTCATCAACGTGACTTAATGACGCGAGTGCGAATTCGTTGTTGGGATTGACCATATCGACTTCAAAAGGTCCAGATGGTAGGCCATAGTCAAGATCCAGTGAGTTTGGTTGGAGAGCAATATCCTGCAAGAGTGTCATAAAGAGCAGAGAGGGTAACTTTTCGTGGTTTATAAGCGTCTTGGAGGATCTCATAGCAATCGACGTGAAGTGGCGCTGCAAAGGACTGAGGACCTTGGCAGTCGTAACTGTGCGTGCATTAGCAGTGTAGCAAACACACTCCGCCGGTCTCAGTGATGGTATGCTTACACTGTGACGAGTCGGGTGTCGAATACCTCGCCATGTTCACCAACTTCATCATCATCATATACACCATAGTGGTTATCCTCATGATGCCGAGCTTGCTCGATTAGAAAGGTTCTACTAGTGTTAGACCAAAAAAGCGATAAGGGGATATAACTTTGAGCCTTACTCTTGTGTTTCTGGGTCTCGAGCAATAATTATAAAGTCTCCCATCCATTCTTTGTCCACAATGGCAACTCCAGAGTCGCTGTCGTCGTCACAGCCGCAATAGGAGTCTCCCCACGAATCGTATTCGTAAATAGGCCCACAGCACAAGGCGCAATAGACAGTATGTCCGCACACGACAAATGATACAATGAAGCTGCGACGGATGCAATTGTTGCTCTTTATAAGGGCAAGAGTAGAGAGAGAGTAAAAGACTTATATGTCTTCCAGTTAAGTTGGCAAATTATGCTGTTTAAATAGTTAGCAGGACAGGTGCCTCTATGCTTATTGTAGTAATACTACATAAGGGCGAGTCAACAAATTGAACCTGCCTGAGCGCTTTGTTGCCCTGGATATCACTTTGCCACTGAGGCTACTTGTTCAATTGGATGATAAGGTTTAAGGCAGCAGCTGCATGATCTGTTGACTTGATAATAAGGTTATTGTGTTTTTAGGCGTAGTGTATGACGCCTATATTCTGGTTGTGTTTACAAAACACTATTGTGTTGCTTTATGTGTGGCTTCGGCATTACTTCTCTCTTGATATCACATTGCCACAGTTACAGAGCCTGATCATATAATACTTGTGACATTGAAAGTAGTGACCTGCATTATGCGTTATCAGAAATACCTTCTTACTTATATAAAGTCCCACTATAGCCAATGTATCTTTGATCTTGTAGCTTCGATTTGAAGGATCCCTGCTCAGTACAACCGATCTGCCTGTTCGTCAAATAAGGGCTTAGGCAGAGGACCTGACGAGTACTGAGGGGTTTCAGAAGATTGCACCAATAGTGGGAAAGATCATCGACTTGTAAGATAAATACGCAGTCAATATAATCTTGTCAGGAAAGGCCAATGGCTTGTCGAAGTAGAGGTACCGCATGACCGTGCTATGGGGACCAATGCAATGACTCCATTTTCGTCCGTTATCTTCAAAGTGAATCTCGAAACCTTGCATATTAGCGTCGAGTCCAAATCAAACTGCATGATGCAAATCGCTATTACGAGCGGCAAGAGCCAGATTCTCCAGAACGCGCTTGGATCGGGGACTTGTTCCTCAGCTCATTGGGGTCGCAGGGCCAAGGTTTGCTACCTTTCAAAGGTCTTCTGAAGAAGTCTATTGCCGTGGGCGTGCTCTTAGGTACTAAAGTTGACGCCATGGGAGTTGAGGTTGACTTGGAGACCTGGGGCAAAGACTCTGCCTTGGGCTTCGGAGCACTACGCTGTTTTGAGAGAGGCAGGTATTCCTCTATGATCTTGGAAAAGAAGCTCCAGAGGCGACGTCGGTTATGCAAGGCCCTCAGTGTACCACGGTAGCCACGAGCTTTGAACGCATCGAACCCACGACCACTGCCAAGATCGTTGATGACCTTTCAAAACAAGAACATATCGACTTGACGACGCTAGATCTCTTCTTTAGAAGGGAGAAACTTGAGTATCCAGGCAAACTCCGTGAAAAACTTGTTTTCCCATACCATGTCAGAAATATCCTTCGGCACAGAATATTTGCCCTGCTTCCGCTTCTTGCGCTGATTTCGCCATGGACCTTGGTGGCTTGCATGCAGAGCCATTTGGTGATTTCCAGATGGCGCTTGTGTTCCCCGTTGATTGTGATACGGCCCAGTTTTGTAGGATTGGCACGCCCCGGTCGGTACATTTTGAGGCGTCCACGATCAGCAGCTGGTCCAGTTGGTACTTTTGGGGGTGGCCCGATTTCTTGTACAATCGACTTGTGGGCTTTCTTCAAGACGTTTTCGGTGATGTCGGTGACCTGGCCGTCGTGAATAGAAACGGGTGATAATGACAGCATACCCTATCCCTGTGGCATTAGACCAGCTCTTGCTCCGATATTCTTTTACTGGGCCATAGTCAAAGTCCAGGGCATCTGGTGACCCGTGGGAGGGTGGCGGAAGGTGAGCTGTGAAGACTTGGTACAGCCGCGGTGTCGATCATTCGTGGCTTCGCAACCTTTCCAAGAAGTTCGTAACAGTCTTCATGCATGGGAAATACCAAGGGTCTTCACCTCCGTAATCATACCTTTAAATATTAGCCCCTGATAGTTCTCTCTTGCACAGAAGTTACACTGTCATAAAGTCAACGTCTTGTGGAATTATCTTGGTGTTCTCCTCAAAATCGACATGGAACTCGTTCGCATCCTCCTTCTCAGCACGAGGCATAATGAAGGCCCTAGAATCATTGGATACTGATCACATAGCACCCACGGTACGCAACTTCCAGACTCGCGGTGCTGCTTGATAAGCTTGACCCTCCAAAGCCATTCATTCATTCTCGACAAAGTCGAAGCCCTGGTCAGATAGGCAACTATCATATGCATTGGCTGAGTCACTGGATGTTGGAGCGCCGCAGAGGGCACAGTAAACAGAAGGTGAATATCCGGACATGATGACAATGATGATGACGAAGGATGTTGACGCGTTGTGAACTCAATCGCGTTGGTGGCTTTGAGACACGAGAGTGATACCACGTATCAGATCGACAGGTGGTCAGAAAAGAATGACCACTGCTGTTAGTGTCTCAGTATTCAACACCCACGAACCCCAGTTCTCAATTGACGTAATCACACGCCTTTTCTGTCCAATCCTCCCGGCCCCAAACACGTCCGAGACAGCGAAAAAAGCAACTTTCGTCTATGGAATATATACATTGATATCGGTCGTCGCAGTCTCATATACGCAATTGATTCGTATCTAGGGTCAAGAAGCCACCATGCGTCTTATTCGATTGTATACACTAACGTGAAGCGGTTTGTTCCGTCGTATCCGTGACTTTGACATCTTTTGGCCATCCAAACAAAGTGAGCGTTGTTTCTTGCATTTGGCGTTTGGAGAATTACTCATGACTCTACAATTCAGCAACGAATGCTAGACAGACTAATGAGCCATGATGATGAAGGGAGCGACATGGAATATGAGCTCGGTGTAAATATAACCCGTGATTGCAACACTTTAGCGACAGGGATTGCTTGTTGGTTCATCGTTAGAACTGTCAGCGCTTGAAACCTGAGACGATGGATAAATCACTCATCAAGGCCAAGTTCGACAGCCTTGTCCAAGCAGGGCTGGTATTTTACGACCAAGAACAAAGGCTCATCGAATATTTGGATGGAGGATTGAAGGTATTACGCCATTGACTGCACAGCCGGGCACGTCATACTGACAATCTTGACTGCAGTTTCAGTTCCTTCTCACTTCGGCTTTGGCAAGGAAACCGACCATTCAAACAGCTGGAGCCCAGACGCAACAGGATATCAAACTATCCCAGCAGAAGCGAGAGGGGAGTGACATCAACACAGCGGGTTATGAGATCTGTGACGTTGGAAGAACGCATGTCCTGGTGACCAACAAATTTTGCTTCGCCAACCCTCATTTGATGCTTCTGACTTCAGACGGCCACCAAAGGCAATACGAACCTTTGAATAGGGGCGATCTAACAGCAGCATGGAGTGTTTTGACTACATTGGGTGACGATTATGTTACCTTTTTCAATTGTGGACGAGATGGAGGATGTAGTCGATTGCATAAGCATATGCAGCTGATCCCAAAGCCGAAAGATAGCTTTGCATCTTTTCTCGATGCTGATGGTACAAAAGAGCCTAATGTTCCCTTTCAATGGTTCTACCAACACTTCGGACACTCTAAACCCGACATGGACGATTTGGTCACTGTTTACAGCGACCTTCTGAAGCAAGCCACCAAAGTTGGCGAAGGGCGATCTGAGCATGCTGATAGCTCACCTCCTGGTGCTGCAGTTCCGCACAATCTTTTGCTTACGCAGAGGTGGATGGTTGTACTTCCAAGACGACGAGCGGCTGTTAATAAGGAAGCTGGAGCGAATGCTATTGGAATGATGGGCGTTATTGCTGTTGCAACACAAAGCGAGATTGATGGCTGGATCAAACTTGGACCAGCTGCCGCTCTTACAGAGCTTGGCGTGCCAAAATAGATTTGAGCTGTTTGATATAATCCAAGAAGCACTTTTATAATTGGATTCTGAGTTCCCTATCATCATTATCATGTATGTCGTTCCCATCACTTAGCTTCCCTGATAAGCAAATTACTACCAGCCCCTTCATCAGCACTGACACTCACATAGCTCCCTGAAGTTACTGTAGTCTTCCCCTCGCCCAACAACCCCTCCTTCTCAATAACCTGAACAGGGCTTTCAACACAGCCTTGACACGTCTGCATCTGCGACTCAGACAACATGCTTCCGGCAATCCAATTATAAATCACCCACGCCGCTTGCAAAAACACCAAATCTGCAAGAAGGATCGCCAAGAGCATGATACCCGGACTTTTACTCTGTGGAACAGAGCAGAGATATTGTGAAACTACTGTCGCATCATTACACCCCAGTGGTCCCATCTCACTAGCGAACCTGTCGTAAGTTTCGTTAAGAAGAACAAGGTTCTTATCTGTTGGTGGAAGAGGTGCTCCAGGTATTGGAATCTGGGCATAGCGTGTGGCTTGGCCCGTCAATGACGAGTCGTTTAGAAAAGAGCCGTTTTTGCGATTCGGATCATCTGGTGGGAGGATGGCGTATTGAAGATCCTTTTTGTCCAAAAGCAAGTTAGGGGCGTTTTGGTTTCCGAGGTCAACGGCTATGAGGGAGTGAAGAATCCTTGTGTAATGGAGACTTTCCCAAACAACTGGGACAAACTGATTCTGGGTTCTGTTAGTATTAGAAGTTACACGGCTGACGTGGACGCACCTTTGGGTCAGTCTTTATGAAGGACGTGTCGTTGAGAGCTACGGGTTGTTAACTGGTTATCCATAAAAAAGGCTGGTAGGGAGAAGAAACTCGCGTTCGTTTTGAATGAACCCATCAGAGGAAAGAAACCACCCTGCGAGGTTGAATAACTTCGGATCACGAATGCTAACTCTTTTCAGGATATGAGAATGATATTCTTGGGGGCTTACTTACTCCTTGATGTTCGGGTTCGTTGTGAACGTGATCCCTCCCGTCATCCAATATGAATCATCTCCCAGATCTTGGGTCTGTGACATTGTTGACAGAATACCCGTAAAATACACATTCAGCAACCTTGTTCCCCACCATGTACTTGCATGAGTCTTGTAATCATCCTCAATAACATAATCGTATATATGATCACTCTGACCAGTGTACTCAACACCAAGGGTAATGTTCACAAGGCCCTCGCTTGTCATGACATTGCAAGAGGCTGTAGCGTCAGTGAAAGTCGTGATCCAAGAAAGCCACCAGCTGTTTGAAGCTCTAGCATCTGATTTTCGAAGATTAATGTCGACTCTTGTTAGATAGCAATCTTCAAGAGTGTTATTTAAGTATGCAATGGAAGGATATGTCTTTCGAAAGCCTGAGTCATCGTCAGATGAGGTAAGAGCTTTGACGGAATATTGAAAACCAAGGTTGGTGGAGAAAACGCGATCACCAACAGACAATATCTTGGGCTGGCATTTGACCTTCATATTATTATCCCAGTTCAGCGGTGCTTTCATGAACCATCTGCACAAGATTATTAGAACGCCAGTGAAGACGTGAGATTCTTAGTACATACCGAACAGACTGGGTTGTTGTACCGTTGGGATCGTCAGTAAAGATCGGCTTGAGATAAAACGCACTGGACGCCAGATTGATGATCGTAAATAAGACCATCAATATCAGGCCGCCCACGATGGCTACAGGAGTAAACCATCGAAATGGGAACGGTCTCGTAATGGGATAGGAGAACCACGAAGAATGCATCGCGGCGGCAATTGGGAAGTTCTGCCCTTGTAGATCTGATGCGTAACAATTCTGAGATCAGGAAATGTGGGCATTTATCTACCTCAAACCCAGCTCTTCAATCGTAACATGAAGGATCGTGATCCCTGCGAGGGCTGAATAATTCGATGTAGGGTAAGCTGTTGAGGCTCGGCAATTTCCATTTCCGATTGGACAAAAGGAGCCAAATTTAGCACAAGAAATCCTCACGTCGCATTTTGGCCAACTGCTCAGCCTTCTTTTCCTGCACCTAAGATTGATTAACGTTTCATTGCTCCTTGCTATCAACTATCTAGCGAAAGCTTAACATGCTCCCATGCGTCCTTGAGCCAATGATTTTCGTGGCATTTTTATCCGCAGTTACCACAAAATGACTGCCTGTCTGGTAATTACCGGAGATAAGAAGCACAGCCACAGGGCAAGACAACAACGAACGGTCTTGTAAATATTTCGCAAAAAGAGCTTCATTTAGGTAGTAGTGAGATCCATGGCTGATAACTCGGAACTGGCAGATACCCGAGACTTGAATAATTTAGTGCAGAGTCAGGAATCAGGTGAAGCGCGCACTACCGATAAGCGCGCGGCATTTAGGGATTATCTTAGACTTGTTACATACTGGGCTGTCTTGATAATGCTGATTTACGCGGGCTCTGTTGGTAATCAATTTTCTAAGCCACAGCTTCCTTGTCAGCGTGCATGAGTCTATCATAAACCTTTCACGCCGCGTGTTGACTTACGTTTCTTACGCCTTCACTTTAATCGACGCTGTAGCATCGCGCAGTCTCACGAAGAGAGTTTCGAGAAGAAGATTGATATTTATCGGATTAGCTTTCAAGTCAATTCTCCATGACAGGTTATAGTAAAGCAAGGTATGTTCAATGCCAACACGCCTGGTGGCTTGTGACCTTCGGGAAGTTGACTATGACTTTCGTGAACTTACGCTGATACTCCTCCTAGGAAGTGATTGTAATTGAAAATACGCGTCACTTTCCGGATATATGGAGAACTAGGGATAAACCGACTGCGGGTAAGTTGGCTAGTCATCTGCAGCTTGCTCGCGTTCTCCGTGGTGTTTTCCAACAAGGAGAACCATGAGCTTGGTAGCAAGACTTTCTCGGTGATCATAAAATCCACATTGATCCGAAACCCAAGGCAAAGTTTTAAAGAAAGTTTGTTATTCGATTCGATAATACTGACCTACTGGCTCGACAGTTTTTACACTGCGCGACAGTCGGCACTCGGCAGCTTATCAGAGTTCTGGCTGTCACATGATATCGTGAATTTAATATCTGCCACGTAATTTCATCAATGGAAGAGTGAAAAACAATTGCTTGCATACTTTTTCTCTTCGCCTTTCTACTATTTATATAGTGGCGGTGTTTCTCGGGCGACCATCTCCGAGCTTCCGCCGACACTTCCATGCATCAAAACATCTTTCACCGACCACGGAATTAAGTACACCAACACGCCATGTCATCGAGCAGATATCTCAGAAATCTTACGCGCCTGGTATCCGGAAGATCAGGTTGCTCTGTTACCTCAATATCAGAGCTTCCGAAGTACCCGACTTCTGTGGCGCGAAAGTCGTCTACTCAGGCAGCACCCATACTTCATCAATACCCGCCTACAACTCTTGAGGATCCGCTCACATTTCCATCAACTACGTATAATACTATCGATGAGAACGTGAAGGTTGAAGAGGAGGAAATCGCCGGTTATGATGCTTCGCGATTTTATCCGGTCCGAATCGGGGAAGTCTTCCAAGGCCGGTATCAAGCGGTGACGAAGCTCGGCTTCGGAAGCTCATCCACAATATGGCTTGCCCGAGATTTAAGGTAAGTCAATAAGATGGTTACGATCGTGGATACTCAGCTCATTTGAGATACAGAGACCGCAAATATGTCGCGCTCAAGATCTACGTCCATACGTCCCGCAATCACCGAGAAATTCCCGTATACGAAACATTGTCACCAATCCTCGGCAAGACCAGACACCATGGAGGGAGAAACATCCGGATATTTTTAGACTCGTTAGAAATGAGCGGGCCTAATGGTCGTCATAAGGTACTGGTACTTGAAGGCACACAAATGAGTCTGCGTGACTACAAGGAAATCTTTCGAACAGGTGGATTTGATGAGAATTTCGTCAAAAGAGCAGTCAAGGGGCTATTGAAGGCTCTTGACTTTCTTCACACGGAGGCACAGTTAGTACACACAGGTTAGTCCTGGTTTGCGATTATGTGTCTATTTATATTCCTAACATTGCAGACATTCACCCCGGGAACCTATTGCTAGGCCTTGAAGACGATTCACAGCTCCAACCTCTGGTGTCCATGGCCTTTAAATCACCTGTCGCACGAAAGCAAGTCTTAGAATGTCGAACAATCTACCTCTCAAAAGTCATGCGCCCAAGGCCAGGTCCAATCCTATTATCAGACTTTGGCGAGGCGAGGACCGGACTGGGACCACACGCTGGCGACATTATGCCGCTTACATATCGCGCACCGGAAGTCATCATGAGCATGCCATGGAACAATTCTGTGGATCTCTGGAGCGTTGGTCTGACCGCTTGGGATCTTCTCGGCATGAATCGGTTGTTCACGGCGAGGGATGGAGATGGAGAAATGAGCGATGCAGCGCATCTAGCCGAACTCATGGCAACGCTAGGTCCGCCACCCCGGGAATTTCTGCAGAGGAACTCTGGGAGAGCGGCTGACTTTTGGGACGAGCAAGGTAATCGGGACAGGAAATTTGAATGGTTTTAAAGACGCCTACTGACATAATGTAGTAGGCAAATGGAAAGGACTCGCACCTATCCCCAAGAACCGCTCTCTGGAAGAGCTTGAGACCAAGCTTGGTGACAGCTCGGCTTTCATTGCATTTCTGCGGCGTATTTTAACTTGGATGCCAGAAGATAGACCTACTGCGAAGGTGCTACTACAGGATCCGTGGTTAATGACCGAGAGCAGTACTAGTGCGAAAGCTGAGTCGCTGGGTGCTGAGGGGCAGTAATGCTAAAGGAGCAGATCCGGAGTCGAACGAACTCTACAAGGCGGGAGACCAAGAGGTCAATTCTCACTAAATAAACGCTGGACATTCCTCTATCTAGAGTACAAAATCATGATAATGTTATCATGGGTTTAGGCATGCTATCATATGGCTAGAAACTGAGAGTACTTAGGTATAGAAAGGTTTATTGCAGTATGAAGCGATGCCTGTTGTATGGAACCATATATAGAGATAAATTTACCAAGAATCGAACAAGTCAAAGAAATAAACGATAGAAGTTGACCCTATCACCAAGCTTTGCCCGAAATAGATTTCTTCTTCGTAGCGCCCCTGAGCCTCCCAAAGAAATTCCCTCCCATAACCGCCGTCCTCGCAACAGTTTCATCCCTCTCCCTATGCCCTTCACACTTCCTCGGCGCCACCCGCCCTTGACTCTCCCAATAAAACCTCGACACATCAAACTCATGATGCGTCCCCGGCGCCACGCAAATAACTTTCTCCTTCGTAGCTTCCAGCTGCGGCCAGCAAGTATCACACCAATTACAGCCCGGAAACTCCTCTGACTTATTTGCGTTTGTGACTTGAATGATCTTTCCACAGAGCTTGTTGGAGCAGCATGCTGTTGAGTCGATGGTAGGCCACCATTCGCGGAAAGAAGCCTTTTCGGATGATATCATTGATGCTTTGCTCTTAAGCTCGAGCTGAGTGCAGATTTCGTTGCAGACGTGGGTTGCGAAAAAGAATTTGAAGCCTTCTCGTCCGAGGTTTGTGTCTGCGAGTTTGAAGCGTTCTGGATCGAGGGTGTGAATAGCTGGGTCTGTGAGGACGTGGCCTACGCCTTGGAGGTCGCAGACCAGAAAGCTTCCCCATGATCGTTCGTAGGTGAAGTGTGAGAAGGCCTGTGCTGCTTTGTTGAATTCATCGTCTGGGTTGTCCTCGTTGACATAGCTGCAGTTATTGTTGTACTTGACATAGTCACCCTCAATAAAGGGTTCAAGGGAGATGTAATCGGTACCGGAATCGCCAGATTTTCCCTTCAGGCATGATGTGACGATAAAGTCGATCGAATGCTTATCGTCTGTCAAAGCGTTGAACTCTAAAGCAAATGCCTTGCAGAGAGCTTGGCAGCGCATGTCCTCGGCCAGATGCGCAAGCCGCTTTCCACCACGCTTAAACGACTTGACGACGTAGGGGTTTGTGGAATGCGTCGTCTTGGCGCAGTATGCAAGACGCAGAGCGCCTTGAGCGAAGGGCATGCGGCGTTTGTGAACGTTAAGCTCCATGACACTCAACTTGATGTTATCATCGTGAGCCATCATGTCATTCAGTGTACCAGAGCGATGAATCACAGTATCCGGACTGAAGCCTTCGACAACGAGCTTATCTTCAAACCAGTTCTGGTCAGACCACTTCTTCTCAACATCTTCAAGAATCGCTTCGCTCTGCTTTTCGTTGAACTCGTCGTCTTCCGCTTCGCCGATGGCGTCAAGATGAGACATTTGAGCAGTCTTGGTTCCCTTTTCGCCAGTTCGAGAAGAAGACTCTGACATTCGAACAGCGGTGCGTGAAGCAGAGCTTGTAACGCTCTTGACTACCAGGTGACGAAGGGCACTGTACGTAGTGCCCAGCTCAGCTTCTTCAAAGAGCAGGCCACCCTTCGCAGTACCCTTGGAACTCGCACCAAGAACACTACTCCTCGGCCCGGAGTTTGCTTTCAAAGCTTCCCGGTAATGCGGGTTCGACTTCAAAAGCTTACAGTCTGCTGACGCAGCAGCGTATTCCTGGAGGAACACGTATGCCATCTTGTCAGTCGCACTCAAGATACGGAGAAGAGCGTAGTTGAGATTCAGACCGATCATCTGCTTCAGAAGAGGCTGATACTGAAGCTTGTGCGGTTCACTTCCAGGAGTGTAGTAGTCATCGCTCTTCTCAGTCCAGCTGTGAAAGATGTTCCCGTGTGGCGGGGCATCAGCGATGTGAATGATGCATCTGGTCTGATTCTTCCAAGAAGCATTGATGGCATGTTGGATACCACCAAGGACATCTTCAGGTGCATCACCGCCACCCCGAGCTTTCAACTTATCAATGAAGCCCCTCACTTTCTCCACATCAGTAGTGAAGTCGATGAACTGAATGTGATTCTTATCACAGTGGTCTTTATAACTGACCACCGCAATCCTCACCTCCGCCTCATTATAGAACGTCTCGGTAATATCCTGCATAATCTTCTTGACCTGCTCCTTAGCAGCTGCAATGAACGGACCCATGGAAGAGGTAGTATCCATGAGAAAGAGAAGGTCCGTGGCACAAGCTGCCTTGAACATTCCCTCGTTGGGAGTTCTTTTCATTTGGGCTGCAGCTTGAGCTTCCCGTTTGAGTTCGAGAACACGAAGTCTGGCTTCTGCAGCGGAAAGGCCTGTAAGACCTGCCTCGCGCTTGAGACGATCGTTTATAGCGCGCTCCTGCTGCATTGCACGGCGAAGATCATCGCGTTCGATCTCCATCTGGCGGAGACGTTCGCGGGTGCCGGATGAGGTAGCGTTGGATGTTCCGGAGTCACCGGGGCTCCGGAGACGCTGGAGAGCGCCAGCGATGGGCGGGACGGATCTAGGTTCATCGCTGCGGCTTGGAGCTGCGCGGTCTCTGCTTGGGGGATAGGGAGGGAGGATGGTAGATGCTGAAGATGCTGAAGATGCAGTGGAGGTTGCGGACGAGGTGTCGAGGACTGGGTCAGTCAGGGCACGAATGTCTCGTGTCTCTCCATCATTTCCAGTAGAACCTGGTGGTGAGTATGGTGGAGGGGCACTCATTTTGGTATGTTTCAATGAATCGGACTACTTGATGGATATCGCTGTTCTGTATTGGAAGCAATATATATATTCAGCCCATCTAAACTCATGTTACTATTTCCATACCGGCTACCGAAGTCGATCAACCTACTCCTCATTATCGCAATGCTAGGCTCTTTCGGAAATCTAGTGTGTCCTCTTCGCCCGATAAGGCTTCCTTCGCGCATCGACATATCAAACGCAACTCCACTGAAGCCTCCATATAAACCGGGCGTTTTTCAGGCCTCAATTCCGCGCCGTTATTCCCATTCCGCATAATCGGGTCCAATCACAGCCCCTGGTGTCTTGCCCCTTTGAGAGCTGATCGGCACGAACTTCCCTGTTGGTCTAGATTGACCAATCACGTCAATGCACGAATTCGCCCTGTTTGAGGGTGTAGTCCTGAAAACGCCGTGTCTGCCTGATGGAGGCAGTGTTTTGGTGGAGTCATGTCGGTCGCCCATTGAGTTACAGCTTGGAACTTGAGCATAAACATTACAGGGGTTGACGCCCGAGAGCAGTTAATTGATAACATTAGACTTGGAGCTTGTGAATTGAGATTCTGAGAATGCCTGGGGCGGGGTTCATCACCAGAGACATCGCCAAGTCGCCCGAGTCAAACTATCTTCCGTCTGTCAGCCCATTACTCGGAGGTGCCTATATGGGGATCTCAAATAGAGCCTTATAGGTTATACGAGGCTGAATGTTTGTAAATTATTGTGGTAAAACGTCGGTTTGGACTGTGCCGCATTTTCTTCGCTCATTATCGGCCTCAACACCATCTTTCTCATTGCACTCTTCACTTTCATTTGAGACCTGCCATTGATCTCAGTACCTTTCATGATTCTTCAATCGTCAACATCACCTTTTTCTTGAACAACGAGGCATCATCATGGCAGATCCTCGACGTGCAGAATGGTTCCTCTCCAAAGCCTCTCTTCAACCCCCTCCCCGTCTCGGCCGTCTAACCGAACCACCCGCCCAAGATTTCCTCCCATTCACCACTACCAACCGCGATGCAGCTCGCCAGCTCCTCGTACAACAGAGAACATCGGATCCCAACTACAAACCCCCAGATCGACAAAAGCGACATCTCTTCCGCTCCAAAGAACAAAAAGCTGAAGCCTGCAACACTTCACAATGGAGCTTTGCGAAACACGAAGTCGCGAAAGCCTTTGATGTTTTATTGGCACAGGAGACACTCCCACCAGCTGGTGTTGCGCAAGCTCTTTTGTTGCATACGACACTGACCTCGTTGGATGAACTTTGGGGTCATTTGAATGATGCGCAGTTGGAGAAGAGGATGAAGAGGAATAGGATGAGCGAGATCTTGAGCTTCGATTCAAATAGCATGACGTGGTTGGATACGGCGACTTCTCGTGATAACTTCAACTATGTTCACTTGTTGTGCCAAACACAAGCGAGCCAAGGAGTCTTGAACAGGGCGTTTGGCATGGCCTTGTCCAGATCATCTCTCGAGTCTATGAAGCTTCTGTTGAGCTTTGGAGCTGTGGCATCCGGTTGCCAAGATCTCATCAGCCAGCATATTCGAGCCCGGAACTTGGAGTTGGTGAGTTTGCTACTATCAGCACCTAACTCAATGGCTCCCTCGGATTGGAAAGCATGCCTTGAACAAGATTTCGCAAGGGCAGAAGCAGGAGAAGCTTTGTCTCTCTCATTTATTCTCCTGCTCCTATCCCACCGCCCAGAACTGGTCTCGGAGTCCTTTCTTCTCAGTGCACTAAGACTACAGAGCTACCAAGCCACAGCTGTGATATTGGGCTACGCATACTCCAATCAGGTCTTCTTCGCCATTCGTCACCAGGTCTGCGAAATCGTTTCTCAATACCAGAATGGCAACCAGAGGCTAGCCTTCTTTACTCTCCTATCTCATTCTGGTCTTGTCGGAGACAACTTGGTCACTCGAGAAGAGCTTGTCAAGGAAGTACTCGCTCGCCACTTACCACTTGTCAATCTGCTTGTGCATGCTGGTGTCGCGGTTGATGTCCCTCCACACAATGCTTTGAAATGGGCTGTCTCACAACTAGACTTTGACATGCTGGAAATTCTTAGACACGGGAATCTTTTGTCGCCTGCATCCCAAGTACTGGGCTACCTGCCCGATAACATCCCAGAGCCTGGCATGGTCCATTTCATGAACATGTTTGGATCTATGGGTCTGGGAGGACAACAGCTTGACTCATGCCTAGTGCGTGCTGCGCAGAGTAAACAACAACACCTTGTCGAAACTCTGCTCCATTACGGCGCATCCGTCGAGGCTAAGGAGGCTGCTGCCATCCGCGCAGCTATCATATCTGCTGATCTGTATGTGCTCAGCGTGCTTCTACAAGGGCAGTGTGCATCGGCTATACTTTCAACGCTTATTCCTACCGCCATGGAGATATCACCAAGAACCATGAGGTTCGGTGTGATGCAATGTCTCATTAGAAAAGGTGTTGAAAGACAGTCACTTGGCACCGCTCTGCTGCAGCTCATATTTGAAGAGGGCGATATCGACTCTGACCTCATCAAGCTTCTTATCGACAATGGTGCGCCGCTGGATTCTACCTCAGACGTTGATACTTCGCCACTTATACAGGCTACGAAGAAAGGAGATGTCACAGCCCTAAACATGCTCTGCAGCGCGAAGCCCACGGCGGGGGAATTGGCTGCTGCTCTTCCCTTTGCGTTCAACACTATTGCGGCCTTTGGCTACGATGTTGCGCTTGAGCTAATGACCCTGCTTCTCAAGCAAGGCGCATCTGGTCCGCCAGTACACGAAACATTGCTTAAGGCAATTACATCAGACGTACCACTCGGCTTTGTGCAGTTGTTGACCGAGCACGGCGCTAATGTCAACTATGCATCTGGTCAGGCTTTCGTGCGAGCCATTGAGATGGACAAGTCTTCACTTCTGGAGCTGCTTTGCTCGTCGTTCCCGCCAGACCAAATAACCGTCCATGCAGTTCTACCAATACTCATCGACCCAAAGCACTACAACCTCTCTAACATTGAGCTCTTCCTGAGCGCTGCTTCACGAGCTACTCCAAAGCCATCACTCACAAATACCTATGCTCTCATCAAAGACCACCCACAACGTTCAGAGCTCTTACCGTGTCTTCTTCGCCATGGTCTAGACATCAATGAAGAATCTGGTATGATTCTCTGCCTTGCTGTCCGAGAACACGACATGGATCTCATCAAGTCAATTCTTGCTCTCGACCCGGGTGCCGCTACGCTCTCCAACGCCTTTCGCGAGGCATGTCAAGTCGAAGATTCAGATTTGAAACTTGATCTTATGGAGCGCCTACTAGAAAAGGCTTCTCCAGCTGAGATCGGACAGTCTAAGGCACTGCTGCAAGAAACCCAAGCCGCTCTCGATGGAGACATGGATGGACTTTGGTTACTCCTAGGCCACAAAGCTAATGTCAACTTCAACAACGGCGAAGCTGTTCAAGCAGCTGCATCGAATAGCGCAGGGTACCCAATTATCCTCAACATGCTTCTCTCAGCTGGTGCTACAGACGTTACCGTCGAGGAGGCATTTGACGCTGCTAGCAACGCAGATACACCAGCAAGCATCAAAGCGGGTATCTTTGGAAGTCTTTTTGCTTTCCATAAAGAGATCTCAGTTGAGATTATATCTCGAGCTTTTGTCAAGGTGCTTGAAAGCCACCCTGATGATGAGCACCTCCCAAACCTGTTATTAGAGCATGGTGCTGGTGCTCAAGTACAGCTCGCGACACTGGAGGCTGCAGCTGAAGCATCTCCAGGCGGACTGTTTCTGAAGCTTCTGCGACAGGTCTCCGACTATACCATGCGTAATGAGATTTTCGAGTATATCCGAATGCACACTAGTATGGAGTCGGCGCACAGACACGAGGCCTATGAGACCCTCCTGAAGCAAGGTATAGCCGAATCCCAGATCTCTGATGCCCTTGTAGTGTCAATTAAGAACGATCCTACTAATCGGGAAATTCCTATGTTGCTCCTCAACAACGGCGCCCAGGTCAACTATAAGAACAACGAAGCGTTCGCCGCAGCATTTCAGTCCCGAAACTTGGAGATGTTCGAACTCCTTTGCTGTTACCTCGTGAAAGGCGAACATGATGAAGCAGCGAAGCTCGTCTTTGAGCATCCATATCTACGAGAGAATCCTTCCGTTACTGTTGATCAGACTGTTCGCGTGAATATCTACAGGAGTGTTCTAACTTGCAACATTGACCCCAAGAGCATCTACACTACGCTCGTTCACTTCCTCGATTCACCGGAATCCAGCCTTCCCATTGTGGAACTTCTGCTCCAACATGGTGCCAATCCCAACGACGAGGATGGGCATTGCTTCTACCTCGCAGCACGACACAAAGAGGAATCTCACTTCCGAGCGTTGTGCAAATACGCAGAACTATCCATTGTCCTACCCACGCTTTCACGCCGCATTGTGAAAGAGCACAACGTGACGCGATGGTTCAAAATCTGTCTTGAGATGCAGCCATCCCAAATTGCCGGACTTTCAGACCAGCTTTTGTATCAGTGTATACGCAAGTTTCCGAATGGAACTGATTGTCTGGATGTACTGTTGGGGGCGGGCTTGTCGCCTTCTGCGACGATTAGTTATCGTCTGCATAAGAATTGGGTGGAGGAGGAGATTTCGTTGCTTATTTGGTGTCTTGTGTCCCCATTGAAAACAGGGAATAGTGTTATTCTTAAGTTGTTGGAACACGGAAGCAAGGGTAGGTCAAAGTTCCGCTGCCCAATAACTAATGCTAACTGTATGACAGCTTTGCCAGACTACGTGACACCAGACTCCAAGATACCCACCATCTTTCTCACACTCCTCAACAAGTCACGAGCTCCCGTTCTAGAAGCTATGCTCAAGCTCGAAAGCACCAATATCCTCAATGAGACCATCTCCGGATCCAAGTTCAGCTCTCTGGCTTCATATCCCAAGAAGCCTAAACTTGAGTTCACAACTCTCTTCGAAGACGACGACGAGATCTCACCACGTGAAGCATCACTCTTCCTCGGCAATCTTGACGCCTTCAAGTTACTCAACAAATCCATGCTCCCTGACGACGGCACCCTTCATCTAGCAGCTCTCCTCGCCCTCCCCGATTTCACAGATTGGCTTCTCGAAACCCACGAGCCAAACTATGAGGAAGAAAACTTTGGCTTCATGGTTCCCCTGGCACTAACATGCTACTCCAAACCCTTTCCTTGGTGTAAAGTTGCCAACGAGGAACAAGAGTGGTTTTCTCGTTTAGAGGAGACTATGAAGATTCTGATCCCAAAAACATTGTCCAGCTGGAGATATCGGCAGAAACTTCCGTTGCATCTTGCACTGGAGAATGGGAGCCAGGTTACTATGGCTATGTTGAACGTGCTGAATGTGAGGGGTATCGGGAATAGGGATAAGTATTTGTATACGGATAAGACGGGTATGCATTACTCGCCTTGTGAGTATGTTGAGACGTTTGTGGAGGTTGATGATGAGGAGAAGGGCAAACTGGTTAAAATTCTTCAGGAGCATGGTTTAAACTGATTAGGGATGATATATCTATTTTCTTGTATCTATTTGTTCTGCATTTATATACCCATGATTTTCTATCCTATAAACACATGAGATAGCTGAGGCTCGCATTGCGTGCCTTACCTCGTGACTACCTCATGCTAAGTTGGGTACTTAGTTAACATTCTTGTAAAGTCCATGACTTTCGGACCAAAGCTTGTTGATCTTGTATTTGCATTGGCTAGACTAGCTTTGTGATAGATTTTCCTTTGTTTCCACCATTGTAAACATCTATCCAAGCCCTAGGCATATCCTCAATCTTCGCTGGGACGATATTCTCAATATCAACATTGATTCGTCCCTCAGCCGCTGCCTTGATGAGTTGCTCCATCCCATCAGGAATCTTGTCCATGTGATCAAAGAGAAAGAACCCCTTCAAAGTCAACCTCTGCGAGATAATCTCAAACCAATTCTTCAACATAGTCGGCCTATCCGAATTGTACGTGCTCACAGCTCCACAAACTGCAATGGTCCCAAACTTCTTCATCCTCGTGAGAACACCATCCAAAACCGATCCACCGACATTATCAAAGTAGATATCAACTTCATCCGGTGTCGCCTCCTTTAGGTCCTGCATAAACGTGGGACTTTTGTAGTCAACACATGCATGAGCTCCAAGATAGTCTCTCACCCATGCACACTTTTCTTCACCGCCTGCAATGCCTACTACACGCTTGGCACCAAGCAGCTTGACGGCGGTCTGCACGACAATGGATCCTGTAGCTCCAGCTGCAGCGGACACTACGATTGTGTGCTGGGGTTTGGCTTGCGCGATATGCAAGAGTCCGACGTAACCTGCCAGACCAGACCCTCCGAAGGCACCGAGGTAATGCGTGATGGACAGGTTGTTTGGTAGAGGGGCGATATGTTGCACTGTATCGATGTCTAGTATGATCTTATCGCCCCACCAGGATCGATAGGGTTCCATTACCAAGTCACCGGGTTTGAATCGTGCGGAGTTGGACTCGAGAACTTCGCCGATCACTCCGGAATGCATAGGGTCGCCGATCTTGATGGGAGGGACATACATCCTGTCCTCATCTACGGTACAGCCAATGAATGTGCGAAGGCCTGCATCATTGGATATATAAAGAACCTTGACCAGAATTTGTTCCTCTTTGAGAGGCGGGAGCTGAATGGTATCCAGTCGAAATGTCGGATTCGGACCGTCAATGGTTGGTGTTCCATCTGTCTTGTTGGCGAAGACCCAGACTTTAGCCTCAGTAAGTTCAGTCATGTTGATAGTAGTAAGAAATAGAGTTTGAAGATCGAGATTATTTCCTTGGGGTTATGATAGCCGGGCCCTGTCTTTATGGAAATATCTTCATCGTGTCTCCACTCATACTGGAGCATCGGTTGTGGGCCATGACGATGTGTGAGGTATTAGCTAGAGTAATCATCCACTAACTGGCAGGATTACGAAGAGATCTGCTCATACTAGGGTCCAAAAACCGAGTCCTCGGAGAGTTGCTCAAATGTGGTTAGAGAAATAAGTAGTCGCGCCGCAATCCATGCAATCGATACGCGAACGTGCAAACCTAGAGCTATTCCTTTCCAAGAATACCGACTACGGATGAACTTTGTGCCTTTCTTCTATCTTCATCTCCAGAAGTTCTGCCAGTCATACGCTCACGGTGTGCGATAGCTAGTTGACTTCGGGCTGTTGGCTAGATTGATAGAGAGTCCTCGCTAGGAAGCCATTTCTTGCAATGTATTACAGGGCAAAGGCTCTACGGAATCTTTCGCAAAATCAGTTGACTGTATTAGAACCATTGGGTCTCTCTATTATGAGTGTCTGGAATACCATCAGTCCATCTGGAATTGAGCAGTAGTTATGCTGCGATCATTTCCTATTTCCTTGCCATCCTCATCTCGTCATATAGCTTCGTGGTGCTGTGATATGCACCTCATCAGTGGCCCTGGGTCGTTTTCTGAAGACATCGAGTAGTTCTTCCCCCCGTGTTCCAAGCCTCATCTTTGTACCAACTTTGCTAGACGATATCCGGCTGTCCATTCCCGCAAACACTTGGAGCATAGATTCGTCTTATAAGAATCCCTTTCACGCCTGCCACGCTGATCACGCATTCTTTGATGTGCCTTAAGTGCATTGATCTCAAAGTACTTCAAAGAGTCTTCTTTCTCATCGTAGTCTTTGCACATGATTGCAGGAGGCCCAATGCCTCTGACACGTACGATGCAGTAACGCTTTGCTGGAGGCATCATGGCTCCACTTGCTTGGTCGCGGGGCCTCCATTCGCAACTACCACAGATTGGTCCGGAGAGAGGACTTGGCAGAATTCGCATGCATTCTAGGCAAAAGCGGTCTTGGACTTAAGTTGGAATGCACCGAGACGGCAGACTGGGCAGAACCCTATGAATAATCCGACGTACCGGGATGATCGGTATAATCATTCGTGGCCACTGGAGTACGCCATCGATATGGCATTTGCGGACGCGGACGGTTCTGATTCGGCTGTGGAGGGGTGGGAAATTCATTGACTGTTTCCCTTTCTTTCCCCTTGCCCTTGTCTTGGCCACTCTCGTGTCCTTCGTTAGATATCATGTCAAAGTCCGCCATTTTTCTAACAATGTGTTTTAAAGGAATAAAAGTTGAGTAGAAAGCCTTGTGTCTTAGTAATGAGTGTCTATGGTAGTGGAATGTTCATGTCCCAGCATATCAAGTGAACCGTCTGTGAGTATATACACATACTTGCACCTGCACTTCAAAGGGGAAAAGCCCTTCAGGCAACCACTTGTCAGACCCGAAACCTGACTGATCAGGTGCTTGGAGAGTTGTGATAGTGATGGTGGTCTAGTAACCTCTATTATTCGACCCCCATTCTTTCTAGCTCCTGAATCATCTTTGTCTTCACTCACAGATCGCCCACTAGCAGCTGTGAGTGCTCAGAACAACTGGAGCCCTCATGAGTGACTACATGAGCTTTCTGTTGGTAATATTAGCAATGATTATTTCACGCTCTAACATTGACCCAGTCTACGTTCAGTTGTTCATTTGGCCTTTTTAAATGATAGTCCATAACAATTATATCACAGATTCCCTATGCTTGCTTCATTTCCAAAATTCTAACCTCAGGGTCACTCATACCCCGAGCTACCTTCGTTATGGAACTATCAACCCCTTTCTTTTTGGGACGCGATCCTTTTCGGTGCACCCGTGACATCTACCACCTGGATACAAGGCAGGGTTCTTAAGGCATTTATAACAGTTGCCTCGGGCTTTTGCTTTCTCTCGAGCCATTCTTTCATACCCTACCCGCTTATCCCGGCATGATTGACAAGTAGTAATTCCTCCAACAGGGGGTCTGAGACCGCATCGATGGCAAATTCCATGCCTGGCAGTGTCTCTTCTCGTGTCTATATCGACCTGTCTGCGGTTTGAACGATCTTGGTGCCCTACAGGATAGAATCTAGATCCATGTGGGTTCCTTTGGGCTATTTGACTACCACTAGGTCCAGGCCCCGGATTCAGAGAGCCTTGTAAATAATGGTTGGAAAGCTGTGCACTATTACTGACGCCTGGAGGTCCTCGAGAGCTTTCTCCCTGGTCATAACCCGACCTGTACAAAGATCCTCGCCGACTTGGGTCATGAAAGGCCATGCCCTGACGAGCTGGGTCATATGGTAACCCGGGTCTAGCATGGCTGCTAGGGTTGTTCAAAAGAGTTAATGAAAAGGTTTGTGGTGCATAGATACCTGACTGATCTGGATACGGAGAAGTGACTGGTTGGTGTTTGCCACCATATGAGTCATTACGGGCCGTTTGTGTTAGTGTGCGACTGGAGGCTGACCCGTATGGTCTGTAGGGATAGTCCATGTTGATGCCCCAAAAAGCTAATCTGTCTTCTAGTATCTTTTCTTTACAAAGTGGGATATTCCTACCACGTTTAAGGTATATTGGTTCTCAGGAAAGTCAAAACCAAACAGCATTTTTGAAAGTGGTATTTATAGGGGATTGGCTTCGTGATAAGCGGGCTCAATCTGGGATGCATCCACTCATATTGTGATCACCATCGTGAATGAGACTTCTTATGGAGGCCGTCTCCTGTGTCGTGAGGCTGTTGAGTGAATGTAAGCTTAGGTAACAAGTCATAGTGATCCTATGTACCAAGACATCATAGGTCAGGGTCATAGTAGTTAACGAATTACTGGCTTCAGAGATTTGAATTATATTCTTAGCCTTATTACACAACCTGCATCAGAGCATTCTCAAACTCAATTTCGTCAGTGGTAGTTGGCTGGAAAGCGGTTCGACTTGACTTACCACGTCACCAAATAAACAACGGAGGAATACAATGTCACCAAAGCCTCTCACTAAGCACGTTACATTATTGTTAAGTATTGTTTATTAGTTGCACGAATTTTCAGACATTTTAAGAGTGAGGTTTGCTGTCTTCACCTCATCTATCTTTCTCCCATCCTGAATAAACCAAGACCTCAACAGTCTTAACTCGCGACCCTAGGTCATTTGCTCCATCCTTTACCCTCCAGTGGTTCTAGGGTATCATGCAAAGACTTGTAGCACCCAGCTGTCGCTCATTAGCAGTATGAGGATCCTGCACAGACGACATTCTGTATTGAGAGCTCTGCAGTTGAATGTCATTGCCAAACCCAGTGTATCGCTGGTAGTATCGCGGAGTTGGTTCTCACGAGAGTCTTATTGACGACCCTGCTGATCCTCAGGGGGATTTGCATCGTCAGGCTTGGGAACAGGCTTCATGATATGAGCAGGCAGAGCGCCTGGACGTAGTCCCGCGGGAGCCGGAGAGAGTTATAAAGGTGCACACCCCCCGCGCATGATGTCTCCCGCCCATTTCAATCGAGCATCTACAAGGCTAGTGCCGCCGGTCTATCCTGTGGGAAAGTTGCTGATATTCGTAATACGAGCACCAGAGGCTTGACCAAGTTGCTGTGCTGGCTGTGAACTGGAGCCCCCTGCAACGGTATATTGATATGGGAGACCGGCATTCATCTGGCCGCGTTGCCAAGTTACTTCGGGACTGATGTAGCCGACTCGAAGTTCTGCTCTTACATGTTCCTGTTCGGCCTGCTGGGGAGTAAGTTTTTGTGGCTGACTGCTATTGCTAGCCGGCTGAGCGTTTTGCGCAGCGTGGGCCTGGCGAGCCTGTTCATCATTTCTATCCGACATTGTCTTGTTCAATTTCTTGGTGACTCTCTATGTTTCAGTATGTAAAAAAGGGTGACTCAAGTGTTTATTGCGTTTATTGTGTTGTTCTGGTGGCACTAGTTCTGGTCATGGAACTCACTGTTATATATCGCAAATACTCCTTACTTTGTTCATTACTGACATCTGCACTATCTACAGTGATGGACTCAGTTAGCCTGAATATATCAGTGTTGAGATTACTGGAGTACTCTGTCTCACTGACCTAGAAAGTGAGCAGCAGTGATTGGCCTCGCAAGCTCACTTTCCGTACCTTTGATTCCATGTTCTCTCAGTGGTAGCACATCAGATCTGTTCCCAGAGCGATTAACATCACCTTTATATGCCGTTCATATGCAATTTTATATGCTGTGAATAGTCACTATGATCCGTGAAGAGCTGGTTGTACCATTACATCGCTGGCTTTGCGTTTCCGCCAAGCTTGGTGGCCTTTCGCAAGCAAGACGGTCCTCGTGCAGCCATTTCTATTAGTCGGATCTCATTGCTCAAGATACAGGTCTCATGGGCTTTGTAACCTTTTCTTTTCGGTCATCCGATCCAGTTCTACTAGTACATTTGGTTCAAGTAAGCCCGTTAAACATATCGTTTCACTTGTTGAACTTGGTATGAAGCAATAATATATAAGTTCAAGGTTCAAAAGGATGGGACAGAGGTCAGAAGTCCTTTTTAACGAAGTGTCGGAGATTGCATTCAAGGCATTTAGTACCAAGTACTTCATCCCTCTACTAAGAAATCTATCCTAAATCAACTCATCACGCTCTTTTTCTTTCTGCCTCTCTCTTCCTCTCCTTGGCCTGTTTCTGTCGTTAACTAAGCAACCTTGACATACCGTGTGCCCTTGAGTGCGCTCTCTTCCACACTGACACAGCCCTAGCCGCCGATGTCGATTTCATGTATTAGTCAACATTGCATGATACTCTACACATCGTCTGGAAGAGCCAGCATCTCGCTTATAACAAATGTTACATATATAATTCGCCAAAAGAACTTCCTTCTCATCCCGGTGGAAGACTTGTGGGGTATTCATATGACGCGCGCACAACAGGTTACCAGGGTCATTGAGATCAGCTTTACATAACAGGCAGAATTCTAATGCAAGAGCGTTAGCATCACTTTGACTGCGCCGTTCGCAAGCTTCACAGCGTATCCCGAATGTGGGAAGAGCAGCCGTGCAGTTGACGCAATATACTTGTAAGGGTGCATTGATCTTTTTTCCATACGATCGGAATTCAACTACCGGCGAAGGGACATCCAGTCCGGCGCTGTCTCCATGAGTATCTTTTTGATCAGCAACATGACTGTCATCGAATGGTAGTCCGCCTTGGAGTTCATTCCCGTATGATTCCTGAAGCTCAGAAGGGTGGATGTACGGGGCATGCTGATAGGTCGCAGTGTAGCTTGATTGTTCACCATGGGCTTCACTGTCACAGCTCCAACTGCCAAAGTTGCGCGGAGTAAAATACGTTGCCTGGTTTGATTGTCGAGTGCTAGGGTCCCATGGTAGAACTTCCTTTTCGTGTCCATCCACATCATTCTTTAACCAGGCATCAACATTCCGATCAGGGAACAGATATCTCAGTGATGGGGTACAGTCACCAAGCCTACTAAATAGATCTGCGTCATAATTTTTGGTGCCGGGAAACATTCCTGGACTGGAAAACGGATTGGCACGTGTGGAGCTACGATAGGAATAAGCACCACTAGAGCCTGGGTCATAGTATTGCGGGACGACTAGGTTAGCTTGAGGTTTATGGAGCTGGGGGCTAAAGAGTTGCGGGGGCTTCAGGATAGTGACCCATGGAGGCTTGTGAGTTAAAGCGCTGGAAGCCAGAAGACTGAGGACGGTAAGGATAGCTTAGCTGAGGGCCGAATGGAGTCGAAAATGGAGGTTGTGTACTATATGTGCTGGCCGGTGGATAGTAAGTATTTCCATGAGGTGTTTCCGTCGTTGGCTCATCGTACCAAGCATAGGGTGGCCGAAAACCACTTCCTTGGCCGGGGCCGTAGGGTGGCGCATGATTTATGTTCATATTCTATATATAGATATATTGTTAGTTGGGTTTATGTTTAGAACAATCAACAGTTCTTTAGGCGCTTTATATAGTAGTAAACTGCGAAGCTTAGTGATACACTTCTGCAAAACTAGTATACCCGGCCGAACATACGCAATAAACATCGATGGTCATCATGTTGTGTCAGACTCTATCGTGATGTCGATAGCCTAACAGTATCTTGTGGCTACACTGATTCGTTTCCGCCCACGCTGGGAATTCGAGATACATGATTGCATCTCACGACTTTCATTTTGCACAACGCATAGAACAGACTGGTTATCACAAGATAAGATATTCTGTTGTTGAAACAGCAGGGCAGAACACCAGGCTAGGTGATTCTTTGGAATTGAATAATAGTGTTACGTATTGTAATTAATACTTTGCATAGGGCGCTGGCTATCGCTCAAACAAGCATTAATCAAGGGAAGATACGGGTTTAATCACTTGCTCGCGTTTCACGGTATCCTGAATTTATCACTGGTACAGTGGTAACGCTCTCCTTATCGATAACGTCTTCCTAGCGCTTATCGCGTCGCCCGTCTTCACAGCCAAGTCTTGACATACTATTCTATAATCTCATGACTCTTCATGATCACCATTCGCACCGATTCAATTCACCATCCTCAACACCATAACTTGCGTTCCCAATAATATCAACCCCAGATTCGATAGTTCCCCGCCTCCTCATTCTGAGGTGCGTCTGCCGCGTTAGCCAGCCCTAGCCCATCACCAACCCTATTTCCCCTCAAAATTGGCCAAGAAGGGCCGAATACCAGCGACAACACTAGCACACGTCATTCAGCCATCGATTCTCAATTAAAATGGAAATGAGGAGACGAATTCCGGGGGATCCGGGGTAGTATTATAGCTTGCATTTATTTATTTGACATGCGCGCAATTGCGACAACACGGTGCGACCCAATAGCACCAACAACATATCGAGAAAAAACAATTAATAGTAGCTAAAATTAAAAACGTTTCTTTTTTCTTGATGAAACTTTATAAGCCAATTATTAATTAGAATACTGTCGATCTCGACGATACGACAAGGTGCTGGTTCGGTAGTTATGATTCTGGGTAAAGTAATCACTTAAGATTTGAGGCCATCCAGGTGCATCAATCACGAGCGGGAGCTATCAGCGGAACGACAAATAGAGTTTGAATAGATGCATTCAATACTGCAACATTCATTCGCGCAAGAAGTTTCTTGGCATTATTTGAGTCATGTCAAAGTAGGAGCCGTATAGTATTTAGCACATAATAATTTGCATCGCTTGAAGCTACAGGGTAGTACTTCAAATGACCAAATTGTCCACCGTCATAGTGGTATGCTAGTCGCAAGCCAAAGACGAGAAAATCAGGAGAAGGTCGTGAAAGGATGATATCAGGTTAAGTATCGACCGGGGGCGCACCGAGGAAGGATGCGATTCATCACGCCGTTGAACGGCTTGTCACATTGCACCACCAATCCCAGCAGAGGAACCCGCAGTAGCTGAACTCAAAAACTTCAAAAGGCTTGGTTTGCGTAGAACATGCATGGAATATGTGATCAAATAGGTACCACGATTGCGATCCAAGACTATGCATTGACGTGACAATCCCTTGGTAATCATTTGCCCTGAAATTCTGAGCAAAATCACATGAGGTTATCGTGATTCAGTGTATGCATGACATTTTGCGGGTCTTGTCCCGACGGAGCCGATAGAATCCGAGGATCGTCAGTCCCAGGCGCCCGGCGAGGCGGCAACATACCCTGTTGACGGTTAGTTCGCCCGCAGAGAATTGATGTCAGATCACTCCTTGAATAACCAAAACTCATAGCCCAGGCAGTGACACGGAGCCGTTACTCGATTTGGCATGTTCTTTAACCAAAAAACCCGGTGATCAAACTACTCGTGCTTTGACTCTGCATCACGAGAGCTAAAAGCTGAAAAGGCTACGGAGAATATTGGAAACCAATGTGATTCTAGACTCGGGGAAGATGAATGGTTTAAAAGGGGGGCGGTGGATATGGTGGGAATCATATGTCGTCGTCTAACCTCGGATGAAGCAGGTCAATTTTGAAAGAGAGGCAAGCTGCATGCTTTTCTTTTACTTACCCCTGGCTTACCTGTCAGATTGAGCTTAGTCCTTCAGCTGGAGTGTGCATGACATGACAAGACGCAGGGGTATCAGGTGAAAGGGGTAAAAAGGCACGGAATGAAAATCAAAAGCAAACGCTCAGCCTTATGATCCAAGTGCCCATTCTCCGTCTAGACCCCGAACTATTCATTCTACTAGCTACTCATCCGGTCATCGTCGCGAAGGACACGAGTAAGGCTGATCTTGGCTTAATATGTCCCCCCGGAGCTGTTGTTCCAAGGAGAAATACCAACGACAGCAATTCCGCAGCCACAAAGCCCCGATACGTAATAAGGGGCCAGCGCTAGAAAGAACTTCCCTACTTCCGAGCCAATCCCCGCACGAGTTCCCCATGGAGAAGAGTGGATCCGGCTAAAATCGGCCACGCATCTCTTAGGACTCTGATGGTGAGACGCGGGCGTTGGTACGAGAAAAACTCGCGACGCAAACTAAAGTCTGGAGATTCGTCCAAATGAGGCTCTACTACGTATAATTTGCTTTGGATCTAGTTCTTACCTAAAGAATTGCCTTGGATGACACACGAATGGCCGGAAGAGGTAGGTACCCAGACTTCGTGGCAGACACTAGAAAGTCCTAGTCTCACTCGTCGTGACGCGAAGGATGATGACTATTTGGCACAATTAACCAACGGTTCATCTAGGATCCCTTGCATTTTGAGTCAAGCAGGTAAGACAAATCAACGTGTAGTCCCCCCTTTGCCCTAGTCCCCGTCCCAGATCGGCATTTTTAATCACTCTCAAACGGCCTCCATCTTGAGCCGCATCGTGAAGATCGCCATTTGCTGTCAAAGCTTCTGGAATACCACGTGGAAAACATCTCTGCAACCATAAATGCCTTCTTTTTTTTCTGAGAGTTCTGCAACGCTCACCCGCAATGATCGGACGTTTAGACCCAATAAGGCAAATGCCCAGCTAGCGTAGACCCTCTCTCCTCCGACTTTTTTTTCTCCAGTATTTGAAAGTATCCACCTCCGCCATTGGCAAAAGCCGCCAAAACGTGAGAAACGCCGAGAGTGAGGCCGTGATAGAAGCAGAGTTACAAGCTACCAGAACCTGGGGTGCATGGGTCTGATTCACTTTCCCCAGTCGACGTTCAACTGATGCACTGTAACGAAATACCCAAGCGAGGGGGAGGGGACTCGAGCGCCGATCCTATATATGTCAGGGCCCGTTGGCAGGATGTAACCCCAGGACCATGCCGATCATTCATTCATGACTCCGCCGAAAGGCATCCATTCCTTTCTTCTGAATCATCTTTTCCAAATAATTAAACCACCATGTTCGGCTCTGGTAAAGCAGCCTCGGACAATGGTAGTAGCAAGGACGAGATAGTCCTGCTGCCAGTCCAAGCAAAGTCCGGCATCCTCCGCGTCACAGAGATCGAGACAAAAGTACACGATCCAAACCACCAGACCAACACTCCCATCCCAGACCCGACATTTGACCTACCAGATAATCATCCTAATAAAAATGCCATCGAGGTATTATGGCTCCCCCGCGGGTCGCACAGCTCCGACGACACGGGCGAGAAAGTCCGTCGCGCGCTGAACAATGAGAAGGAGATGACCATCTTGGGATGCTGCAAGCAATTCCCCAAAGCGATCTTCTGGTCCCTGCTGCTCTTCCTCACTGTTGTTATGGAGGGGTACGATAAGAGTCTTGTCGCTGGATTTGTCGCATTTCCTGCATTTCGACGACGATATGGCGAGGAGTTTGATACGCCGAATGGACCGATTTATGAGATCTCGCCGTTATGGCAGACGGCGCTTCAAGTCTCGGCTATTGCATGCGAGGTCCTTGGTCTGTTGCTTCACGGTTGGGTTACGTACAGCATTGGCTATAAGAAGATGATGTTGATTAGTCTTGCTTGGATGTGTCTTGCTGTCTTCCCGGCGTTCTTTGCTCACAACATTGCTGTGTTGGTGGCTTCTCAGGCTCTCTGTGGTAAGTCCATGTCTCTCACTCATCTTCCCTTCATACTCTCATTAGATCTCAATGATCATCCGCCCTAATACTCAAGACTAACCATTTCTTAGGTATCTCATGGGGTGTCATCCAAACACTCGCAGCTACATACGCTGCCGAGGTTGTCCCCTCAGCCATCCGTGCCTGTCTTCTCAGCATGACCAACATGTGCTGGGTCATCGGTCAACTTCTCGGCACTGGTATTCTCAAGTCTCTCGTTCACAACAACTCAGAGTGGTCTTACCGTATCCCCTTCGCTCTCCAATGGGCCTTCGCCATCCCTCTCCTCATTGGTATCGTCTTTGCACCGGAGAGTCCATGGTGGCTCATCCGTCGTGAGCGCAAGGTCGAAGCTCGTCATGCTCTGCAGCGCTTGACTAAGCAGTCTCAGCTCGATATCGACGACACCATTGCTGTCATGGAGCATACTAACCGCATTGAACGTAAGCTCAACTACGGCGGTTCGAGCTATCTTGACTTGTTCAAGGGTGCCAACCTTCGACGAACTGAGATTTGCTGCATGGTTTGGTCTGTCCAGGCTCTTTGCGGTTGGATCTTGACCGGTTACGCTCCTTACTTCCTTGAGCAGGCCGGCTTTGACTCTTCCAAGTCCTTCAGTCTGTCCACTGGCATGTATGGTATGGCCTTAGTTGGAGGCATGATCTCTTGGTTCCTTCTGTCTCATATCGGTCGTCGCAAGTTGTACCTCACCGGTCTTGCCGCTGCTGTCTTCATGCTTACCCTTGGTGGTATTCTCTCCGTCGTTCTTGATGGCCAAAAGGGTCTCAACTGGTCCCTCGGAGCTATTCTCATCACAACAACCTTCCTCTACAACCTCAGCATCGGTCCAACATGCTATGTCATCGTCGCCGAGATTCCCTCCACCCGTCTTCGTGTCAAGACTATCGCCTTGGCTCGTGTTGTCTACAACATCTTCATGATCATCAACAACGTCATCGTTCCTCAGATGCTCAACCCTACCGCTTGGAATATGCAGGGCAAGTCATGCTTCATCTACGCCGGCACAGCTCTCCTTTGTCTCATCTACTGTTACTTCCGCCTGCCTGAGACCAAGGGTCTATCGTACCTTGAGTTGGATATGTTGTTTGAGAAAGGGGCGCCTACTGCCAAGTTCAAGGAGTTGCAGCAGAGACTTGCCAACTCCGCTTACTTGACCGTGGATAGGGCGGAGCGCATGAGGAATGCTTGGCATGGTTGGCTCACATATTCATAATATTTTCTAGTGTTAATACCTATTCTCCCTCGAGGAAGCACTCTTCAAACTTGTACTTCAAATGCTTCCGTGACACCATATGGCACTGTGCTTCCCTCTTAAAGATCCTCCTTTTGAATTGTCTCCTTGGCACTAACCCAGTCAGACATGCAACGATTAGTCAAGGTAACAGTCCCGGCGAATACTGGTAGAACGACCTGAGTAACACTCTGACCTGTTTCCATTTTTTGTCTGTCATTTCATTGCCGCAATTATGACTCCCAAGCGCTTGAGTCTTTGGGCCTGAAGTCAGGTCCTTTCATGTTGATATGGTCTAGCGGGATCAGCCCACGCTCAGCTACGGAATGCCTACCAAGAACAAAGGCGAAAAGGTGGCGTGGATTTCGACCATATAAGACCAGGAAATCTATTTCAAAGAACAATAATATGGTCAAGTGGTTCTGGTCTTTCCAAAAGAAAGAAGGCTAAATTCCAATAATTGTCGTGGCGCTGTCACAGTCGCACAAGTCAGCAATAAAAATGGCCTCACCGATACGTCACACAACTCGAACAATAAAAAGAGTGCTCTGCATAAAAAATTATGGCAAGAATCGTCATGGACCAAAGGATGGCTGATGTGGCTGAATTGATCAGACCCCAAAACGCCGATGACCTTCGCAGGGCGGATTTCTTGAGACGTCCTATATCCAACAAATAGGAATGAAGCTTATGTTACACAAGTCTGCCTCACTTGGTCATGTGGTGGCCGCCAAACTGACTCGGGTTCGCGTTTCGGACAAGAGAATGCAGCCATCAGCCGGGAAAATGCCCACTGCCCGAAATGGAAGAACCTGCGTCGTCCTTGGTTGCGAATTGAAGGGGTATGTCAGATGTTTTGGCAATCAAAAACACGGCTACCTACTGACAACGCCACTCTCCTGCTCCGATCAACGCCGATGTCTCAAATGCCAAAACTCCTATTTGTATAGCGATTCCCCCGCTTTTCATAATGAAGGCTCTAGAAGGCATCATCCATCAAAACAGAACGAAATCCTTTCCACCAAGGCTAGAGACGGTAAAGCAACACAACAACCCATGTCTACTCGATCCAGTATCTCCAAACCAGTTTCCTCCCTTCGTCCCAGAGCTGCTGGTATGGGGTATCATGGTAATCCAGTCGCAGTGCTTGACATGAAGTCAGACCAAGTCCGACCGCTTGATAAAGCTGACTTTGAAGGTAAGACGCACAGCCGGCCAGAGTTCGCTGCTAACATATCGATAGGTAAAGACTATTTCGCGGTTGAGATTCCCCGAGTAAAGAACAACGTTCCAATCTACATCTCGCGATCGAACGATGCGAAGCAGGAGTTCATTGCGGAGGTCAACCTCTGGAGCATGGGGGTCCGGTACAACCTGCATAGACTTCTAGGGGACGGACCTCAGCTCTACGTGGTCAATGCATAAGGATGACCAGAGTGAGACAGTGGCTTAGTATGATGATTGTAAGGAGGATGTGTTCATTTCCAATATTATTTGCAGATTTCACAGGGGGCTGGGTGCGCCACTTTGGGACCTTTTCGGACATTACATGTTTTTTTTAGACATTTTTCGGGGAGACGGACCCCTCGTATGTAGTAAATGTAACCTTCAGCCATGATCGCTGTAGATAGCAGTTCATCCGATGATGCAAGTCAGCCGGAGATTCCCTTGGTCAGCTGCATGGATATTCCATTTCGAGCACCGGTGTATGCATGATGACAGGCTGGAGGTGATGAACCGAATGAGCCATTAGAACACGATGATCATCCGTGTGGAAAGTGCAGTCACAATGCCACAAGCAGTAATCTTCATCATTTAAGCCATGAGTCTCCAGCTGAAAGTTGTCGCAGATGCGCTGGAAATCACAACCTCAGTGAGTCCAACGGAAACAAAAACACCTTCAAGAGAGTGGCCAGGCCAGTGGACTGATGGAGGTTGTGCGGGATTATTGGGTGAGGTTTGGTTACACAGCAGCCAATATTTCAAGCCATCCATTGACCGCGCGCATATCGTTACAATGGCTTTGCCTGGCGCCTAAAAAGTCTTCTTGACAGTCTAAACATCTTCTGAGAAGGCATTCTTGCTATAGAAGGTTATTGGCTTTCGATACTGTATTGACTCAACTAGGTTATCGAAGCAAGTAGCTGTTTCTTTTGGTCTCGTAGTGCTGCAGTGACTCAATTTTGGTCAATGAGCCCGGAGATATCCACCTGAAGAAAGCAATGCAGGCTACCAGGTTGTGGCGTATTGATTACCGCCCCCTTTACCAGAATGAACAGGATGCTATCATATTTGGAAGCATGGGGGCAATACCACAGTCGTACAGGATGGGTGGTCTCTGCAGCAGGCTGCCTCGCACACCATCACGCGCCCGATTCTCATGCGTTCTCAGAGCCTCGTTTGGCGAGGCATAAAATGATACCATGGGTTCTGCGTTAGATACCCCATTCTGTCGTTGGATAGGACAAGGCTCTCACAGTCAGCACACAATCCTTTGTTTCGCATTTCATCATTGCCGAAATTGAAACGATATGGCTACTTCACCGTCCGAGACCTCTCGTACGCTACATCCACAAGTCAGTGGAGCGAGTAGCGCGGATATCGATCCTTCAATTCCTATTCGCGGACCCGAGCACATCTCAGATGAGGAAGGTCCTTGGGCTCAAAAGACCATCTTGACATTCGGTAACAACTCACTACCACTTTGTCGAATCATGCACTTAAAAACGTATCTTAGATGGCGGTGGTGTTCGTGGCTACTCAAGTCTTTTGGTGCTGAAGCGTATCATGACTCGAATACGGGACATAGAGCGTAATCACGAAGACCCAGCCCCTAGCAGCACCTACTACCCCTGGATGGGCAAACGCGAGCAGGATGCTAATGAAGATAACCCAGAGTCAGAAAGAGTTGATAAGTTTCTTCCTTGTCACTACTTTGACTACGTCGCTGGGACTTCAACTGGTGGGTAAGTTACCAGAACCTATGCTATACAGAGCCCGAGACTAATCTCAGTTAGTTTAAGTAGTATTATGCTGGGAAGACTGCGCATGTCAGTTGACCAAGCTTTGGATACTTACAAAGCATTCGGAAATGCCGTGTTCGGTAAACCTAGATGGTTTCACGAGCGTTCATTTCTTTGGTATCCGCGAGCAAAGTTTTCATGTCGGAAGACACGTGCAGCATTTCAAGAGGTCGTCTACCAGACTCTTCGACGTGAGAGGGATTGTTTCCCTAGCGAAGCTGAAACTGAGCCATTAAAGTACAGAGAAGATCGAACCAGAACGTAAGGTCCCTGCACAACTTGTTCCATTCCTAACCTGCTAACGACAACATATAGTATCGCTATCTCTTGGGCTATTAACAAAGAAGGTGGCGTTAGTAAAGGGTTCGTCTGGAGAAGTTATGACAATGACTTTAGCCCCAGGGCGCATGACTCCAATCTCTGGAACCCCTCCAATGCGGGTCCTGCTCACACAACTGCAATTTGGGAGGTTGCTCGCGCAACAACAGCTGCACCAAGGTACTTTGAATCCATCAAGATCAGAGGAAGGAAATTCCTTGACGGTGGTATGGTAGCCAACAATCCCGCCTTGATTGCTATCAGAGAAATCCATAACCTTCATGGCTTGGTTCCGGCCCTGTTCGTCAGCATTGGAACGGGTCTCAAGATTTCCGCAGATGCTCAGAACAACGGTTTAGCTAATGGAACAAACGGCGATATTAGAACACTTAGAAGGGCTGCAACTAGAGACGACGTTAGACGCAAGCAGTTCTTGAAGAAGTATATCGAGATAGGAAAACATTGGAAAAACTGGATGGTTGACTGTGAGGGAATGAACGGCACTAATGGGTGGCGAGGCCACTGCAGAGCGATAGGCTTGACAGAGCATTTATACAGACTCAACGTGGAAGGCGACCTTCACACTATTCCACTCGATGATTGGCGTCCGTCAAACACTGGAGAAGACACCCTCAAGTTCATTGAAGCGCAAACAGAACGATACCTCGCCGAGCCCAGAGTGAAAGATTACATCACCTCTATCGCGAAGAAAGCCGTTGAGATAAGACGTCAGCGCGCTGCGACGGAACAGTGGGAGCGATTTGCAGTAGATGTGATTTATCGCTGCTCTGATTGCGATACCAAGAAGTATGACACTCGGGCAAAGTTGCGAGAGCATCTACAAAAAGGAACTGAGCATAGAAGGGAGAGGATGGTTGATGGGAGAGAGCTTGAAGAGAAACTCAGCGCTTCGAGGTCCTTTAGGCCTGATAGACCAGGTGAAACAGGGAGGTGAGGTTGTTGTCTGGAGGAATTGGGCTCTACAACAAAGCAGCTCCAGAACATTCGAAGAGAACTACGTATAAATGCGGATGAAGATATCATGTATATACAACCTTACAAATTTCTATAATGATTTGACTCGCTTATTTATGCTAATGATATCCCATGACTATGCCATTCTTACTTTCCAAGTCTTTAGACAGCCAAATCACCTTGGTTGACTACAACATGCGCCTTCTTCTCTCCTTGGGAATAATAGCGCACTGCAATGCACAAGGTTCTGATGAGCAACTGGCAGTTCTGTACATAAGGGCCAGTGAAATAGATATCCGGGTTACCATGAATGCGACTATGCAAAGTAGCCAGTTGGCCGATGTTGTTAAAAACCGCGAAAACCAAGGAGTGACAGATGTCCGCATCTGAGAACGACTTGATGTCCCGCACGGGGTTTTCAGCCTCTTGAGTCTCAGCATCAGGTCTATGCTCCAAGCTGAAGGCTTTGCAGAAAGTTGAAGCAACAGCTGTCATTTTCATTCCAATTCTGTTGTAGTCCATTCCATAAATGTCTCCAATCAGCTTATCAACATTTGCGTTGTTACCCTTCTCAGCTTGTTCAAGCATATCTTCATACGTACGTGCTCGTGTGAGAAGAAGTAGCAGACCGCATAACGCCGATCCGCCGAATGAGGAGCCCGAGATGCGCTGACATTGGTTGCTTTCTGAGACCTGGAAAAATGATACGCCTGAGCCGATGTTGACGAGGAGATATGGGTGAGATTTTGGTGGTGTTGAGGAGACGATTACTTCCTCGGTGAAGGTGTAGATTTCGCAACTTGATCCCGGGATAGGTGGACGATTGTCTGCCACTGGTCAGTAATCTGTCAAGTATGATGAGAGTAGGGAGTAGTACCATGACTTGAACCGTCAATTCCGTCTGATAAATGACTGCCATTTAGGGGGTTAACCAGATATTGCAGTTCTGCGTCCCGTACATGGTCCTCGCTTGTAGTCATGATGAGATCAAGGATCCTTTGTATAAGATAAGGCAAAAGATAGTATTGATGAGCTCTGCAGAAGTATTGGACGTATCTTATCAAGAAATGCTGAGAAGTTCGTGATATTGTTGTTGAAATGCGGTGACTAAATGAGACTAGTGTAGTTTTGGGTTGGTAAAGGGGGGAGGATTTGATGAATTTTCACGTCAATCTTACAGCCGAGGGATCGTCGTGTATCCACCACAGGACTTTCCTGCCAATCATCGTTGTGAAAGAACATCAGATAAGATAAGATTCATCTACAGCGTTATATCTATCTTATAGCGGCATCAAATGAGCCTAGTAACTAAGTAGCGCTGGTGTTATACCACGTATTCTGTGCTGCTTTCAATGCCAATCGGCGAGACTTGCCTTACGCATGAGAAAAATGGTGAATGCATGGGCTATGTAATAAGTTGTTGGTTCCGCAAGCGAGAAATTAATGTGGGGTTATCGCATGATCGAATTGTTTCTTTGCGCGGTGTCTTTTTCGCTTCACAGTATCATTTTCAGGTGCAAATTCGAGAATCATGACTTCTTCTACAAGTCAAAAACCTTTCCTATTTACTCTTCCTCCAGAGATTCAGAGCCAGATAATCTCTCTTGTTGCTGACTCGACTGATTTCAAATCCGTTCATTCACTTCTATTTTCGTGCAAACAACTCTACGCAATTGCACTGCCTTTTTCAGTCCAAACATTCTGCGACATCCCGAGACCTGAAGTGCCGAAGAAAGGCTCTGTGGTTCGCTCCCGCATTGTGCAGTTTCTCTCATACGTTTCAATCATCAGGCCAGAGCTTGCCCGACACGTTCGCACGATCAGGCTGTTTGATTGGCTGACTGATAGCCCTTATAACGGAACGGTTCATATCGATGCCAATGATTTGATCTTCTATAAGCAACTGATTTCCAAGACATATTCCGAGAACTTAGGATATCTTACGATTTGGCGTGACCATTGGATTCGGGCTTTGGAAGAAAGAATCGAAGAGGCAGCGGTGGATCTTCTACTTGCTGTGTGCACAGAGATCAAAACTTTTACATATGGCCACCCTCGACATCCAAGTTGCTTCAGCAATATCCTGGTAGCTGCTACTGGAGCCTTAAGAAGAAGACGTGTTGAACACCCTCCGTGTCAGTTGCTAACCAAGTTGGAGAATGTTAAGCATGAGGCGGAAGGTCACTTAGAAGGATGTCGCCCATTCTATAACCACGCACAGTGGCTGTTTCGCATCCCCAGTATTCGTTCCTACGAGTGCATTGGAGCAAGTAGCCCCCAAATGGATGAGTTTGACATAGACCCGTTGCATGAAAGATGCTCGAATGTTGAATCAATTATCTTACGAGATAGCTGGTGCGTAGCTCGAGCCATTCGCTCTTTAATAGGGGCGTGCAAGGACCTTAGGAAGTTCATCTATACATGCGACTTTAAGAAAAGGGACGACAACGACGAGTTCGAAGTGGAAGCTCGGGATATCATGGAAGCCCTATTGTCCCATGAAAACAGCCTTGAATATCTTCATCTTGATTTTATTGAGGCAGCCCGCACTAGCTATTGCATGCCCGGACCACGGGAACGATTGTACATGGGTGCTGAGCTACGACAGATGCGCACGTTGAAAAGCCTTGTTTTAGGGTCTCAGAGCATCTGTGGACTTCTAGGTAATGGCACGGTGTATCGCCACACAAGGGATGCATCTATTGAGGCTCCGAGGGTTATTGAATGTATTCCAGAACACCTGGAGTATCTTGAGATTCATAGCTGTGGAAGGAACATCGTTAGCCAGCTCGAGGAGTTTCTGGACACTCTGATCTACCCAGATCGGTTCCCCAACTTATCATCTGTCAAGTTTATTTTCAACGAGGACTGGGTGAAAGAAGAAGAGATAAAGAGCCTCTCTACAAATAGAGATGGTCTAGGACTGGAGGTTATTCTGTGTCGGTGATAATACGAACAGTTGGGCCAATAGGCGGGGAACCTTTGAGAACGTAGCAGACGGTTTGTCAATCACTCAACATGTAGCTTATCTTACCTTTATGCTTTATCAAAGTGGGTTCTTCAGAGACCGACTTTGATTCGCAGTCTACTCCAAGTTTGGCATACAAAGACCTTCGACTTTACCAATGACATACGTCCTCACTTCAAAGGGTTACCTAAATTTGAACTGTTACTTTGCTGTATCCCATGTCTGATATTTGACACCTTGGTAGAAATACCAGCAGTACCTAGAAGAGCCATTGTGTTTCCAATTTCAGTTACTCCAGTGACACTACCAATATATCCTAGAGTTTATGATTTCCTCATATGCTCGGCGCCTTAAACAGGCCCATACTTGCGAGACTTGAGGCGCTAGATTGGTTCATCCCGGCTATCCGGCACTCAAAGAATGAGTCATATGAACTATCACACAATTTGGGCAGGGAACTTCTCTATCGGCTACCTAGCTTGGAAACGGCCGAAAGTATGTTCCAACAAGCCAATTGAAAGCTGAGACCACGGCTCACCTGGCCTGCTGTCTGTCTACAACCGGTACATAAACCCTTCTTAGAACGGGCAATTTCCTTTGTTAACCAAGGAATTTCGATAATTGAAATTTCGATAATTGAACATATTTATTACTATTACGGCCTAACTCCTGCAAAAACAAGTGCGTCTAATCTCGCCTTATCATCAGGTGGACGAGCTCTCGCTTATTTGCTCTCAGCCAGCCGGCCATGGGTCTCCAGGTCGCTTGGATGAAGAGCTGTCGATGGGAGTGGATCCTAATAGCCAGCCGGAGAAAGCTCGAGAGTTACTTTCTACAACGAGTCCGGATGAGATGCCCAAGATCCACCACCACAGTTCGAGCGATACGGCGAGCAGTTTCAGCCACCTCTTTATTGCGCTACCAACACACTCTCTAGCAGACCTAATGATAAAGGTGAAAGGCTCCAGATGATCACATCGCTTCTTCGGCATGGATGCGATTTGTACTGGGAGTTTCCTCAGGCTGTTTATAATCTAGAACGCTATCTCAAGCTCAGAGCACCCTTCCCTGTTGAAGATCCTCCGCGCACATCTTATCCAGACAGCCCCATGGAAGCCAATAGTCTCGATTGGGAAGAAAAGAATGGGCATCCGCACTTTTCAGATGATGGGTGGGATAACAAAGAGCCAGCACCTGTTTGGGGTGCTCGGCATCTTATACATACTATAATCGAGGACGGGATTTGGTTCAAGCCGCTGATGGACTATCCCGGCTTTCTGGAATCATTAGACCTCGAACATCGTGATCCTCAAGGACGCACACTCTTGCTCAGTGCGTGTCGAAGTGCAGCTGGAGCCGATATACTTGCTGGGACCCCTTTGGTGGATATTGATTGGAGAGTGGAAGGCGGAGAATCAGACCAGAAGCTCTATCCAAGCTGGGATCAATACTTGGGGCCGACTGAGTCAGACTTCTCAGAACCAGGCTCGGAAACTTTGATTGAAGTATTCCTTCGGCTTGGAGCAGACCCCCTCGCGATAGACAATCAAGGGAAAAACGCGTTGCATCACCTCCTTGTCGAGGTGAGCAATAATCGGAATGCGGATTTCCAAGAACTACCCATTGTTCGGCGTTGCTTACGCATCCTTTCATCGAGGTACCGGTCTCTGTTGACCAACCGGATCACCATGGAACATATCCACTACATGCAGCTCTTCGGCGAATGCGCCTCCACCCCTCAGCTGAAAGCCTTACCCCCTTGTCATGGCAGAGCCTCTCGGGTGTGTCCAGGATCTCCTGAGAGCTGGTGCTGATCCTCGGGCCAAAGACGGAGAGGGAAATACCGCGCTGCATTATTTAGCTGATGACGATTTGACTGGCATCTGGTACGCGACGGAAAAGCGAGAAATGTTCTATGGACTGTTGAAGATCGCGTTTTGCGACGATATCAATATTCCAAACAACGCCGGAAAGACTGTGGCGGAGCTCATATTGGATGATAACGGCCGTATGGATGATGGCAAGGTGAGTACCTTTCGCATATCTGACACGGACCCTGATCAAGATTACCGAGGTTGGAGAGACGTCGATGCTGAGGTTCTCAATGCTCTGGACGCAGCCGGGGCTGATTGGAAGGCCAAGAGGTCAGAAGGTGGAAACCTGTTACATATCGTTGCGCGATCTGGGCTTGACCAGGACAGATTGATTTGGAGGAGTCGATATCTGGTGCAAAAGGGAATCGATGCAAATGAACCGGATGCAGATGGTTGGACGGCGAAGAGAATCGCGGAGCATTACAAGTTGAACAAGTTCCGATTCTATGTGGAGCTCGGTAGGCTGGAAAAGGGTGAGGTTGAGGAGTACTATCAGTAGCTTGGGAAGGATATAGTCAAGGTTATTATCAAGGTCGCTCTCATCAGCTGCCTTAAACACCTATCATAGAAAGACATGAACATGGAAGAATAACTCATAGTCATGCATCATAACAAAGACACTGTGTTTGTATTCGTGTTCATCTAGTTATGCACACGCCACTATTCCAAGTCCAATACACAAACGCTCATTCATGGCGGAAATCCTCTCTACCCCAACTCCTCATGCGCCATTTATCACTCAGCTGTCATCATCGAGATGATGAATTAGGTTCTTCTACTCCCGGAGCATCCTAAGCAGCAACTTCCAGGACGCATCGTCCAGCGACTTGACCAGTAGCAAGCTTCTTGATCCACTCATCAAGATCTTCAAGCTTACCCTTGGAAAGAATAGGCTATTAAATAGTTAGTACTTGACCATCAAGCCCTCATCATATCAGGTTATACTCACTCGAACGAGACCTCTAGCAGTAAAGTCGAGAGCCTCCTCGACATCCTTCATACTACCTGTGACACTTCCAACAATCTTCAATCTTCGAAGAGCAACTGCCATAGGAGGTGCACCGGCAATGACAGTTGGGTCTTGAGGAAGACCAACAGCCACAGCAGTGCCGTTAGGACGAAGGTAGTTAGGGGCAGTTTCGTAAGCCGCTCGCGTCGCAGCTGTGATGATAACACCGTGAGCGCCGTACTTTGTGAACTTAATAACCTCGGCGGTAATGTCTTTTGTTGTCCTAAAGTCAATGAAAACTTCAGCACCGAGCTTGAGGCATAGATCTCGCTTTTCATCACCGCCGTCGATAGCGATGACTCGCATGCCCATCGCTTTGGCGTATTGGATGCAGAAATGGCCTAGACCACCTCCAGCGCCGGGGATAACTAGCCATTGGCCTGGTGTCACTCCAGATCTTAAAGGTATTAGCATCGTGTATTGTAGCAGGTGTTGTGACTTACCGTTTGCAAGCTGTGTAAGCTGTTACGCCTCCGCACATAATCGGTCCAGCCTCCTCATCAGAAACACCATCTGGTATTCTCGAAGTATATCTTCCATCCGCAAGAACATATTCCTGAAACGTTCCCGCAACAGAAAATCCGCTGTTTGTCTGGTTGGGGCAGTGAACTTCATCCGAACCAACTCTGCAAAAGTCACATTCGCCACAGGTGCTTGCAATCCACTTCACACCAGCACGGTCGCCAATCTTCCACCTATTCTCCATACCTTCACCAACAGCTACGACATTACCGGCTCCTTCGTGCCCAGCGATGCCTTTGGAAGCATCCATCATGCTGACACCAAAGTCCTTCCACTCATTGTGCAGGAGAGACTTGTCAGAGCCGCAGAGGCCGGTCCATGTGATTTTGACGAGAATTTGCCCTGGGCCGGGCTTCTCAACGTCGACTGTGCGGACGGGAGCTGTTGCTTCTGCTCCAAGTCCTTGACGGACGGCTGCTCGCTGTTGAGAGGGAATTGACATTATGAGTTGAAGGTGGTGCGAGATTAAAGGAGGCTGTTTCAAAGGTTCTGGAGTTGAGACATCTGTAAAGACAGGCGCGAGGAAGTCGAGTGTTTTATATCATTCGAGGACTGATCGCTCCACCGAACCAGTATCAGACAACTTTCCAAGCGGGCATGATTCCGCAGGATCTTTCGAAGCAGGGCGGAAACAGGGTGATTGTTGGTCTGATGGTGAGGGGTCAAATGAGGTGACACGAAGTGGATCCAAAGCTGTATTTGTTATCTGCATCATAGCTATTCGAGTAACAAATCTGGCAAAGAGCAACGGACAAGAGGAGCTTGTCTGCTACCGTAATTGCTTTGACTTGTCGCTTTGACATCATTTATGTCCGTTGGCCCGGCATGCATATCGAAGGATGGGTGCGGGGAAGTCGAAACGGCAAATGCGATCTTGTTCCGAGGAGATATCACCTGATGGAGGGTTCCGAGGAACTCGAGTCAAGAAAAACTAGTCAGAGCTGATGCGCAGATCTATGAATTGGGAGCCTGCTGGGGGTTTAAAAGAATGGTAAAAAGACGAGATTGAGTTTATCGTAGATCGGCCTTGTCGCCGAAAAGTTCATGAGACATGAAACAAACATGCATCATGGTGTCGTACAAATGCCACACTGCAGGGATATACGCATGAGTCCAATGACTCCAATCAGTTCGACATGGATCAAAGCTTTTGGACATGTCACAAGTTCCATGGTCTGATATTTTGCAACAGCGTGGTTGGGGCAAAGAACAGACGATCTCGACAAGGATCGACCAGACAGTGGGGGTTTTCTACGCTGAACAAAATCCGGGGGCCACAAGGAGATCTGGGGAAACCACAAAAGTCCGTGAGCCCGATCTCTACTTTGTGCTTTCTATTGGCTCAAGTTCATTTATAGGATGCGCTTAGACATAGCTTCTGTTGTCAAAAACGTGTTGAGGCTTCGGGTACATATCCCCGCTATTACCGTGTTCCGAGACCGAGGCCCTCGTTCGGCCCGTTCGCGAGCCGCTATGTATTTATCGCCTGATCTGCGCAGTAAGAGATCTTTTGTCATATAGAATGGTAGTCTAAAACATCTTGGAGTGTGTTATGGTAGTCGACGGGGGAGAAAAAAGAAGGCTTTATATTTTCTGTTGCACACTTGGTCGTTGTCGTGATCGGCTGACAGGTGTCTTGATACTTTCTTTCCGCAGAGTATTACGCCTGCGAGGTTCCTATATTGGGTAGCTGAGTCTTGACCACTTAGAGGATAAACTGGCAATAAAGATTACATTGAGGGCTCTATGCGAACGAGAGAGTGTTCATGTTGCTAGTTTTGGGTTTAGGCTAGATAGTTTGCTTCGAGATGGTTCTTATCTTATCATTATCATGGACATCGTGAACTAGCTATAATCCGTAAGTTTGGATATCAAGATAGCCTTTCGTCTATCACCCCTAATAAAATGACCAGACGAGTAAAATGTTCATTTCGCACCTATTATACATTCTGGTAGGACCTTCGTCCTCTAATACCACGCAGAAACAACAAAAATGCTTACCGAGTCAGTTGGCTGGTGTGAAGTTATTGACAACTACGGCGGCGTGGACGATTATAGCCACGAATAAAACATCGAATTATTCAACCCAGATGACAGTCAATAACACAGGAATGTTCCCAAGGACGTACTCGTGGCCTGCAACCGCCGTATGGGCGTTTCACAAATTCGATATTTCGCAGGGCCCTACCAACTGCAGAAGGACGGATCTTCAGTCATCATTCAAATCGATGGAGCTTGTTGAGGAAATGGAACACGATCTGCACGAGGCGGTTGGGGCGCTTTCTTTGGCCACCAATCGCAGTACAACAGCTGGGGTCTTCTGCCGCCCAACGCACAGCAGACCAGCACTTATGTGGAACTTTATGCCGCGATAGCAGCACTGCAAACGGTTCCGCGACAGATTACCGCTCTCACCTAAAAGAGTCTTCATCGTATCCGACTCTTCATATCTGGTTCGAACCTTTACGGAGTATATCAATCTCCGGCTGCAGACTTGATTTATATACTCCCGAGGAGAAACAGTGGCGCACTGGAATTTCTTGCTGGAGATTAGACAGGTTATTGATGATTTGATTCTGTTTGGCGGTCGGAATATAGAGTTCAAGTTTTGGCATGTGCCAAGAGAGCTGAACGAGGCTGCTGATGCGCTTGTGAATCGTGCTTTTACCTGATGGGTTGTTGGGTCTCACAGGGAAGCGGATAAAAGCATAAAATCAGGAACACTTATCTTATCAGTGGATTATGGGTCAATTCTATGCAGATTTTATGTAAGTCGTCTAACCCTGACATGTACTTCACAATTGGGGGTGAACATTTTATGATTCTGAGCACGAGCACCGGCAAAGCTTCAGCCCACCCATCGATCGGCAAAAATGTCTGCTGCGGAGGATTTTCTGGATTGCGAATCTTCGTTTAGTGAGGAGACGAATTTTTTTAGCGAAGGAGACGCATAGCACTCGGATTTGATGGTGGCATTCGATTACATCCATGATACTCTCTGTACGGCTCTAGGTCATATAACCAATGTGATAATCGCCACGGACTCTTCATCGCTGATTGAGCTCTGTTACAGAAGATTTGCTCGAAATTGCGAGTGATAAGGATTTTCAGGAAAATGGAAAGGGGCATCCGATTGAATTCTATGAACTCTGGGAGGCTCTCTATGGGCATGCGCTACGCGATCATACTTATGTGCCACTGGACTTTCGCTTCTGGCTTGTGCCAGAAAGGATGAACCAGGAGGCCTACATAATAGCGGACTGCAGACTGAATCCAGAAATGCATGATTTAGGAAATGACTATGTCTGATGACTTGCGAAGGGAAAGGATGTTCAGAAGCGGGTTGGATTACTAGTACATATGACTACACTACACCGAGAACCAATCTATCATCCCAGGCCTGCCCGCCGGTGTCCTGCACCAGTCAATCCCAGTATCATACGAGAGAGTCCTCTTGCAACTTGATACGAGTTGTCTAGTTGTTACCGGCAGCCGCACCAGCACCGGCTCCTCCTGTCAAGCGCTCGAGGATGCTGCCGAGAAGACCTCCGGCGCCACCACCGTTGGCACCGCCTTGTCCAGCGTCAGCGCCAGCATTATCACCTTGAGCAGCGTCGCCTCCTGCGGCAGCATCACCACCGGCGGCACCATCGTTGTTACCAGCGTTGCCCTTGTTGCCATTGGCAGCACCACCGTTGGCGTCGCCGTTAGCAGCGCCGTCGTTGGCGTTACCGTTGTTGTTGCCAGCATCCTTGTTGCCGTTTCCGTTACCTCCGTTCTGGGCGTTGTCTCCATTCTGAGCATTACCCCCGTCGGCAGCACCATTGCCGTTGTTCTGGTCAGCGTTGCCATTGTTGCCGTTGTTTCCGTTGTTCTTATCCCTGTTTCTTCCCCTTCCGTTGCCGTTGCCGTTGCCGTTGCCGTTACCGTTGCCGTTACCATTACCATTACCGTTGTCAACGGTAACGGTAGCGGTGACAGTGACAGTAGCAGCGGCATCATCAGTAGCGGCAGCAGTGTCGGTAGCAGCAGGGGCTTCAGTGACGGCAGCAGTGTCACCGGCAGCTCCGGTCTCGCCAGCAGCACCAGTCTCAGTAGCTGCAGCAGTCTCAGTGGCAGCGGCACCACCATCCTGGCCAGGAGTGTTGACAACATCAGTCTGGCCTGGGTCAAGCTGGCCGGGACCAAGAGATCGAGTGACTACGGTCTCGTTGGCAATGCGGCTCTGGATGGCACCGACATCCGTGGCGACGTTAGTGGCTGTGTCGACAGCAGTAGCAAGGGACTCGGTGGCAGTGGCTTGGTCGCCCTGATTTCCTCCGTTGCCTTGGTCCTGTCCGTTGCCTTGGCCATTGCCGTTGTTGCCGTTCCTACCACCTCTGCCTTGTCTGCCCCCACCATTTTGTCCGTCTTCGCCGTTCTGGTTATCTTGTGCGTTCTCGCCGTCTTGTTCGTCTTGAGCATCGTCGTTGCCATCCTGTTGGCCCTGGTTCTGCTGACCACCACCACCTAGCACCAAGATCTCGGGCTACTCTTGTCAGTAATGGATAACTCTGCATCAAATCATATGTACTTACGGATCGGGGCTCGATGAGGCCAATCACTGGCACACCTGAGACTGGTAGAGCTGCAGAAGCCATCAAGGCCTAACTACGTCAGTGATGTTGCCAACTGCGTGAGAATGAGTACATACCGCGAACTTTCCAGCCAGCGCTGGAGTCGGCCTTCTGTCACCAGACAGGGCCTGAGCTGCAAGAGCACCGATAACGATGTTGGAGAAATACATATTGAGTATTTTCAAATGATTGTGTTCAAACAATTAAGGAAAAAAGGCTGCCCAGCAGTTATTGATTGTAAAAAAGGCACCAGTCCGAAAAAAGAAGAGAAATCGTCGCGTCAAGCGAATCTTGATAGTCTGAAAATGAGAGGTGAGTGTGGATGACGAGAATTTTGTTTGGTGGGAACAAACCAGTCTTCTTATACATGATTTCCCATCTCGCTACACCCTACAAAACAGATCTCAAAATAGATTCAACCAAAAGCTTAACTTCGGAAACTTTGCTGATACACCAAACGCCAAGAATGGACTCCTGTGGCAGTGCTAGCCTCTCTCTTCCCCAGATGCTGATACAGGTCTCAAACTTGGGATCGACTGTCAAGCTTTCCCTTGGCGGAATCGATGATCTATAGTGGAGTTGGGAATCGGCGACTAGGGATGTGAAGTTTGGGGTTTGGTTTCATTCGCAATTTTGTGTGCTTTGTAAATGAATAAATTTGTTCGGTTGAAACGTTGCCGAATGCCGATGCTGGTTTGTTTCATGTATACGATTACTACTCAGTCTTGGGTGAGGCAGCCCCTGGAGGGGCTACTACACCAGACGTGTCAGATTGTTACCGGATGACAATGGACCGTGTCAGAGGCTATAATCCTGGTTTTGCTATTCAGAATGAGCACATAATTTGTCTATCTTATTGCGCTGCGATAGAATCGAATAAGGTTATTTCCTGAGTAGGTATTAGGTGCGAGTTCCGGCCTCTAAAAGAGCCACGTCATTACGTAAGTGTCACATCGCTCATGTTACAGAACCCTGGAAACTTCCGGAGCCGAGCTTCATCAATGTCTCAAGGTAGCATAATTCGATAATAGAGTATAAGATTAAGAAATACATAGAGCTATGAACGCAAATTCTTAAATGCGATTGGGTTGTCCGTAAACATTTGCCCTGCATTAAAGCGAATGTTATCCCTTGGCGGCCGAAACCAAAATCGTCAAGATGAAATGGAAATAGATATCACAGAAGCATGCCCATACCAGCTAGTGCACCCAAAGTCAGCCCAAGGACACTCACAATTCCGTTCCCTGGAGTCTTGGTGGAAGCAGAATTTCCATCAGTATCCTCACCATCACCATCATCTCCACCATCATTTTCTTCATCATCCTCATCATCCGCTTCGTCTACATCAGACTGCTGGTGGATCAACGGTACAGCAGGCACCCAAGTAGCAACAACAAAGTCACTTGAATACCGTGACTGAGTAAGCAGTCTGTCATCCAGATACGTTGAAGCTGGTGTTGTCAGAACGTCGAAAGAAATCAATGGCTGCGTTAGCGAAGCGCCATCCAAACTCGTGACAGTTATTATGTCCACCGGCGCTGGAGTGTAGCACATGGACGAATAATTGAATTCACTCCTTGGACCGACCGTTGAGAAACAGTGTCCGGCGGGGTTTGCTACGTAATCACTTCGATTGTCAGCCTAGATAGCTGTGTATGAATATATGTGCCAACATACCTTGGACAACAATAGGCTATTGTCTCCGACACGTTCATAATTTCGGCCCAGAAGTCAGCAGGCTCGAGTTGCACCGCTCCGGTGGTAGACGCCTGTATGCGGCTTAAAAAAACGCCGGATACGCTGAGAGATGATTCTCCCTCTTTGATCATGGTTCCAGCGGTTGTCCATCCAGATGGACAGACTATACCAGGCGAGTAATAATGATACCAAGCCCGATTCAGCGGTGTAGTCACACTTCGCAGCGAATCATAAGACTTCCCGCTAGGCATACAGCTACCACGGTCTTGGAAACCGCATGTCGGATAGCCCCATACCATTTCGGGTTCGCTTGCGTTGACAATAACATGATGGTCGGTGCCAGTTGCACAGGCCGACGGTGCCGAGAAGGTTGTAGTCAACGGACCCAGGTTATAGGCAGTGACACCAAAGAACTCTGTAGAAGTCGGCATTTTCGGTTATTCTTGTTTGACTTACTCTGTAGTGGCGCAAAAAAAGCTGAAGAATGGATCCATAACGCGACATGCGGGGGCTTTTGTGCTTGAAAGAAATACGCCAAGGGGAATCATCGTCATTGTTCCTGGGTATTTACTACGTCACGCGACAGTTTGCCAAGAGTGATGAACTTCAGCTCGGTTGGCTGATATTATCCCTTATGTGAAATGTGCAGAGTGAAAGTTACGCTTGGCGAACCCCGAATGCGGGCGATTAAACAAACGGCCCCCAAACAGCACATCATTCAACACTCGACGCCCGCCGTTTCCAAGGAATTAAGATAGAATTCCAAGGCAGACAATTATTAGGTGATATCAGGCTATGTCGGGATTTCTCAATTGAATTAAATATACGAGGAAATTGGTATCTGAAGGTTGATCGAGGTCAAATTAGGTTGTATTCAATGAATCCTACCCTGCACCCACGAGCGGACCTCAAATCAAGCTTGGCGCTCACGGCCCCCCGGACGAAAAATATACATAACATAACATAACATATATTCTCATCATCAAACACCTTCCTTTGTCATCACACTTTCTTGGCATACAAATGTTAAGAAAGTGGCCCTGTCTACGCCTAAATCCTTAACAAGTGCACAACAAACGCCTCGATTTGCGCTTTGCGCAG